TGTATGTAACTTTTGTCCAGGTCTCCCTTGAAAAATAGGTTCTCTCAATGGGAATTTCTTTAACGGTTAAATTAAAAAAAGAAAAAGGTGCACCACTCTGCAAAGACGACTGTTCTGGACGTTCTTCATGAATCCAGACTTTTAAACTGAGCTCTTAAAGATAATCAATGACTCTTCTGGCCCCTGGAAAAGCCATGTTCCAGCTTCTTCCCTCTGGCAAAGCACTTTTGGAATTGTTTTCTTTTGTACTTTTAACCTTGTTTTTATCTATGTCTTGTGCACACAGGGGACTTTTTGCAAATGTATTCCAATGTGGTTTTACTGAGGAATGGCAAATGGCTGAAATTTCCCCGCTGTGGGACGAATAAATGAATAAAAGATCTCTTAAGAAACTGAACCTGAATCTAACAATAAGGAAGAGAGTTTCTACAGAAATGGTTGGCAGAATGTTCTTTACGATCGGTTATAGGGTCTTAAGAGTGCTAAAGTAATAAAAGGTGATGCCTGCGACTTCAACTTTATAAAGTCCCGACTCTTCTGGGCATAAACACCACCAATAAATGTCTGTAGGAGAATCGAAGGGCAAATGGTGTGTGCATCAAGAAGAAAAAATCTCTTCAGATTTCAAACTTTTTCTTTTTCTTTCTTAAAAGGAGCAGTATGTAAAAAATGTGGCCAAAAGTGGTACTGCAGTCTCTCCCACTCTCCCTGACTCAGGTTGCCAGATATGTAGACGAATCCAGCTGGGACCATAACAGCTGAATAGACAAGAGTTTTATCAACAACAAATCTAACACCTTTTTCAAAACGATAGAAATCCTGATTCTATTCCTTGTTTTGTCGTTAATGATTTGAGAATCATAACGAGACCTTTTTTATGGTACTTTACCAGTGAGAAAATAATAACAAGATTTAGTCTGTAAAACTAATTTTGAAATCCAAATATATCTGAACTACTGTTTGTCAGTTAAAGAAGTATTGGAAAAGAGCAGTTTATTATTATGACAGATTAGGGCCCTTTAATGATGACTTAACAGGAAAATCTTACATATTGCTACTTCAAACAATACAATTTATGGAATTGGTACATGAATTGGTACATGATCTTCACTGGCAGTAGATATAAGCAAGAATTTTAACCATTACCATTAAATGATAACTGTAGAATAATGGGGTTTTTTGTTTCATTAATTTATGCACCATCTTGGGTCAATGATTGATTACTCTAGTTTCAAAAGGCCAAGCTGAATTTTTAAGATAATTCCAGTTAATGAGGAAGCCTCCACTCCATCTCCTACTGAATAATTATCAAAATCATGTTCTCAAGCAAGCGGCAGTCGTACGTTTCACTCCACACCTACATAATAAGAAACTAACCGCAAGTGAGTGAGAAAGAACCCACGGTCAATCAATATTCATGCATTTCTTTCTGTTCCAATGTTTTTCCCGGATCTTGAGCAGTTCATGTATTTATACTTGCTTCTTTTTTAAGCTGAAGAGAGATTTCATCAGATTATTTACATACATTTAGAGTTGTGCTATTCTCGATATGCGAAATTCATATATGCAAAAGCCAGATCGAGCATGCCAAAGCCAGCTCCCGTTAGACCTCTGAAGCTATGCAGGGCAGAGCCTGGTTAGTACTGCGATGGGAGACCTCTGGGAACACCAGCTGCCACAGTGACGCGACTGCGGCTATATTGTGTCAAATTACCTTTGTGTCCTTAGGCAAGACCCTTGACCCACAATAAAATGAATCGCGTGTGTGTGAATGGTTGGTGGTGGTGGAAGGGGCAGATGGCAAATACTGGTTGTCTCGCTTCTGTCACTGTGGCCTAGGGCAGCTATGGCTATAGTAGTAGTTTATCACCACTGTGTTTGGAGTGAAAGAATAATGACCTCTTTGAGTGTCAAGAAAAGTGCTTTGAAAAAACAATTTATTCTTATTATTATTATTGACTTTTTCTTCTGTTGTGTACTCCTCATTCTGTTCTATAACTTGTGATGCAACACTGAAATTTCCCCACAGTGGGACAAATAAAGTATCTCTCAATCTTCATCTTAATGCCAGCACATGTTGTTCTTCTCAGCTGATGCAAGTTGTGGTCAGACCTGTGACTTCTGCAGAGCCTTTTATGAAGAGACAGGGAAACTTGAGCTATTCTGTGTCTATGTCTATTTGTGGTATGAATATTCTGCTCATATGACATCTCATGCGCGTTGGAGTTTATGTCAAAAATGTACACAAAGTTACAGACTCGTCCTCAGGCACCAACAACCACATACATTCTTTGATTTTTTTTCTTTTTCTTTTTTTGCAAGAGGCAATTACAGCTTCCCAAACTGGCAGCTCGAGATGCTTTACATGCCAGAGAAGACAAGCGAGCCTTCTTCACTCCTCATTATCGTAACAAGAAGTATAAAGTCTGGACTGATAATGCAGCAGCTGGTTTTTATGAAGACAATGACAGAGGGCGACAAGGACACGGGAACTCGACAGGAAGTACTGGGAGCCCTGGATTCAAAGGGAGGATAATAATACCTGATTGGTTTTATATCGCATTTTTTTTCTTTCTCAAAGCCCTTTCGCATGGCATTCAAGGAATTCTCTGACCACCATCAATCATTCATGCCCACACCTATAACAATATCAATAATTTAAGTCTCTAAAAATCTAAACTCTAAAATTGTGGTGTAGATTCAAATGTACAGTCTTGCAATGTTAATATAATTCTAACATTGCTCGGAAAATGCTTTGTTACTTATCCATCAACCACTCAGATGACTATCGCTGGAGGATTTTATCTAAAAAATGTGCATTGTTGGGTGGTGGGGGAAACTGGAGCACCTGGAGGAAACCCACCCAGAGACAGGGAGAAAAATGTACACTTTGAAACAGTATTGAGTATGCAGTTCCAAAATGTATTGTCCCAGGGAGTGATGAGGCTTGAATACTAATATGATTTGGCTAATATAGTAAAAAAGGGATGAAAATGAAATGATGAATTGAAATATAGTAAAAATAAATCATATTTTCATTTAACATTGTTTATACTCCCAAGTTATTCTTAATAAAAAATATAATGTGACAATAGTTATGTTTCAAATTGGCTGCCAGTTTGTTAGATGAAATGTAGCTGGTCCTGCCTCTATCCTTTTATTTTTACAATAAAATCATAAGCAAAATAATTCGGAACTTCTGAAGTAAGTTTTGATGCTACCCGTGTCACAGGCAGGAAGATTCTGGAAACACAAGTTTGACAGTAATGGTAATGACTTTATTAGTTCACCAAGAGTTCAGATCACATACTGTTTCTTTAAAATGAGTAGCCATACTGTCCAGCCGTTATCAAATCTACTACCATGAGTGCCAACTATGCTTCTTTCCCATAACGTGCATAATGGGCTTTAGGTGTGTCTTGTTTGCGCAGGAAGTTAGCCGCTCTGTTCCACTTGAATCCAGGAAGACGTGAAAATGAGACAAAACTTGACGGGAATCTTCAAAGCTTTCTCTAAATTGTGTGTTTTTGGCCATGCTCAAAACCAGTCACGAGCAAGGTCACATCCAAGCAAAACCTATCAAGGTGGTTTTAGTAGGAAAACGTGTCATATAATATACTGCCTTTTCACAATGATCAATCCAAAGTAAATTCAACATTATTTAGGGATTAAATTGACCTCGAGTGTGAATAAAAACAGCCACAAGATGATGCAAAGTCTGTATTTGAATAACAGCGCACATTTCTCACACATTTGCATTCAACGGGAGGCAGCTATGATCCGTTTCAAGTCCTGCCAGATAAAACAAGGTCGAGGAAGCCCAGCCCAGAAGGCATCCCAGTGACTTTTATACACTTCCAAAAGCCTGTGTGTGGTTTGAGATTGTAGCTCTGCAGACGAGTACAGACATGACTCATCTGAATTTCGCACTGGCATTTCCAAACTTAGACAAATGGAGGTTTATGACTGTGAAAAGACATGCAGGATGGAAAGAGCCAACATAACTGTGGCTGAGGTGTGAATTTTTGAAAAACAATTTCCATGCGTTCTAATGATTGCTGGGGTTTAGAATATTCAGGGTCGCACTTTATAGCACATTTTTATAAAACAAGTGCTGCACAGAGATAAAAGTAACACATTAGAATATACAGGTTTGCTAGCCCTATATATCTAAAACAAATAGAATAAGTAAAACATTATGTACTGTATGCCGTAAGAACGACTAAAAGGTTATAAAAACAATAAAATACCAATTATCCACTGATTGTAAATCTAATAGAGAAAGGCAAAAAAAAAGACTATTATGCTTTAAATATTCTAATACTTTCAATACATGTTAAAATGAATGATCTATCTCAAATACTTTTCTGCAGAACTTTATAGTTTTTAAGGCTGTAAAAATACTTAAACCATTCCATTTAAATTTATTCATTCATTTTCCACCCTTTTTTAATCCATTTCTGGGTTATTTAATTTCATGTATTAATTTTCTTAGTTATTAACAGGATTCAGTAGTTTGACATGCAGTAAATACATTTGCCTTTTCACTCCTATAGAGACCTGAAAAGGAGTGGGAAGACTTTTGAACTCCCACTCCATCAATCCGGTCAGCTTGCCAAACTTCTAGGTTAAATATCAGAATCAGAATCAGAATCAGAATCATTTTTATTGCCACGTAAGTAACAGGAGGTCACAGACTAGGAAATTGCTTTGGCTCAGTGCAACAGTCAAAAAGAGATAATAAAAATAAGAATAAAAAACACTTCTAAAGAATAAATTTAAATTTAAAATAGAGTTACAGTTACTATTTACAATATACAAGTGCACATGGTGCACACAATGTAAGGTGACAGCAGTACAGTGAACTGAAATATGGCTCATCTCCATTCAGTGACACCTCAACGATCAAAAATACCAAATACACCGATCCAACCGCCATTTTTAAATCCATACAACCCTGCGACCTCACATGATTGCAACCCAGTGTGATGGGAACGTACCGAGACTTGGAAGACCTCCTGCGTGTCGTCCAGAAGCTGAACCCGGATGGGCACCAGGCGTCCCGGAGGCTGCACCGGAGGGCGGAGGCCGGGCTCCAGGGTGGACACCCCGAAGCTGTCCGGAGCGCTCAGCCTCTGCCCCGCTGTGGACGGACACTCCACCGGTTCAACCATGTCGCCGGCGGGAAGGGGACTCTGCGGCCTGGTCTGGGACCTCTGGGTACGTCTATGGAGGAGAGTGGACAGACAGGACATGCATGTTAGGGTTGCAAAATGGCGTAATTATTGGAGAATAAAATTTAAGGTGGTAGTTTTAAGAACAAGTTCAACAGGCGAGTTTGTGATTTGTGGGTTTTTTATTTACTGTACTTCTTTACTAACTGCTACAACTAAACACTCTATAAAGTACAAATACAGCTTCTAGTTTGTTTTTTTCTTTTCAAATCTTTCATGTCTTTCTCCTGTATGTGTTGGGAATAGCTGATTAAAAGGGTAACAATAAAAGAAAGTGGAAACATGGCTTTGTTATGGGGACAATGTGGTTATTTGCACAAAAACATTGTCACATTAGTGGACATCACAGGTGGCGCATCACTTACAGTTGTTGATTTGATTTGTTTGAGGCTTAGAACGTTCCTTTTATACATGTTTATATGGAAAGGGAGGATCTGTGGTGAAGAAAAACCAACCATCTCACTGTTTAATTGCCTCAAATGTGCAGCAAAACATTGCCACACTGGTTCGCTCCACATTAATGGCATTGCATCGCCGATGGAATTTTCTTGGGGGATTTTTGCACCACATAAAAATGCAACCCGGCTTTATAATTTGTGCCCGCTCAACCAGACATGTGTCACATCTTACAAGTTTGATTTTTTCCCCCTCAACACAGCGTCAACCATAACACAGGTGGGATCAGTGCCGTTTCCACCAAAGCAAACGTGGAGATTTGGGAAACTCGTCCAGACTTGAAGAACACAGATGAGATGAGACAGTGGAACAAGACAAAAGACTCCCCCTCCTTCCTCCCCCTCTTTCATTCGGGACTGGCCTCATCAGCGCCGGCCACACTTGATAACCCTCAACCTCAAACAATAAATAAGCCCTGGTGACATCATGGCGTAGGAATGTTTCAGAAGAAAGCCAGCGTGCAGTGAAGCAGGGATGACGCGGAAACAACTCATTGCTCCTGTATCGAGAATTGATTTGCTTGAATGTCTTGTCCGACGTGATGTACAGTTCAATAGTTACAAGTCTTTTAATCAATATGTTTGGAGGCCTTACATGTCCTTTTGTAATTAACAGGCTCCTTGTCATTTTGTCTTAGTTAACATTGTGTTTGGAGACAATCGACGTGTCAGTGGTCAATGAATCAATGTCATCAATGAAATGAAAAGCATATGGTGACACTTGGCCACGTTACAGAGAGGGCTGCGGACCACTGAATGTGTAAAAGCATAATATTGGAGTGAAACCAAATTGGTCACTTCCATTCATTATCTCCCCTTTTGTTTGTCCATTTCTGACTCAGGGGGTGGTAATCAGAGCAGTCACCCAATGCTCAGAGCACAGCCCCTCCCTGATCCTCCTGCAGGTGATGGGTCCACAGAAGATGGCTGCTCCGTCAACGATGACACAGCCTTGGTCTTTCAGTGTGCGCTTCAGGCAAAGTGGGGTTAAGTGTCTTGCCAAGGGACGCAACGAGCAGGTGACATGGGTCGTGGGGGTAAAGGAACCCACGATCAAAATGTTTGATTAGGCTCTTCTAACAGAGCCACCGTCGCTCCCAGACACCAGAGTTACTGTATTACTGGTCCAACCACCGTCCGCCTGTTCTTTGACGTTGAAACACTTTGATTGATGATAAAATTTGTGTTTTAAGTCAGACCTTAGACCTGTTGAGATGGTTGCATTATGTCCTTAGACCCTGCTTGTACATACAGGAGGGTCTAAAGGCAATGGTGATCATCGCAGACATTAAAGGACATTTATTAATATATATGAATCTCATGGATCAAAGGCTCTATGCGTTTTTTTTACCATTGCATTTTCTATGTTTGAACTGTTTGATTCACTTCACAGACACAGACGGTGTATGGCTTTGAAACTATTACGTAAAGATGGAACCGGCTTTGTAAATGTATCGGTCCACACAAAGCTGAAAAACGAATCCATCGCATCTGAGGAAATTGTAATCCATGCACTCGGCCTGATGGTGGCGCTAAATACGCAGCAAGTATAGACAAGAGGAGGCTTTGTTCAAATGTGCTTAAAGTGAGGGGAAATATTTTGCATGGACCAATTCTTCGAACAGAGATTTGACCACCCCCAAACGCCATATTGGTGCGCCCAATTAAAAATGTCCCCAATTTATTCAAACAATGCACTAATTGCCATATGTCTTTGTTGGTTTCTCAAGCCAGATTGCATTCCTCAGCCCACACACATCTATCGGTGTTCATACATGTGTAATTTGTGGTCGCCCGCAGTGTATGTTTAAGTCTATTTTTTGAAACATTTAGGAGCTCTGAAGCATTTGTCTCCGATCGTCTCTAACCTTTTCACAAACACGTCCTACCTGCTGCCACAGTAAACGCCCTGATATATTATTTACCTTTCTCTCACGCCTCTTATTCCCAAAGTGAAACTATTCCACACAAACGCACAAGGCCACATCGACATAAACAAAGCAACGTTATTCTTTCACCTCCCACCTGCTCAGCGCCCGGCCCACAAAAGCTGAAACTGGAGTCTGGCCAAAGAAGCCCAGACAATATGGTGAGGAGGAGACATTCAAGTTACTCATTACACCTGTGGGAAGGCAAATTTGTCCTTCCTTCACAGACACACAGGGAAATTGTCAGATACGGAAGTAGCTATTATGTTTGCAACTGCACTGGCTTTGTTTAAGATATTACTAGGGCTCAGAAAGAGGTCATGGGTTAGATTATCAGCACGGAGCAGACGCCAATCTTAAATGTAAACACTGTGTTATCTTATACGTCTGGATAGAGCTAGATCGTGGTGGCATTCATTGTTGCAAAGTAGGGTTGTAATTAACATTTATTCTGATTATCAATTATAAATATATGTTTATATCCGTTGTAGAGGGGATTTCTAATAAACAAATTGACCAAAACAAAGCTAAAGTGATGCCACCCAAGATCATATTTATAGAGACTAAATGTAACACAATAGGTCAATTGATTAGACTTAAAAAAACAAAAAAAATCAGGTCATTATTTAGAATTTAAAGCTCCCTAGGCATGTTATGGTCCAGGTATGGTTCAAAAACCTATTCATCAATTACTAAATTACAACCATTTGATAATTGATTAACTTGTTACAGACCTATCGCAAAGTAAGTGGTAAAAATAAAGGCCAGGATTATTGTAGAACGCAAAATTATTGAATAGATTTGATAGTTTTCCGTCTTGTGAAAATTATGATGTAAATGACAATAATACTGTTTGACTGTGTGTGTTTGTATTGTGTATAGAACTCTGAAAAATTCCTGTCTGGCCTCTATCTCCAACCGGTTTCTAATCAGGCCACAACTATTAGCAAATTCCTTCCCTTTAATCATGGTCTCGTATTGAAAGCAGCCATTTAAGTACAGAAAATAAGTTGTCATCATCTGAATAAACGACAAGGAAGAGCCGCTGAGAGGAATATTGAGTGAGTTTAGACCCGGATGAACAAAGGGCTTCACTGTGGGAGCCAGCAGCCTTTGAACCAGTTTGAGTTTGAAAAGTTCCCAAGAGCTGGTTTGAGAAGGAGGCCGGGGCATGGGAATGGGAGACTTGTGCATGCGGACACACGCGCGGAAGGCTTTAACTGGGGAAGGTTAGGGGGAAAGAACAAAAATCCGGTTTCAACATAAGCAATTGGACGCCTTGAAAAATAAAGAAGAGGATGTATAGAGGAAGTGGAGGGGGGTCGTGTGCGGAACGACATATTACATAATCTGGGGTTGAAGGATGTGGTTGCTTGAGATAGAAATCAATAGACATGACGTTATTTTATCTCTATTATGCTAATGTAGGTGGATGTTATGAAAAATGCATCACACAGATAGTGTATTTTTTGACAATTCATACCCAGTGTCATGATAGGGGTGATGGTACGCACTCTACACACCGTCAAAAGATACGCTATATGCAAGCAATATCTTAGAAAAAAATCATATTGGGACACTATCTTTCAAAGGTTATTCAACGGTATGGCATTTGACTATTTATTCAAGCATACAACAAAAGTAATGATAAGTAAGCATGCATGTTATTGAGTGTATAATTCTGTAATTGGGCTGGGTTAAAGATATTGGTGCAATACATTTAAATAGGCTACTGTGGTAGTATGCAGCCCATAAAGGTGATACCGTTATGTCTACCCCTACGCAATATTGAGATAAGAGAACAAAGCAGAAGAACAGTACAATAGGATGCCAAGTGGTAGGGGAGAGAAACATGTGGGACATAGTAAGAACTAAAATGTTGTGTTTTTTATCTGCTTTTTAAGAAAATTGCTAAAAATGGGGAACGATTTCAACTGGAGGCACTGATCAATACTTGACCACAGCACATTTAATCAAGATGACACTTTCTTGCTATTAAGCCTGTGTATAGTTCTCCAGAGAAGCAAGGACAGCTGGAGCTTTGTGTGTGTCCAATATTGATCCGTAAAAGTGAATGGTCAACAGGGACATCATTACCACCCCCCCTTTCTGAGATCAAGGTGGCAAAGACAATCCCCAAATGCCTGCTTGGTTGGGGGATGCCGGCTTGTCAGATGTAGTGCCCGCTGCATGTGAAGGCTAGATCTTGTCTTACTGAAGCTAAGCATGGTAGGACTTGATTAGCACTGTGATGGGAGACCTCTAGGAACACCAGGTGCCTAAGCAGAGCGGTTATAGCTGTATAATGCCAAACTGTTGACCTTAGGCAAGACACTACACCCACATTGCCAAGTATGAGTCTTCTGTGTGTGTATGTGTGTGTGGGAAAGGCTGTTATATTGGTCGCCTTACTTCTGTCGGTCACCCCTGTGAATTGGTACAAAACCAATTCACTCAGACGTCACCGTGACCCTATCAGACATGGGGGCGTGCAACATTTGGTCCCCCTTGAGATCAATGAATTAATTATTGTCATCAGCTGGTGGATGGATGGTCTTCCACAGAATCAACACACACAAGAGCATTTCAAGTGCAGTAGGTAGTCAGGTCTGGGGAATGTAGGTTAGGAGAGTAATCCCTTCAGGCATCAGAAGGCTAAAAGGCAAGCTGCTGCCACACGTATATCAAGACAATTTTACATTGGTTTCACATGTTTCTTGACGAATAACAGACAGGCAGCAACAGATAAGGAGTAACGTATAAGGAAATTGCCGAGATAACCCTCCATATGGGAAAAAAAATTATCATATATTCATTATTTCAGTAAAATTAGAGTAAAGTAATACACACATAATTGTATTTGTCTTGGGGCGGGTGTAGTAAATACATGGGGGTTTTAAGGAGACCTCCTAAAGCTCAGCCGATTAAAATGAATCCACAAATGTGACTGAAGCAAGCTTATTACAATCGGTGGGGATGATCATGCAATGCACAAACGTGTATTTAAAACGGGAAAAATGGCTTAGTTAGCAAATAAGGGAGCAGGAACGCATGCTGAGTTCTCCCGTTCTAGTTTGAGTCACAGTTCCTCAAGACAAACCAATTCCATGCGCTACGTGTAACCTCGCATAGTACTGGTAGGAGCTGTGATTTCCTTACCAGTGATCGGTCCTCTGCTCCACAGATTGTCCAAAAAGTAATGCTTGATTTTCCAAAGCGTAAGGTAAATCCAGCAGTGACAAAAAAGTTAAAGACAGAAGTCCCCCTGAATAGCAGCCGAAGCCCTCACTTTCGGTCGGGACGTGCTTTCCGAGTGGTGGCCATTGAAATGAATGCAGCAGGGAGGCGAGCATTGAGCTTTCTACTGGAACAATAAAGAGCTGGCTCCACGGCGGTACTACACACAGCACTACGTTGAGACAGAGAGAGGTCAGAAAAGTGAAGCAACGACGACACCCTGCGGACATATGAAGATATTTGAGGCAACACGCAATTCAGATTTTTTCCTTACTGCCAAATATTTTTGTTTGGTAAATATAATGTATGTGATATTTTTAGTTACGCGACTTCCACAGAAAAATAGTAATGGAACGACTGTAAAAAATGAAAAACTTTAGCTGGCCCGTACGGGGATCGAACCCGCGACCTTGGCGTTATTAGCACCACGCTCTAACCAACTGAGCTAACCGGCCATACCCACCAACGAAAACAATTTACTTTATACCGGTGGCTATACACTACATTTTTGCGATAAATGTCCCAATCTTGTGTTCCTTAAAAATGACTGGTGCTGATAATGATTAAATCAAGTATAACAGGCTAAACTCGTATTAGATAAACGGTATAATTCTATTGCATCAGTAAATGAGTGAAATAAATATGGCATTACAATCTTAGTAGATAGGTTCATGAATAATGAGAAAACACAAAAATCACGTCATTATATACAGTTGCCATAGTTACCACGATGGGGGCGAGACTGTTCACGTGACCTGGCAAGATGGCGACTGCATTGTAGAATGGACGTGAATCGTGAGAGTGAGTACTCACCGTTATATGGGGATAATAACGCGCACATTGGCCATTCTGTACCATGTCTTTGCATGTCGGTTTTTTTACACAATAAGTGGTTTATCTAGTGTGCAGAGGAATGAAACAGCATCCCGCTTTGTTTATTCTTTCCCCCCGCGCTGCCCGACTCCGCTAGTGTTATCCTAGCCATCGTGTAACCTGAGCCTGGTCTTTGCGAGATCGTGTTCACTGTTCTTTTCACTCTCACAAGCAAATGCAGTCATAAAGTCTGAATTAATTGTGAAATAAATTGGTGACTTATCTGTTTTGTAGGCTACATGGATCAACAGCGTTGATATTTTGGATCCTCTGCTTTCTTTTGGACTGTAAGCAGTAGCAGTCAACATGGCTCTAAATGTTTTTGGTAAGGCAAATTCACCTTATATTCACATATTTATTTACATATTTATTTATTAGAGTGTTATAGGATGCCACACGGCGCTACGATCCACTGTAGATTATTTGAGTGGACTGTAGCAATACATGTTGTATTCACATGGATATTCAATACATAAATGCTTTGAAATGTATTACACCCAGCGACAGTTCTTCTTCCCTGTGACTTGCTGTAAAGTGACACTTATTTTTTCTTATTGTGAAGACGGAATAGAGAGTCAAAAGGTGATACAGATTTGGCTTTCAGAGTGAGAACAAAGTTCACCACAAGACAGGAAGCCCCCTGTCTCTCATTCTTCAAGTAAATACAGACGCAGGAAATAAAAAGTGATTATTAAAGTGATTGTCCTTCATATGACCCCAGCAGGGGAAATTGGCCTTTTGTTGTGCACTGCAAATAATGAGAACCTTTTTGTTTTCAAAGTTGTAGTTTTTAACGTGTGTTATAGAAAATAATGTAATCAAACGTTGTTTTACATTTGTCAATAACTGTGTTTGTTACATTTCACAGATCATGATGACTACAGGCCAGTGTGGAAGTCCTATTGTAAGTAAAGGTTTCTTTGGGGATGTAGTGTGGCAGGTTTTGTCCATGAGTGAATTGTAAACAACTCTCTCTCATCTCAGTGTACCAGCTCCAGCAGGAGGCGCCACATCCCCGCAGAGTCACATGCACCTGTGAGGTAAACACAATGACCACAAACTAGACAACTCACTGGGAAGCCTCCCCCAGATGTTTGCTTGGCTCCAGAGAGTCAGAGTGATCCAGCATTTGTTCTTTGTCAGAATTCATTTATTGGTGTGGATTAATAACATATGCTTCAGTTTCAATTTGGATTATAGCAGGGTAAGAAGAGTCTTTCTTATAATGCTGTGAAGATTAAAAACTATGATATATGTCATAAGAAAAAACTCACTGCAATGATGCAATAGGTCTGTATAATCACTGCAGGGAAGAATCCTGCTATTGAGGCTGAAAAGGAGCAAAAACACAAAAGCAAAATTTTTAAGCATTTGGACGTTTAGACTCCCATAGTAAGAAGTCCTTTTCAAATCCAATCTTTTCTACAGTTGTGTAGAAATGTGTGAGAGGTTGTTGGATATAAAATAAGCTTTTGCTTCTTCCAACCCCCTTTTCAAACTATGCATATGCTCTACAAGAGAAAGTGTTCTAAACAAAGTTTGTGCAGGTTGGAAATAAATAAATAGATTGATTGATTGACAGTGCATCCTTACTGGACCAATGAGGGACACCATTTTATTATAGATAGATAGATAGATACTTTATTGATCCCCGTAGGATCTTGTATAGTCAGTCAGGTTTGTTGTACAGTCTGACAGCCGAAGGAACATATATAGAGTTATATATAGAGTTGACATTCCAACATTTCACAACATTGAATATTTTTGTAGCTCAGATATTACCCATAAACATCTGATATACATGTAAGAAGGACATATATTTTTAATGGTGTCCTCCACATACATGGCTAATTAATATTCCCTGCTGCTTGTTGGTGCTGTGTCGATTTATTGGCTGGACAGCAGTTCTCTTGACAACAGAATATTCAAGACGAGGCTTTTCTCTGACTCATGCAATATTCTCCTCACCTCCACCTACTGCTAAGGCTCGCACTTGAGTTTACATTTAGAACGCAGGCTGTCAAAGTCTGAGTCGTTTCATAAGAGCCTGATGACTCACGAATCAACAATAAGGCCTCTTTCTTTTTCTTTCTTAGGTAGACAACCGTCCCAAGTATTACGGAAGAGAGTAAGCAATCCTTTCTCAGTTCAAACAACATATCAGCTGAAATGTGTGTGTTTGTTTTAGTTATGATGTCTTTTTTAGGTACCACGGAATGATCTCAAGAGAAGAGACTGATCAGTTACTGAGCCAAGCAGAAGGCAGCTACCTCATCAGGGAGAGTCAGAGGCAACCCGGCACATACACATTGGCTTTGAGGTAATGATAAGTACAAATACTGTGCAGTAATAGTTTAAAGGAATCTCTCAGTAGTCTCCACAAAGAAGTAGATTAAAACTGAAAGTCATCCACAAATATTTCCTTTCAGCCATTTTTTTTTCATCAAAACTACCAAAGTTGTAGCAATGCATGTAAGAACTTTTTATCTCTGCCGCTATCTCTAATATAAAATACTAATATAAAAACCTGACAGAGCTAAATAAAATATAATGACAATGATGTTTTTGTTCTAAATCTTCAAAGTAAGTGTTTGGTAAATTAGTGACCAAATCATTCAGGATAGATCGTAGTAATACAATAGAATATCATTTTCTAATGTTAACTCCCGGGCAAATGTGTAAATATATGTTACATAAATACACTATATAAGTACAGAAGTAAAAGTATTTTAGGAAGTGTTATTTAGTTATGTAATCTATAATCTAAAGCATGGTTTAGCGTAGTTCTGAGGGTTGGGGCCAATATTTCTTATCCTCAAATTTTCCCAAGCAAACAGAAATGGCTTTGTTTTATATGACCATATAGTTCAACAAATACATCTTAAAAAGCTATTCACTTATTCAACAAATGGTCTCTATTTTTTAGCTGAATTCATTTTCCGGAGTGTGATCTGTCGCATCATGAAGTCATTTGAAGTGGCACACTGAGCTGTTTGAATGTGGCACACAGAGCTTTTGGGTCAGTTCGCTCTATTCATAGTCGCCTCATTCTCCCAGCCGTACCCATCCCTCTACTTATTATCACCTTCCATAAATACAAGTCCACTGTGGGCCGGCCCCAGGGATGTTTTTGGGGTTAATGATGTAGAAGGAGTGTTTTACATTTCTGTATCTCAGACTTATGGCATCACAACTTGTATAAAGTTAACACTTATCACTTGTTAGTTAGTTTAGTTACTCCAGTATTAAAAGCTTCACAGTGAAATATATGCACAGCTTTTTTTGTGGGAAAGAGTGGTGAGCACTCTTGCTTCAGCAAGAAGGTCCTGGGTTTGAATCCCTGTCGGAACAGGGCCTTTCTGAGTGTGGTTTGCATGTTGTCCCTGTCTCCACGTATGGTTGTCCCCTACCACTAAAAACATGCACAATAGAAAAAAACAACAGCTTTTTCATAAAGGCCCCAATAAAAATCCTCGCTTTATTTCTTGTTTTTTGTTCATTAATGATTTGAGAATCATAACGAGACTTTTTTAGTTCTGGGCCACATGGTACTTTACCAGCGAGATTAGCTCAACGCGGTGAGTTCTGGACACCCTGATCAGTCTTTCTCACAGACATCAAAATAAAAACAATGACACGATTTAGGGGCTGGAAAACTAATTTTGAAATTCAAGTATCTCTGAACTACTGTTATCAGTTAAAGAAGTATTGGAAAAGAGAATAGTTTATTAACGCCTTTTGACGAATTTGGGCCCTTTTAATGATGACTTGACATGAAAAGCTTTAACCTTCATAGGAGGGGTAAACAAGACCAAAACATTGGTAAATAAACCGTGTAAATAAATACACACTAACCCTTTCACTAGTTTATAGTCGTGATCACAACATGTGAATGATATTCATGTCTTTGTGAATTTAATTGAAGGTTTGGGAACCAGACCAGAAACTTTCGTCTCTACCATGACGGGAAGCACTTTGTCGGAGAGAAGAGATTTGAGTCCATCCATGACTTGGTCACGGATGGACTCATCACGCTATATATTGAGACAAAGGTATGTTTCATTATGGCATTTTGAGAAAAGTCCATGGTTGAGCTATTCATGAACTGGTGTTGTTTTCTTAGGCCGCAGAGTACATTGCCAAGATGACCATCAATCCCATCTACGAGCACGTTGGCTACACCACCTTGAACCAGGAGCCCACCTTGAAGAAACATCGGCCCCTCAGCCCGGACATGCCAGACGGACCTCTGCCTGTTAAAGATGCCCACAACGCTGAAGAGAGGGTAAGAACAATCCAGTCTCAATGTAGTACCACGCTTTGATCACCAGGGGTCATCCGTCTGTGAGCTTTTGTTCCAGTCCCAAGCCTGGGCTAATAAAGTACTGCTCATTTTGGCATTTGAAAAAGATGTATTAGATTTAGTCAGATGAGCTTTTGTCAAATCTATAACTTTTAATGGACCACATATTTTACATGTGATTGCCTTGGATTGAAACACACCTTTTACTTCAGCTAATATTAAATGGAATAAAGAAAAAATATGAAGTAAAAATGTTGAGAAAACTGTCAGGACCGGTTGTTGAATAATGACTTTTCTTGACAGTTTGATACTTTTTAAGGAAGTGACTTAGTTTAAAGAAAGCTCATCTTGACTTAGAATCATTCAGCACAGAGTTTGTGTAAGGCTTCAAGGGAAGGTGGATGCTATACTGTACAGGGGGATGGAGGGATGGGGTCCGTGAGGTGCTGAGGAGAGGGCAGGAAATTGGAGGAGGAGGAGGAAGGATGCAGAGCAGAAGTGGCCCCCAGCCAAGGGCTCTGCAGCAGAGTTACATAACACTGGTGCCTGCAGGATGCCGGGTGTCCTAGACAAGAGCTGTCTGCAAACTGTTAAGGAGACACAAGCCTTGATTACAACACATTCAGCTGAGAAATATTCACCCTTACAACAATACAAAGAAATGTGCCTGTAATGGTGTCAAAAGGTTTCAAAAGAAATCTTATAAATAGAAATTGACCAAAATGCCTTGTTCTTCTGTTATAGCAGTGCAATGAGAAAGCAGGATAGGACAGTAATGCAGTCAGAATGTAATGAGGGGCTGCATTATATCAGAAAGTTCACAGCAGCCAGAAAACCTGTTTTGGAAACGTGTCATGGTCTTTTTAGCACAAATCTGTCACTCCTCACTTGGTATGGGACGACATCAAAATTATCTCTGAATTGACCACAATTATGGACGTTATTCCAATTATTTGTGGTATGCTAGACTCACATTAAGACCAACATTAAGCTGGTTAGGAGGCTTCTTTTTCCGCAAAGCCAAGTAATAAAAGAGCTGGAAGAAAGCCATTCTGATGAAGTGGGTTTTTAATATCACTGTATCTTTGTTATTGTCCCATCCAAGTCCCAAGCCCTCATTCCAAATCACAATTAGAAAGATATTCATTTGTCACATACAATGTTAACAAAATGACAGATGTATTGGTTACTAGTTTGATTATAACAGTCAAAAAAATACATAACAGCAGCTATGTACATACATCTTATGCAATTTATATATACAGTACATGCGCTATAATTTAATTCATTATCATAATTTAGATCCCTCATCCCTTTGATTCTCATCGCCTTGAGGAATACCGTTGAAAGCCCCTGCTATAACCTCAGTTGCCCTTTCTATACACAATCCAGTCAACACCAACATTCCTCTACAAAAATAGCATTTTTATTCTGTGTTCGCCCGTGTTGCAGGACCTCCCCTCGGGGGCGACGCACAACCACCTCTGCACCATATACATCACTGTCCGGGAGCACCAGAGTACCCAACGTGCGCCTTTGCTCTTTTTTATAAGTGGCTGGAACTGCAGACAAAGCAGGAAGACTGTGACATTGAGAGTAGCAGTAGCGTAAAAGAAGGGGAAAGCCGTCAGGGGCCGAGCGGATTCATTGAGGAGGAGTTTTTGACTTGTAAATTAAATGAAGTCGCGCGGTGCCAGAGGGAGTGATAAAGATAATTAGGTTTTAAGGGCTCTTGTTAAAAGTCAGTAGAGAGTGGCAGCGAGGATGGAACAAGAGCGGGCGTTAGCGATTTATTGCGCAATCTGAAGTTAGAAAATGTGATATGGTTGTGTGTAGTGTTTAGACCTTTTGTGCTTACTTCTCAGCTACCCATAAAAAAAACATTACATTGATTTAACTTATTATTGGGTGGGTTGTACTTGACTATAATGCAACATCAGTACTTTTACCTCAGAAATGTTGTTTACCTTTGCCATTACAAGTCTATCTGTCACTATCAAGTCTACAAGGTTTTGCTTTACCAATTCCAGCTTGAAAATCATTACACAGCCAAGAGTTTGATTTTCTGCTTTGGCCCAGTAAGAAAAAGCCCAAGAGGAAATAAGCAATCATGATTCAATACCACTATACACCAAAATCTTGTAATCAAACCAAAATGTATCGTTTCTATGCAGGTTCATATAACTCTCGGTTACTCGCTGTTGATTTTCCGTACCCACCAATTTGTTGTTCTCTCGCATTTTTTCCGCCTCCTATGTTTTCCCTTCCCCCGGGACAACGGAGGCGACAACACACGAGCGCCGTGTTGTCATTGGCTCGTTCCTTCCTCAATGTGACCTGTTAAATTCATCCATTACTGCGCTGGATACGACCAAAGACCCCTTTACACACTCACATACACACACATATACACACACGAGCACACATACGCATACACACTTTCAATTATTCCTCCTCCCCTCCCACTCCATCTCTCTCTCCCTTAGCTACATTGAGCATTTTAAAGCCATGGCAAAAGCGGATTATAAGACACACAGAGCCATGTGGGCTGCGGATCCCACCTTAAAAGCAAATGGGAATCAATTTTGTTTTTGGATCTGGCAGAAATGAAAGATTTTATCACTTTCCGATAACATTTTTGCATCTTGGAAATCACATGGTAACGCCTGCCTTTTTTTTGTGGAGACAGAATGAATTTATTGTTTTGATTTGAGCTTGTGGTAAAGGTGTTTTTTTTTTTTTGTGAATGGGACTTTTCTGAATAGTTGGAAACCGGTCATTCACAGCGCCACCATGCCAAGCCGAGACGCGAGCGCGGCCAAAAATGTGAAAAAGCGCTCCAAAAGTAGGCGAGCCAAGAAGGACGCCGGTCAGAAGGGGAGCTTATTTACGTCAGCGGTCGGTGGTTCGATTCCCTCTCGTGCCGTGACTGTTGGGACAGTCCCAGGCACGAGTCACAGGAGTGGGTTTTTCCACCGGACCCCTGCTCCCCCCAAACCCAAATCTCCTGCTTCAGCTTTCTTGCAACCAATCCGCTCTTTTGCCATTTCACAGCTGACATCGCTGGTGCGCCGGGCCACGCTGAGGGAGAGTGACATGATGCCAAAGTATGAGAAAGTCCATAATTTCAAGGTGAGAATGTCCTATTGTGCATGTGTGTGTAGGTGTGTATGTGTGTGTGTGTATGTATGTGAGTGTGGCATAGGTGGGCTTCTTCAAGTTCAAACACAAGCTACACAAAGGTTCCAGGTTCAAATGCATAACATGAAGCAGACTAGACCCAAAGCTTTCAATGTCCTTCAACTTGATTCATAATTTGATTGCATTGTACCTGTACCTTTAAAAAAAAAAAAAATGATAATACAGTACACAGTACACATTTTTCACAAGTACATAACAATGGGGGTTGTATACATGTTGTGGTCTGGTTCCCTGTCTTGTCTTCTAACGGGGGATTTACACAGTAGGCGTAAACAGCGCGTACGCGTTTACTGCGCGCTCTCTGCGCGTAACATTTTTTTGGAGTATCTACACTGACCGTGCGCGCAGGTCCGCGGCTTCTGATGCTCTCCCTGTGTAGTCTATGGAGCAGTGTAGAGGACAGTACGGGCCAGAGGACTTATGTAGAGCAACACAAATCACATGCATGTGTTTGTCTTCATGGTCTCTGTGCGCTGGTTTGGCCAGACGCGAGACTTTATGAAAGAAAAAAAACGATGTCCAGAATCACTGTAAAACCTGCTGCTCCTCCTGCTGATGTTTAGACACAAGTGCAGTGTGCGTGCAGATGTGATCTAAAGCCAAGGACCGCTAGAAAAATAAAGTTTTACATGAGATTTCAATGGGAGACGCGTTGGTGCGCGCACAAAATTAGAAATCCATCCTAAATTAGAGCGCAGCTTCGCGTCACATGTCCGTCATACGCGCGTATAACGCTAGAAGTGTAAATATCATCATAGGTTAACATGGAAAAAAGTTACGCGCGTCTGCTGCGCGTATAACGCGTACGTGCTGTAACGCGTGATGTGTAAATTAGCAGTAACCCTGACTACACCAAAAAGAAAGATTTGGAGCTGATAATTTCACCAGCATTGCAACTACTCACAAATGAATAAAATTAGCATCTTTTCTATTTGTCATATTTATCCAACTTTCTGTGACTTCCTGTTACTTACATGGCAATAAAAATGATTCTGATTTCTCCTTTATGTCTAGGTTCACACGTTCAGGGGGCCACATTGGTGCGAATACTGTGCAAACTTTATGTGGGGTCTCATCGCTCAGGGAGTCAAATGTGCAGGTAAAAATTTTTTTGATTAACCCATAACCCAGTTTGTCGCGTGGCTGTTTTTAAATTAAGGCATCGCACGTAGGTTCTTTGACTCAACCCAAGTGTGTCACGCTCTGTTTCATTGCCAAAAAAAATCACTCCTCTCCAATCAATCCTCCCTCTTATATAATACTTTCCAGCCGTTTCAACATAACCTGGTTTTGTCTTTTATAGATTGTGGGTTGAACGTTCATAAACAGTGCTCAAAGGTGGTCCCCAACGACTGCCAACCCGATTTGCGGCACGTCAAGAAAGTCTACAGCTGCGACCTCACGACGCTGGTCAAAGCACACAATACCAAAAGGCCCATGGTGGTGGACATGTGCATACAGGAATTAGAGGCGAGAGGTGAGACCAATATTCCTTGTTTTCTTTTGTTTCCTCACATTGAATACCTAATGTCTCTTGGGATGCCGGGTTTTATCGAGTGACTGGAGCTCTAATGTGTAAAATCAATAACCCTTCACTTGGTATAATTGAACTTTATTGGAGGACGAATTGAATTAAAGCCAAATTTTTCCATTTTCATCTAATCCGTGGTTATTGTCTGGTAACGTCTTTATGCACCTCCAGTGTTTTATTCATGAAGTGAATATTTGCTGTGTCCGTAGGTCTTCAGTCGGAGGGTTTGTACAGAATATCAGGATTCAGTGAGCTGATTGAAGACGTTAAGTTGGCGTTTGACAGAGGTGAGGCCCATATTCCATCGCTAACCAAAATTACGCTGTGGTTGTTTGGTTAGCGATCCGGTGAGCTCTAGGTTATTACACTGAGAAAGCCGCAGTAAACTGGTAGTGTTGTGATGCCGCTACCAATTCAAATTCATTCACCACCACATGAGGACATAGGCCGTTTATTTGTGCGTGTTTGGATTGACTTGTACGTTTCTCAATGTCCAAATTTGTTACTCATGTGTAATGCTGTTCACTCTGCACGGTGGCCGAGTAGATAGTACTCTCGCTTCTCAGCAAAAAGGTCCTGCGTTTGAATCCCGGCCTTTCTGAGTGGTTTGCATGTTCTCCCCGTGTCTGTGTAGGTTTCCTCCGGGTGCTCTGGTTTCCCCTACCTCTAAAAACATGTACAATAGGTCTGGCATCCCTCTTCTGTTTGGCGACCTTGCTCCCATCTCTGTGTGGAGTGAGAGACAAATGCCCACAAAATTGCCCACTGCTTTGTGGCTCTGGTCTGTGAAAGGCGCTATATAATTAAATATTACTTACTTAGTGAAATGCAGAGTCTTTGCAAACCTACCAATAGGTCTCATTCCTTCCCTTTATACTTATTTTTTGCCAAATGAAATAAACAGTTTGTCGCTTGAAGCAGCTTTAAACAATGCTGTGTGGTTAAGAGATTATTTCCAGAATCCTCTTCATTTGTCCGGTTTCAACAAGATGTCCACACAATATGCATTTGCCATTTGAAGGATCATAATTCAAAGATAAGGAGCAGCGACATTAAGGTGATCCTTAATGGGTTAACAGCCCGCATGCCCAGGGTAAGCGTCACACCTTAATCTTTCCCCCAGTGGTACAACAAGCCTGTCAAACATGGTTCTCCTAACATGCATATTGTAACAATAGTATAAGATGTACCTATAAGTGTTCAACATTATATTACTTTTTATTGGCGGGGCCAGCACGGTGGCTGAGTAGGATAGCCTCTCGCTCTCTGCAAGACAAATCAGGGCCCTTTTCGAGTGGACGATTGCTCTCCCCATGTTGGGGGGGTGTTTCTTCCTCGGGTACTCCGTTATTACCTACCACACTATAAAACATGTGCAATAGTTCTCAGGGTGTGATGAGTGTGGGTTTGTGGGTGCGAATGTATTATACATGTACTGTCCCCCAAAACCAAAAAATAAAAACTCAATATAGAATATTGTTTTGCGTCATTCAGATTTTGAATTTGAAAGAAGTTGAATTCACTTCAAAATGTTAATGTGATAACATTTTTAAAATGATACATTCGCTATTAAAATGTCCCTCCTAATGGTGATGATCAGGACACTTTTAGCATTTACAACATGTTTGTAGGACTTTTTCTTCTGTGATGTGCTTTCTATTCTTCATGTGTTTTAATGTGATTCTCTGCTGTGTTGGTGGATTTCAATGGTTTTGTTAGTCTCTGAGATGATCTTCTCGTAGTTACAATAGGGCTATACAAGGAATACATTGTATTGTAATTGTTCTTGTAAATATGTCTTGTTTATTTTCAAGCCTCAAATACAAAAACACTGTTATTTTATGAAGAAAAAAGAACAGATTTGATTCTATCAATATGAAATTTAATGGCTCAATTATACAATTTCAGGTATTTTTTCAAGATTAAAAACAAATTCAATGCCATATATTTTCAAGTGCTTAAGTCAACAGGTCTAAATTTGCATGATACATGTGTTGTCTGACGAGTTGTGTGCTCTGTCACTTGCACAACAGAAAACTGTATTTCATCTTCACTGAAGTTGTGACAACTCTCGCTGCTGTCTGTCCCGTGACTATGGATAACAGTAGTTTAACCGTTGTGCTCTGTTAAAAAAGCCTTTTCGGACGGTGATTAGTTTTACATGGAGACCTCTGGTAATTCTGTGATAATTTCATGAAGGTGATACGGTTTCACTGAGATTTGTCATTGCGAGATGCGCCATGTCTGTAACTTTGTCAAGTAAATAATTTACCCATAATGCCTCCTGTTTTTGTCGTGACAAACGATTGGCTCTATAGACCTGGTACTTCTCACTACGCTTCTCTTAAGGGGGGCGTCCACACCGGACTTAACTTCGGGTCAATGTGTGTGTCAGGTTGCAATTGAAAGTGAATGGAGTGAAGCGGTTCGGTGAAGCCGAGAGCCCGGGCAGGTCGGTCACTTGACGCGCGTCAAAAGCTTCAAGGTCGCGCGTACTACGGCGCATCACTCGAAGGCTTTTGGACCTGCGCTGAAAACGCTTATGTTCCAGGGTATCACAACAATCCCTTTGACGCAAAGTTGAGCAAAGCTGTGCTTCTTGAAGCTTTGACGCGGGCTTCAACCAATCAGGAGACGAGGAGCAAGCAGCAGCGAGGGTCTCTGTCTCTGGCATGGAGAGATAAGTCAATGTACTCTGCTGGCTGCTGTCTTTATATAGTCACTTATTGTTATTAGTCAACTAATACTACTGTATGAGTAGTACATTCTGAGAAACTCAAAATCATTGTACATGCTGGTAGATAAACCTAGTTTATTTGAATAAGAACTGGCTGGGACGATGAGCTCCAAACCTGGCTCAGAGCAAGGCCAGCTCCGGGCGGTGTGGGAAGCGGGGAGAGGCAGGAGTGGCGAGCGGAGCGGGGAGAGGCAGGGTAGGGAGAGGCGGGAGATGAGCGGGCGGGAGAGGCGGAGCTCCGCGGGTATGAAGAACTCAAAGCGGGCCGAGTGACATTGCGGGAAGTCAGTACGCTGAAAGCGAGCAGTGTTGGGCACGTTACTTTGAAAAAGTATTTAGTTTATAGTTACTAGTTACTTTTCCCAAAAAGTAGTAAACTGAGTTTACTAACGGAGATACTCCACCTATAAAAGAAACTAGTACCAGTAAAGTAACTATTGCGTTACTTTTTAGTTTGTTCTGGAAACTTAATGTTGCACCCGACTGTGGCGCATTTTTTACCTTTAACAGTGCCTATATTTCCATCTAGAAATGGCTGTTTTGTGCTGAAAGTCCTGTACACTCTTCATCTCTGTCTGTTGCTGTTTAAAGCCCGCCACTGTGAATGTGGAAACACCGGTGACGAGCGGGAGGCTGGTGAAGCAGGTCAGATGAACATCATACATCATATAAATCAAGTGGACCACTAGGTGAGGTGACCACTAGGGACGACCACTAGGGACGCACTTTATCATATAAATGAGCTTTTATATACGTAATCCTGGTCAGATCGGGCTGCCAATTCGTCGGCGTGATGCTTGTGGGACTGGCGCCCAGGAGGCGGTCGCAAGAGGGGCGAGGCCTTTCATCGCCGCTTGCGGCTTTAATTGTCATTATTGTTATTAGTAATATTATTTGTATGAGTAGTAACGTTCTGAGTAACAAAAATCATTGTACACATGCTGTGTAGTAAACGTAGTTTATTTAAAATAAGAACAGGCTGACGATGAGTCTGGCTCAGAGCAAGGCAGCTCCGGGCGGTCGAGAGCCAGGGAGAGGCGAGCGAGAGCCGGGGAGAGGCGAGCGAGAGCCGGGGAGAGGCAGGGAGAGGCGAGAGCGAGGCGGGGAGAGGCGAGCGAGAGGCGAGCGAGAGCCGGGGAGAGGCGGAGAGAGGCAGGGAGAGGCAGTGAGAGGCGAGAGCGAGGCGGGGAGACGCGAGCTCCGGGGTTTGAGAACTCAGACTGGGCGAGTGACATGCGGAAGTGCCGCTGAAAGCGAAACTCCTCCGTACGCAGCTCCTGGAGTAACTGACGGAACTCTGCAAACACTGCAGCCTCTCAAGTCTGTGGTGAACCCAGAACATGTTTTGTTGAAGCCCTACAACAACGTTATTTTGCTTTATATAACAAATAAAGGCTCGCTGCTCATTGAAAAATCCATCGCTGTCCTGACTACAGTGAAGCTCCTCCCACCGGCGTCAGGCGCGTCACTCGCGTCAAAAGCTTCAAGCACCAAAATGACAAAACTATCCCAGCGTCAGTTGAAGCGCGTCAAAAGCTTTTTGAAGCTTTTGGTCTGAACGCGCCTTTCACTAGTTTATTGTCGTGATCACAACATGTGAATGATATTCATGTCTTTGTGAATTTAATTGAAGGTTTGGGAACCAGACCAGAAACTTTCGTCTCTACCATGACGGGAAGCACTTTGTCGGAGAGAAGAGATTTGAGTCCATCCATGACTTGGTCACGGATGGACTCATCACGCTATATATTGAGACAAAGGTATGTTTCATTATGGCATTTTGAGAAAAGTCCATGGTTGAGCTATTCATGAACTGGTGTTGTTTTCTTAGGCCGCAGAGTACATTGCCAAGATGACCATCAATCCCATCTACGAGCACGTTGGCTACACCACCTTGAACCAGGAGCCCACCTTGAAGAAACATCGGCCCCTCAGCCCGGACATGCCAGACGGACCTCTGCCTGTTAAAGATGCCCACAACGCTGAAGAGAGGGTAAGAACAATCCAGTCTCAATGTAGTACCACGCTTTGATCACCAGGGGTCATCCGTCTGTGAGCTTTTGTTCCAGTCCCAAGCCTGGGCTAATAAAGTACTGCTCATTTTGGCATTTGAAAAAGATGTATTAGATTTAGTCAGATGAGCTTTTGTCAAATCTATAACTTTTAATGGACCACATATTTTACATGTGATTGCCTTGGATTGAAACACACCTTTTACTTCAGCTAATATTAAATGGAATAAAGAAAAAATATGAAGTAAAAATGTTGAGAAAACTGTCAGGACCGGTTGTTGAATAATGACTTTTCTTGACAGTTTGATACTTTTTAAGGAAGTGACTTAGTTTAAAGAAAGCTCATCTTGACTTAGAATCATTCAGCACAGAGTTTGTGTAAGGCTTCAAGGGAAGGTGGATGCTATACTGTACAGGGGGATGGAGGGATGGGGTCCGTGAGGTGCTGAGGAGAGGGCAGGAAATTGGAGGAGGAGGAGGAAGGATGCAGAGCAGAAGTGGCCCCCAGCCAAGGGCTCTGCAGCAGAGTTACATAACACTGGTGCCTGCAGGATGCCGGGTGTCCTAGACAAGAGCTGTCTGCAAACTGTTAAGGAGACACAAGCCTTGATTACAACACATTCAGCTGAGAAATATTCACCCTTACAACAATACAAAGAAATGTGCCTGTAATGGTGTCAAAAGGTTTCAAAAGAAATCTTATAAATAGAAATTGACCAAAATGCCTTGTTCTTCTGTTATAGCAGTGCAATGAGAAAGCAGGATAGGACAGTAATGCAGTCAGAATGTAATGAGGGGCTGCATTATATCAGAAAGTTCACAGCAGCCAGAAAACCTGTTTTGGAAACGTGTCATGGTCTTTTTAGCACAAATCTGTCACTCCTCACTTGGTATGGGACAACATCAAAATTATCTCTGAATTGACCACAATTATGGACGTTATTCCAATTATTTGTGGTATGCTAGACTCACATTAAGACCAACATTAAGCTGGTTAGGAGGCTTCTTTTTCCGCAAAGCCAAGTAATAAAAGAGCTGGAAGAAAGCCATTCTGATGAAGTGGGTTTTTAATATCACTGTATCTTTGTTATTGTCCCATCCAAGTCCCAAGCCCTCATTCCAAATCACAATTAGAAAGATATTCATTTGTCACATACAATGTTAACAAAATGACAGATGTATTGGTTACTAGTTTGATTATAACAGTCAAAAAAATACATAACAGCAGCTATGTACATACATCTTATGCAATTTATATATACAGTACATGCGCTATAATTTAATTCATTATCATAATTTAGATCCCTCATCCCTTTGATTCTCATCGCCTTGAGGAATACCGTTGAAAGCCCCTGCTATAACCTCAGTTGCCCTTTCTATACACAATCCAGTCAACACCAACATTCCTCTACAAAAATAGCATTTTTATTCTGTGTTCGCCCGTGTTGCAGGACCTCCCCTCGGGGGCGACGCACAACCACCTCTGCACCATATACATCACTGTCCGGGAGCACCAGAGTACCCAACGTGCGCCTTTGCTCTTTTTATAAGTGGCTGGAACTGCAGACAAAGCAGGAAGACTGTGACATTGAGAGTAGCAGTAGCGTAAAAGAAGGGGAAAGCCGTCAGGGGCCGAGCGGATTCATTGAGGAGGAGTTTTTGACTTGTAAATTAAATGAAGTCGCGCGGTGCCAGAGGGAGCGATAAAGATAATTAGGTTTTAAGGGCTCTTGTTAAAAGTCAGTAGAGAGTGGCAGCGAGGATGGAACAAGAGCGGGCGTTAGCGATTTATTGCGCAATCTGAAGTTAGAAAATGTGATATGGTTGTGTGTAGTGTTTAGACCTTTTGTGCTTACTTCTCAGCTACCCATAAAAAAACATTACATTGATTTAACTTATTATTGGGTGGGTTGTACTTGACTATAATGCAACAGCAGTACTTTTACCTCAGAAATGTTGTTTACCTTTGCCATTACAAGTCTATCTGTCACTATCAAGTCTACAAGGTTTTGCTTTACCAATTCCAGCTTGAAAATCATTACACAGGCAAGAGTTTGATTTTCTGCTTTGGCCCAGTAAGAAAAAGCCCAAGAGGAAATAAGCAATCATGATTCAATACCACTATACACCAAAATCTTGTAATCAAACCAAAATGTATCGTTTCTATGCAGGTTCATATAACTCTCGGTTACTCGCTGTTGATTTTCCGTACCCACCAATTTGTTGTTCTCCCGCATTTTTTCCGCCTCCTATGTTTTCCCTTCCCCCGGGACAACGGAGGCGACAACACACGAGCGCCGTGTTGTCATTGGCTCGTTCCTTCCTCAATGTGACCTGTTAAATTCATCCATTACTGCGCTGGATACGACCAAAGACCCCTTTACACACTCACATACACACACATATACACACACGAGCACACATACGCATACACACTTTCAATTTATTCCTCCTCCCCTCCCACTCCATCTCTCTCTCCCTTAGCTACATTGAGCATTTTAAAGCCATGGCAAAAGCGGATTATAAGACACACAGAGCCATGTGGGCTGCGGATCCCACCTTAAAAGCAAATGGGAATCAATTTTGTTTTTGGATCTGGCAGAAATGAAAGATTTTATCACTTTCCGATAACATTTTTGCATCTTGGAAATCACATGGTAACGCCTGCCTTTTTTTTGTGGAGACAGAATGAATTTATTGTTTTGATTTGAGCTTGTGGTAAAGGTGTTTTTTTTTTTTTGTGAATGGGACTTTTCTGAATAGTTGGAAACCGGTCATTCACAGCGCCACCATGCCAAGCCGAGACGCAAGCGCGGCCAAAAATGTGAAAAAGCGCTCCAAAAGTAGGCGAGCCAAGAAGGACGCCGGTCAGAAGGGGAGCTTATTTACGTCAGCGGTCGGTGGTTCGATTCCCTCTCGTGCCGTGACTGTTGGGACAGTCCCAGGCACGAGTCACAGGAGTGGGTTTTTCCACCGGACCCCTGCTCCCCCCAAACCCAAATCTCCTGCTTCAGCTTTCTTGCAACCAATCCGCTCTTTTGCCATTTCACAGCTGACATCGCTGGTGCGCCGGGCCACGCTGAGGGAGAGTGACATGATGCCAAAGTATGAGAAAGTCCATAATTTCAAGGTGAGAATGTCCTATTGTGCATGTGTGTGTAGGTGTGTATGTGTGTGTGTGTATGTATGTGAGTGTGGCATAGGTGGGCTTCTTCAAGTTCAAACACAAGCTACACAAAGGTTCCAGGTTCAAATGCATAACATGAAGCAGACTAGACCCAAAGCTTTCAATGTCCTTCAACTTGATTCATAATTTGATTGCATTGTACCTGTACCTTTAAAAAAAAAAAAATGATAATACAGTACACATTTTTCACAAGTACATAACAATGGGGGTTGTATACATGTTGTGGTCTGGTTCCCTGTCTTGTCTTCTAACCCTGACTACACCAAAAAGAAAGATTTGGAGCTGATAATTTCACCAGCATTGCAACTACTCACAAATGAATAAAATTAGCATCTTTTCTATTTGTCATATTTATCCAACTTTCTGTGACTTCCTGTTACTTACATGGCAATAAAAATGATTCTGATTTCTCCTTTATGTCTAGGTTCACACGTTCAGGGGGCCACATTGGTGCGAATACTGTGCAAACTTTATGTGGGGTCTCATCGCTCAGGGAGTCAAATGTGCAGGTAAAAATTTTTTTGATTAACCCATAACCCAGTTTGTCGCGTGGCTGTTTTTAAATTAAGGCATCGCACGTAGGTTCTTTGACTCAACCCAAGTGTGTCACGCTCTGTTTCATTGCCAAAAAAAATCACTCCTCTCCAATCAATCCTCCCTCTTATATAATACTTTCCAGCCGTTTCAACATAACCTGGTTTTGTCTTTTACAGATTGTGGGTTGAACGTTCATAAACAGTGCTCAAAGGTGGTCCCCAACGACTGCCAACCTGATTTGCGGCACGTCAAGAAAGTCTACAGCTGCGACCTCACGACGCTGGTCAAAGCACACAATACCAAAAGGCCCATGGTGGTGGACATGTGCATACAGGAATTAGAGGCGAGAGGTGAGACCAATATGCCTTGTTTTCTTTTGTTTCCTCACATTGAATACCTAATGTCTCTTGGGATGCCGGGTTTTATCGAGTGACTGGAGCTCTAATGTGTAAAATCAATAACCCTTCACTTGGTATAATTGAACTTTATTGTAGGACAAATTGAATTAAAGCCACATTTTTCCATTTTCATCTAATCCGTGGTTATTGTCTGGTAACGTCTTGATGCACCTCCAGTGTTTTATTCATGAAGTGAATATTTGCTGTGTCCGTAGGTCTTCAGTCGGAGGGTTTGTACAGAATATCAGGATTCAGTGAGCTGATTGAAGACGTTAAGTTGGCGTTTGACAGAGGTGAGGCCCATATTCCATCGCTAACCAAAATTACGCTGTGGTTGTTTGGTTAGCGATCCGGTGAGCTCTAGGTTATTACACTGAGAAAGCCGCAGTAAGCTGGTAGTGTTGTGATGCCGCTACCAATTCAAATTCATTCACCACACATGAGGACATAGGCCGTTTATTTGTACGTGTTTGGATTGGACTTGTACGTTTCTCAATGTCCAAATTTGTTTCTATATTTCAAAATAAAAGTACTGATACATAAAAGTTACTCATGTGTAATGCTGTTCACTCTGCACGGTGGCCGAGTAGATAGCACTCTCGCTTCTCAGCAAAAAGGTCCTGCGTTTGAATCCCGGCCTTTCTGAGTGGTTTGCATGTTCTCCCCGTGTCTGTGTAGGTTTCCTCCGGGTGCTCTGGTTTCCCCTACCTCTAAAAACATGCACAATAGGTCTGGCATCCCTCTTCTGTTTGGCGACCTTGCTCCCATCTCTGTGTGGAGTGAGAGACAAATGCCCACAAAATTGCCCACTGCTTTGTGACTCTGGTCTGTGAAAGGCGCTATATAATTAAATATTACTTACTTACTTACTTACTTACTTACTTAGTGAAATGCAGAGTCTTTGCAAACCTACCAATAGTCTAATACCCATCATCGGCATGCCCACGTGTCTCATTCCTTCCCTTTATACTTATTTTTTGCCAAATGAAATAAACAGTTTGTCGCTTGAAGCAGCTTTAAACAATGCTGTGTGGTTAAGAGATTATTTCCAGAATCCTCTTCATTTGTCCGTGTTTCTTACCTCCAAAACCAAATGTAATGAGTTTGCAGAGTTTTTTAATGACAAAGTCCAAGGCATCAAAAATGCCATCACCTCCACAGTAGAGATTACAATCCAACAGCCAGTGAAGCTTTTTGGGCTGACACACTTTACACCAGTACAAAATGAAACTGTCCAAATGATAATTACAAGTCTGAGTTCTTCTACATGTAGCCTGGATGTATTACCTCCTAGATTTCTTAAATCTGTTCTGAGCAGTCTTTTACCTTCACTCACGCATATAGTAAATATGTCTCTTGAATCTGGAACATTCCCAATGGCCCTGAAAACGGCAGTCATCAGACCCCTCCTAAAAAAGAGGAGTCTGGATGCCTTGGCACTTAAAAGTTATCGGCCCATTTCAAATCTGCCTTTCATGGGTAAAATTCTAGAAAAAGTTGTCTATCAACAACTTACAGAATTTTTAATAATCAATCACTCTTTTGATATGTTCCAGTCTGGTTTTAGACCCCACCACAGCACAGAGACCGCTCTAGTGAAGGTAACATGTCTTTTAGATCCAGTCCCCACTCCATTTTTTAAGTCATTTTATGAATCTTTTAGAGAGGAGCTTTTAAACCTGATGAATTGCTCTCTTCAGACTGGGGTCTTTCCTGCAGCCTTCAAAGCGGCTGTGGTGAGGCCCTTCTGAAGAAGAGCAATTTGGATTTTAATGATTTTAACAACTACAGACCGGTATCCAACTTACCATTTTTAAGCAAAATTTTAGAAAAACTTGTTTTTACCCAGCTCAATGCCTTTTTAGATCAGCAGCAAATTTTAGAGAAATTTCAATCAGGATTTAGGGTGAACCACAGCACAGAGACTGCTCTTTTAAAGATTTTAAATGATTTTAGACTAAATTATGATTCTAAAAAGGTGACCGTGTTGGTTCTACTGGATCTAAGCGCTGCCTTTGATACAGTAGACCACACCATTCTTTTATCCCGCCTGAAACACCTCGGCCTCTCTGGTGCTGTCCACAAATGGTTCACTTCTTATTTAACAGACAGATCCTTCATGGTAAGTTTGGATACCTGCTCCTCTCAGGTCCATAAAATCACATGTGGTGTGCCCCAGGGTTCCATTTTAGGTCCAGTCCTTTTTAACCTGTACATGCTCCCTCTTGGCGGTGTCATCAGGAGACATGGAATTGACTTCCACAGTTATGCAGATGATACACAGCTGTACATCTCCATGTCTCCTGATGACACCAGGCCAATGGATGCTCTTTTTAACTGCATTTTAGACCTGAAATCCTGGATGGCAGAAAACTTTCTCCAGCTCAACCAGGACAAAACTGAGGTTTTAGTCATCGGTCCTGAGGCCCAGAGAGAGAAACTTTTACCGAAACTCCAATCACACTCTTTTAATCCATCATCACAAGTGAAAAACCTGGGCGTAATCTTTGACTCTGAGCTGACTTTTATTCCTCACATCAAGAACATCACAAAAATAGGTTTTTATCATTTAAAGAACATCGCCAGAGTCCGCCCCATTCTCTCTCGGGCCAACACGGAGACGCTGATGCATGCTTTTATCACCAGTCGCATTGACTACTGTAATGCCCTGCTCTCTGGTCTTCCCAAAAAGAACATTTCAGGTTTACAATTACTTCAAAACTCGGCCGCACGTGTCCTGACTAAGACCAGGGGGCGGGACCACATTACACCGGTTTTAAAATCGCTGCATTGGCTCCCCGTGTGTTTCAGGATCGATTTTAAGGTTCTTTTAATGGTCTTTAAATGTCTTAATGGTCTTGGGCCTTCTTATCTTTCAGATTTGCTTTTATCCTATGAGCCTTCCCGGCCCCTGCGCTCCTCCGGCAGCAGACTCCTAACCATCCCCAAAGTCAGGACACACACTCACGGCGAGGCATCTTTCCAGCACTACGGCCCCCGTCTCTGGAACAGTCTGCCGGAGGAGCTCAGGGCCGCAGAGAACGTTCATATTTTTAAGAGTAGGCTCAAGACGCACCTTTTTAGAGCAGCTTTTGATTAGTATTTATTATCTATTATTGCTTTTTAGTACATCTATTTATGTTTTTAGACGGATTATATTTTTATTTATTTTTATTATTTACTATTTTTAATTATTTATTGTATCTACCCATTTACTATTGTTATTATATTAGGCAGCTGCCATTTTTCTTTTTATTTTCACATTCTATTGTTCTACTTTCTATTGTATTAATGTATTGTTTTAGTGTCCCCAGTGTTTCCTCTGGAGGAGCCCTCTGCACTGAGAGCTGGGGTCTGCTGTGGCTTCGGGGGACTGGCTCTTGGATCCGGTGGGGGTCTGGGGCCTCCTCTCTCCTCTGGGTCCTATGGGGTCTGAGTCCTGGGCCTTGTGGGGTCTGGGGCCCCTCTCTCCTCTGGGTCCTGTGTCGTTGCCTGTGGCTGCAGCCGGCTCTCTGCTCCTGGTGCAGATGGCTCCTTGGATGACGCTTCTTCAGCCGGTTACATCTGCTCCCAGCCCCATTTCTTTTTATTGTTTTACCTATTTTACCTGATATGACTTTATACTTGTGATATGTGTGTGTGTGTGTGTGTGTGTGTGTGTGTGTGTGTGTGTGTGTGTGTGTGTGTGTGTGTGTGTGTGTGTGTGTGTGTGGGTGTGTGTATTGTATATATATAATTATAAATGTGATTTTGGGGGGTCTGTGGGGAGGAGGGTTTAGGGCTGGGCATGTTGGATTGTTTTTAACTAAACTGTAAAGCACTTTGTGTTACACTTTTTGTATGAAAAGCGCTTTATAAATAAAATTTGATTGATTGATTGAACAAATGACATCAGACTTAACACTGACGCAGGAAAAGTCTCAGTTCTTATCCTGTTAGATTTAAGTGCTGCTTTCGACACTGTCGATCATGGTATCCTCATTCAGAGACTTGAGGACTGGGTTGGTGTTTCTGGAACAGCCCTAAGCTGGTTTATATCCTACCTACAGGGCAGAAAGTATTTTGTGGAGATCGGAAACTGTATCTCAGACCATCTGGCCCTAACCTGCGGAGTGCCACAGGGCTCAATCCTGGGGCCTCTCCTGTTTAATATTTACATGCTGCCTCTGGGTAGGTTAATACACAGTAATAACGTGTCCTATCACAATTATGCTGACGATACTCAGGTCTATGTGTCCCTGACAGCAGGAGAACATGGACCAGTGGACTCGCTCCTTCACTGTATCCAACAAATCAGTGATTGGATGCAAAATAACTTTCTCCAGCTAAACACAGAAAAAACTGAAATTATTGTTTTCGGACCTCAAAAACAAAGAGAGAGCGTTATCTGCCACCTCCAGTCTCTCTCCCTAAAACCCTCAACTCAGGTCAGAAATCTAGGAGTAATAATGGACTCAGACTTAAATTTCAATAGCCACATATCATCTGTGACATCATCAGCTTACTTCCACCTAAGAAACATTGCTAAAATTAAAAACATTGTGTCTAAAGCAGACTTGGAGATTCTTATCCACGCATTTGTCTCCAGTCGATTGGACTACTGCAATGGCTTGTTCACAGGTCTCTCTAAACAAGCGGTAAAACAGCTGCAGTACATCCAAAATGCTGCAGCTCGAGTCCTGACTAGAACCAGGAAGTACGACCACATTAGTCCGGTCCTCAGGTCTCTGCACTGGCTTCCTGTGGCTCAGAGAATAGATTTTAAAGTAGCTTTACTTGTGTACAAGTCTCTCCATGGCCTCGCACCAGGGTACATCCGCGACATGTTGGTGCCATATGAACCAACTCGGGCTCTGAGGAGCACAGGGACTGGACTTCTGTTAGTGCCAAGAGTCGGAACTAGACATGGGGAGGCTGCGTTTCAGATTCATGCAGCTAGAGTCTGGAACCGTCTGTCCGAGAGTGTGAGACAGGCGTCTACTCTAGCAGTTTTTAAAACTGAACTGAAAACAGTTCTTTTTAGCTGTGCATACAAGTGAATGATTTTATATTTGTTTTTATCTTTAATCTTTTTAATGCACTATGATTATTTATGATTATTTATGATTTTAACTACTTGTGTGATTTTAATGTTTTACGGTTTTTAACTACTTGTGTGATTTTATATATCTTGTGCTCTTAATCTGTCCTTTTATGTTTACTTAAATTCTAATGTTTGATGATTTATGCATGATGTTATATGGGTTGTGAGGCGCTTTGCGTTGCCTTGTGTAGGAAAGGCGCTCTATAAATAAACGTTGATTGATTGATTGATTTCTCATAAAGATAAAAAAGCCTTCTATTCACTTTAAAGTAAACATAAAGTAGAAGTGCACACACATCAGCAAAAGACTGATGTAAAGTTTGAGCAGGAGTAAAACGGATCTGAGATAAAGATTTCTGAGGTCAAAACTCCATATATAGGGTGAGGCCAAATGTTTAAAAATGATTTATTCCCACAGATGGAGAGAAGGTGGATATTTCCTCCAATGTTTATGAGGACATCAACATCATCACCGGAGCTCTCAAACTGTACTTCCGAGAACTCCCCATCCCCCTCATCACCTACGACGCATATCCACGCTTCATAGAAACCGCAAGTGAGTCGACTCTATACTAATTAATTTAACCAGAACATTCTAAGATGCATGATAATGATTTTCTCTTGGTGCGTAGAAATTACAGACCCGGAAAAACGTCTGGAGTCGCTTCATGAAGCTCTGAAGCTACTGCCGCCGGCTCATTGTGAGACGCTGCGATATCTCATGGCTCACCTTAAGAGGTCAGAACTGCAGCCTTATGATAACTAATGATTATGGATTTAACTTTAACAAAATCTCACACTTGTTTACAATTCACTTATGTCAAAAGACTTGAAGCTCAACAGAAAAACTGGAGGCATTTCATTTATAAAATATATCACCTCACCTTCCAGGGGTAGTTTCTTGCTTTTTTCTACCTGAGATGTTGCTTCAGTACAGTGTTCATGGTTTTGCACTGGTCCAGACCAGAGCAGAGAGGATTCAGGGTTCTAACCAAACAGATTGGGTGAAAATCCACTGGAGGAATGCTAACTTTCTGAAAAATTAAACATTCTGCCTTTTACTTTGGACCAGAGCAGAGAAAATGGTCCGAACCAAGCGGCTGCACCTCTGCTGCTGTGACCTGAAGGGCTTTTACTGATTATTTCTATTGTTAGCTTTTTATAATTATCCATTTTTAATTTTTTTGCTGCTACTGGACACCTGAATTTCTCCTATCTATTCCTCTCTCTCTAAGCTTGGGTCCTCTGCCAGAGTCCAGCAAGCTTGAGGGTCCCATGTTCCGGGGGTCTTCCTCCATGGACCGCCACCTTCACCTGGTGGAGGAGTTTGCGTATTCGTAGTAGTACTCAGAGCAGCTACTGTCTGTTGCCTGGGGCTTCATAATATTTACAGCCTGTACTTTATGCCCATGGTTGTGTCCCTGGTCCACTGGTCTTTGCATTGCATCTCTCTGTATCATTTTTAAGTGGGAGGACTTGGCACTGTTGGTGTCTGAATAACACTGTGTAGTCTGTGCTTGAGGGAATATGTGCAGATGTGTTCTGAGATGTTGTGTGTGTTTGGATGGATAGACTATATTGATCCCCTGAAGGTGAAGTTCAGGTCTCATTTATGTCATTTGGAAAGTTTGGAAAGTGAGACCACATGCATTTCTAATCCAGTCTTGATCATCTCCATTCCTTAGCTTTTAATATTTGACTGAACAATATTTCAGTCAACAAAATTCTCAAAAAAAAATTCACTATAACTGAACCAAGTGCAATTTTAGCTCCGGAGTGTACTTTATTTTATTTTAATATTCCATTTCACTATTGTATTATCTTATTATTCTTTTAATTCTATTGTCTATTATCTTAAATATTAGACTATTCATAGACTAATTGATGTGATGAATCTTATTTCCTTCTTTCTCAGCTGTAATGTGCGCAACAATTACACAAAAAATTCCCCACTGTGGGACGAATAAAGGAATATCTTATCTTTAGCAAATATTTAGCGAATAAAATGGTGTAATAACAATTTCCATCATGACTCCATTTTGTCCAACATAAACTCTCGAACAGTGACTTTATTAGAACTAGCGAACCTTTCCTTAAGGCAAGGCAAGGCAAGTTTATTTGTATAGCACAATCCATACACAAGGCAACTCAAAGTGCTGAACAAAACAAGAAAGCATTAAAATCATAAATAATCACAGAACATTAAAAAGAAAGATAAAAATATAAAAATCCTCAGTTGTGTGCACAGCTAAACAGAACTGTCTTTAACCTGGTTTTAAACATTGTCAGAGAGGAGGCCTGTCTCACATCTTCAGGAAGACTGTTCCAGATTTTAGCAGCATGAATCTGAAAAGCAGCCTCCCCATGTTTAGTTCTGACTCTGGACACTAACAGGAGTCCAGTCCCTGTGCTCCTCAGAGTCCAGTCCCTGTGCTCCTCAGAGTCCGGGCTGGTTCATATGGGACTAACATGTCACTAATATATTTTGGTGCAAGGCCATGGAGAGACTTGTACACAAGCAGAGCTGTTTTAAAGTCTATTCTCTGAGCCACAGGAAGCCAGTGCAGAGACCTGAGAACTGGACTAATGTGGCCGTACTTCCTGGTTCTTGTCAGGACTCGAGCTTATTAACTTATTAACCGCGTGTAAATGGCATTTTGCAGGGTCACCAGTTACGAGAAGGACAACCTGATGACCAGTGAGAACCTGGGCATCGTGTTCGGCCCCACTCTGATGCGGGCCGCGGACCTGGACGCCATGACGGCTCTCAACGACATCCGGTATCAGAGACTGGTGGTGGAGACGCTCATTATGAACGAGGACGTGCTCTTCTGAGGTCGGCGGCGGGAGTCTGTGAAAACATGAAGGACACTGGGAATGAAGCAGCAACGAGATGCCTTTTGGAAGAAACATATGTGACGTGGAAGTTAGCGCTTTCGTTTTAAAGGTGGATTAAACAGTGTTTCCCCACATTAAAAGGACACGTTATTATTAAAAGCCGCCTGTAAATACATTGAATTATAATAACTTCCCTTACACATATTTACATATTCTAACCAATGAAACGTCAATAATGATCTATGACAATTTCATATAATATTAGCCCACTTGTTTATGGATTTGTGTTTGCTCTATAGTGATTACAACAACATGCATAAAAAAGTCACAAAACCAACTTTGAGTGGGTTAAAGTATAGGTATGTCTATTTCCTTTACCAGAATAATGACACCATAACCTTTTCTATTTACGTTTATGTTAAAAATGAATAATTCTAAAATAAAACGCCAAATTGTAGTAAGATCCAGTTTTCTGTATCTGTTCGAACAGATTGTTTAAGGCGGCATAGATTATGTAAAAGCCTGCATTCAAATCAAAAAATACTATTTCTGTGGTCAAATTTGATGAAGGAAAGGGAAGCACTGTTTAATCTGTCTTCATACCATTTACTTTGATTAATGCCTTGAACTTTTATATTACTTTTGTGTGATTCATCTTAGGGTAAGAAAATGCACTGCTTTCTCAATTGGCATTTTCAAATTGTCTTTCGTTTAAAATCTATGTCCGAGCATGCAAGATTTGATGAAAAGTGACTTATCCATATCACTCATTCCTCTTGATGGTGTGCTATGGACCTATTTTATCTATTTTTCTTTACTTTATAGCCAAAATGTAATGCTAAATTATTGCTTTAGTGCCAGCCAATAAAGCATTCCATTTTTCATATAGCAGTAATTATAATGCAAAGGAACATGGAGGAACGAGTGTAGACTATGCTCTACAGTCAATGTTATATTCAAGCAGTGTTATAAAGCTAATTTTGCACTCAAATGCTGACAAGAATACTTGCCGATTTATTTTTATTTTTATTGAGAAGCCTCTTGCAACATCTGATTTGACTAAACACTGTATTTTTTGTCGTTGTACATTTACTATCTCCTCATGAGCCTCATTGTCATGTGACGTAAACGATGACGAAATGAATTATTTGAAAGAGGTTTTTGTACCAATCTTTGTACATTTCTCGGTTTATATTTGTACATGTTTAGCCAGTGTTTTTTTTTTTTTTTTCAGCAAGTTGATCTCGCCATGTACAACGTAGATTTTGCTAACCGACTTTGTGAGCCTTCAGTGATCTGTGACAACTTTTTTATTTTTATATTTTTTTGGGCATGTTGAAATGTCAGTTTTAAGTATTGTCATTGCTGTATACTATTTTCTACATGATGTATGCATGGTGAAATTAAATTATTAAACATGGCCTTATTTTGGTTCAGAACCACCTTAGCTGCTTTGTTTTGGAACGTCCCTTATTTCTTTCTCAAATAAAAAAAGTCTTTGGAGAAGCCTATTATGCACTTTTGCATTATTGACTCATGAGTGTTCACGTGGCTCGTGCATGGTTCGAGTGATCCTATTGGCTGTTGGACATCAATTGAAGGGCCACAAGTTGATGCTGCCTCGCTAACTTTTTACACAGTTATTATAGAGAGATATGGATTTATGTCTACAAAATATCCATGTTTTTTGGTTAGCGTTAGTATTAGGGATGGAGAACAATAGTGTAGCCAAGAATGTCAAGGTAGTTCAGAAAGCGAGACTAAAGAAAACCTATCTTGAGTCCTCGTGCACGTGCAGACTTGGCCTGTGTGCGCACGCGGTCCTCCTCACATCTCGGTAAAGTATATATTTGTATTTGTAAGGCGTTATGTTTATCTAATCTGCGGTTGGACTAAATTAGCCTAAGTGTTATTAGATTATTTAGTGGTTTTATATTTTATTCTTTATTATATTTTTTTGTTGTTTCCAAAACTATCTGAACTCTGAACAATTGTAAAGCGCTTTGGTTGACTTTGGTCTGTGAAATATAAATTACTTGTTTAGTATTTACAGTCTTATGTTCTAACCATAGACTGTAATACTAACCACGTGTTCGCGTACCTGCTTGTCTCAAACTCTTTGTCATCTAATAGAAGTAAGTTTATTTTTATAGCATCGCTCATAGATTCAGGGTTTCAACCATAGACTGTAAATATGAATGCGTTTCACTTTTCACAGTACGTTCTATCTGCTCTTATGTTGCATTATATACTGATATCACAGGTTCTTGTGATTGACCGCGAAGTGCTGCCTTTACTGCCCAGTCTTTATTGTTAAATATAGTTGCATCTTGCACAGCTGCTACTTTCACCAAATGTTTTGTATCTTTGTGTCCAATTCTTTGTTGATTGTAAATAGACTATGTTTTAATCAACGTTAATAACGAGAACCCTGCACTAGGACTGTCTTTAATGGCAAATGTAGTTATTGAAGCTGGACTTTCTCTTTGCTGCTAATAGATGTTGAATACTGAGAACCTGCACCATGGATTTATTCTAATAACCTGCACAGACCGCGACAGGATAAAGTGGCGTAAACGAAAAAACGATGCTCTTACGCCATCTAGCGGACCAGTGTGTCTCTGCATCACAGCGGACAAAATGAACAGGTACCGTTTTAAAAAGCATACATTCCAACTGCATCTAAGAATCTCTCACTATTATTTACACTCGATTTTGTTTGAGGTGTATTTCACTCAGGAATTGATTCATTTATACATGTTGGGAGGCTTATTCACAGGCCTCGTTGGCGCAGTAGGCAGCGCGTCAGTCTCATAATCTGAAGGTCGTGAGTTCGAGCCTCACACGGGGCACATGTTTTTGTCTTTTATACATTGGTGCTTCATGGCAAACCTGAAAGAACTCTGGTTTAAATTCTTGGTGGTGAATGGTTCTTTTACAACGCATAATCTGATCTATAGATTATAGGTCTACTGCAGATTATCCTATTATAAATGAAAATAAAACTAATCAAATCAAGGAGCTAGGGCAAACAATTCTTATTTATGACTCCTTTTATGGACGTGTGCAATTGTACCACAAGTAGTGACAAAATCACACAGTTGACTAAGCTGCAATAAAAATGCATGTTTTTGATGCAGCAGTATGCCCGGCTAGCTCAGTCGGTAGAGCATGAGACTCTTAATCTCAGGGTCGTGGGTTCGAGCCCCACGTTGGGCGCACATCTTTTTTTCTTTCTAGAAATTGTTCAGTGGGCAAAGCTATTTTGGGTTACTGAAGACTGTGAAAGACAACGTTTATATCAGAAAAGTAAAAATATAACATCTAGTACACGTGCATTACATCCTTATTACATTGTGCATACAAGAATAAAAGAAATAGACAACAAACAGGTCAACTTGTAGTACTGCACAATCTGTTCTGGACTCACACCACATACACTCTCTTCTGACAGAGCCAACTCTACCTGCTGAGGAAGCTCAAGTCTGGACCTGCTGAGGAAGCTCAGGTCTGGACCTGCTGAGGAGGCTCGGGTCCGGACCTGCTGAGGAGGCTCAGGTATGGACCTGCTGAGGAAGCTCAGGTCTGGACCTGCTGAGGAGGCTCGGGTCCGGACCTGCTGAGGAGGCTCAGGTATGGACCTGCTGAGGAGGTTCAGGTCTTTTGGAGTGAGGGGCCACTCCTGAAGACCTTCCATGACTCTGTTGGCATCAGCCTCTTGCGCGAAGTGGTCTGCTGATGGACAAGGTCTTCAGGAAGTCCAGCTCTGTCCTGGGATGTTCCCTGGACTCGGTGGGGGACAAGTCTGCAAAAGATATAAGGCTGTTAGTATTAGATAGCAATATGGCCTACGTGCAGGACTGTACAAGGACTCTACAAGGACTCCATGTTATGACTATGATGTGACTGTCTCTTTGTGACACGTATGTCTTTCGATGTGTGACGTGACAATGACTATATAAACTGTGTACTGCCTTTATTCTGTCTGGGAGAAAGAAACAGAGTAAACCAGTGGAACTTGAGAGAAACTTAAATAAACTTCCAGAGTTTGGCACACCACGATCCGTCTCTGTCTGCTAAATCCTAACAGATTTGGTGGAGAATGTGCGGCTCAGTGTGCGCCATTCTCTGGATTGTTTTGAGGGAATTTCCTCTGTTTCTTTTTTTCGGCGTGTGGGAGCAACAGCACGTTATCTGGAAGGGGAGAAATCCCAGTGGACGCTGAAAGGGCTCGCTTTTGGATGGGCTTGCTCTTGCTCCCTCACTTTCTCTGTTTTGTGTTTAAATTGAATTTTTCGACGCGGAAAAGAAGTTGGCTGACCTCTTGAACAGTCCGGACAAAGAATTAAGGTAAGCAGACACCTTTTTAAATGTAAAGTCTGCATAATTGGATATTAGCTAAATTTTGGTCTGTTTTTGGGGTCTGTCAAACTCTCTAAATTGTATTGAAAGTAGTAGTCTCAGGGTTTATGTCCCTTGGAGCAGTCTCAGGGTTTATGTCCCTTGGAGCAGTCTCAGGGTTTAAGTCCCTTGGAGCAGTCTCAGGGTTTAAGTCCCTTGGAGCAGTCTCAGGGTTTAAGTCCCTTGGAGCAGTCTCAGGGTTTATGTCCCTTGGAGACACACAGTCTCAGGGTTTGAGTCCCTTGGAGCAGGATGTTTCAGAATCGATTTTAAGGTTCTTTTAATGGTTTTTAAATGTCTTAATGGTCTTGGGCCTTCCGATCTTTCAGATTTGCTTTTATCCTATGAACCTTCCCGGCCCCTGCGCTCCTCCGGCAGCAGACTCCTAACCATCCCCAAAGTCAGGACACACTCTCACGGCGAGGCATCTTTCCAGCACTACGGCCCCCGTCTCTGGAACAGTCTGCCGGAGGAGCTCAGGGCCGCAGAGAACGTTCATATTTTTAAAAGTAGGCTCAAGACGCACCTTTTTAGAGTAGCTTTTGATTAGTTTTTATTATTCCATTCTATTTATCTTTTATTATTTATTATTTATTATATTGCTATTGCTATTATTCATGTATTGTGTGTTCCTTTTAGTCTCACATTTTAGTGTTTTACTTATTGTATTGTTTTTAGTGTACCCAGTGTTTCCTCTGGAGGAGCCCTCTGCACCGGGAGCAGTGGTCGGTGTGGCTGCGGGGGTCGGACTCTTGGGCCTGGTGGGGGCCTGGGGCCTCGGTTTCATGTCTCCTCTGGGTCCTGTGTCGTCCCCTGTGGCTACGGGCGGCTCTCTGCTCCTGGTGCAGACGGCTCCTTGGATGACGCTTTTTCAGCTGGTTGCATCTGAACCCTGCCAAGTCTCTCATCATGTTTTTATTGTTTTACTGGTGTGTGTGTGTGTGTGTGTGTGTGTGTATGAGTGTTCATGAGCACGTGTGTGTGTGTTTGTCTGTGGTTTGGGGGGGGTCTGTTGGGTGGTCTGGGGGAGGGGTCTTGGGTCGGCGGGATTGTTTTTAACCAATCTGTAAAGCACTTTGTGTTGCATCTTATGTATGAAAAGCGCTTTGTAAATAAAATTTGATTGATTGATTGATTGATTGATCCTTAGTGAAACCATGGTGTAAAATTAAAAGCAATTTTTAAAAAAGGGAAACGTTTTAAGGAGGCCTTTTGTCACAAAAAGTTATGTAATTAACCAATTCCAGGCTGGGACGGAATTGGGCGGCACGGTGGCTGAGTGGATAGCACTCTCGCCTCTCAGCAAGAAGGACCTGGGTTCGAATCCCGGTCGGACCAGGGCCTTTCTGAGTGGAGTTTGCATGTTCTCCCCGTGTCTGCGTAGGTTTCCTCCGGGTACTCCGGTTTCCCCTACCACTAAAAATATGTCCAATAGTTCTGGCATGCGCCTTGTGTACTGGCCCCGCTCCCATCTCTGTGTGGAGTGGGAGACAAATGCCCAAAAATTAACAATTGTAAACCGCTTTGAGACTCAGATCTGCAGTGAAAAGGCGGTATATAAATAAAGATTACTTACTTACTATTACTTACAGGCTTGATAAATGACTAAAGTAAAGAAGCAACAATATTGCAGTGATCACGGTTTAAATTACATACAGAAAAAGGGAGTTTTTGTTTTTGGCGTGAACAGAGTTCACGCCAAATGTTCACGGAGAATGCAGAGTTTTATCTAAAGTTGAGCTATGAGAGCTTTCGTGAGTTATTTACATTTTTTGCCGAGTTATATCTACAGATAAGCTATGAGAGGGTTGTATCCAACAGTTGTTTTTGTTTTTTAGAAAGAGATTTTGAGTTTAAACTAGTTTGCTACCTCGATAAAATAGAAGCGTAAACGTTAAACACTAAAGAGTTGTTGTTCATAAACTCATTTCCACATAAGAGTTCAAATAGTACCATACAGTGTGATCCTTTTGATAGATCAGCTAAAATATTAGAATCAGAGTTATTTTAGAGATATTAAAAGTGACAGAAGTCACAGATTAGAAATATGCCTTTGCTCAAGCTGCAGCCGAGCTTTGGAGCTTAAAAATAGAGTAAAAATAGGAATAGATAAAAGCATCAACCATAGATGCTTTCAAAAATAGAGATTATTTGTAGCCAGTGCTAATATCAAATGGTAAAGGGACTATTTCACAAACATTTACTTCAGAAGTAAATCAAGTTGATTACAGTTGTATGTACAGTTTTATTAGATACTTGCCAAATTCACTTGTGTTCAAACATCTGTGAATGTTGACAATACAAAAAGTTCATGAAAGTAGCTTAGATCAATGAGATAGATTAGCACCAACAGAGATTCAAAAGCATTTAAAAGCATTTTGATGTATTTGTGTATAGCACAAAAACAGTATAGTAGATATTTAGATATTGAGAAGTTTCCAGCACAAACACCATTGTAGAATAACTGACCCCAAACCTGCTAAAATAGATTAGCTCTTGTAAGGATAATACTAATTTGATTAATGATGTACATTCATCCCAAACTGCCTGAGAGGAGGAAGTGACAGCACTTCCTGGTTCAACAAATGTATTTGGAAAACTGACCGCCATAATAATGTTCATATTAACCATTTGCCTTACTGTGTTCACAGTTTTATTCCTGAGAATGTAGAATAGACAGAGCAAAATCCCACAAGCACAAAGCCACTGATAATGAGAGTGTAATACCACAGAGAGATTAAAATGTATGTTTAAGAATATGGCTCAATAGAAGCAAATATGCAAACATATTTGTAAATAGATTAGAATAGTTTTAAACTATAGTGAATCATGAAAGTAAAGTACACAGTCTAAGATTGAATAGTGAAAACAATACAGTGAAGTGAAGTGTAAACAATCAGCATTAGAATAAAAGTATAGAGTAATAAAAGTGAAATTAGCTTCAAATTTGAGACTCAGCTCGTTTTTGTCTGTGTTTTGACTGAATCTGCTGAGTTCTTGTGTGTCCAATAGTGTTTGTTTGTTTTTATTTTTGATTTGTTTTTTGTTTGTTTATTTACTTTATTTTTGTTTGTTTGTTTTTTCCCAGGATAGAGGATTAAATCCACTGATATTGATTTGATGATTATGAGTAATGCATACATTTTCTTTGTTTTTAATAATTTTTTAAAGTTTTTTTTTTGATTTTTTTTTTTTTTCTTTTTCCACTTTATTGATTGATCAAATTGAATGATCACATGTGATCAAAGGGGAGGGTGTTAGTATTAGATAGCAATATGGCCTACGTGCAGGACTGTACAAGGACTCTACAAGGACTCCATGTTATGACTATGATGTGACTGTCTCTTTGTGACACATATGTCTTTCGATGTGTGACGTGACAATGACTATATAAACTGTGTACTGCCTTTATTCTGTCTGGGAGAAAGAAACAGAGTAAACCAGTGGAACTTGAGAGAAACTTAAATAAACTTCCAGAGTTTGGCACGCCACGATCCGTCTGTCTGCTAAATCCTAACAAGGCCTTAAAGCAAAATGTTCCTAAATACCTTGTTTGGCACTTTTAACCATCAAAATGATATTACTATTGAGGAATTTGAATGGAAATGGTTTATCTTGTTTCATATTTATTTGAAGGGAACAATGTGATCTGTGTATGGAACATAAATGATTAACTCAGTCCAACAAAACAAGAGGCCAAAGAGCTCGTAGCAGCAGATCAGAGCTAAGTAGAGCTGACCCTTGGATCCATCTCTACATTGTCAGGTAAAGTAAATACATTACTCAGTTATTTAGGTTTTGGCTGTACACCATAACATATAGTCCTTCAGTAGTGTAAAAGTGGAAATTGGTTATATTTTTCAAGTGGCATGGTAACTCAAGTTACATGATACTTATTGTTTTGTCTTCTTACCAGGAAAATAAAGATTATTATTATAGTTGACTTCTGAATCTAAAACAGTTGAAGTATGTGAAATAAAACTTTGTGTCCTTCGAACTGTTTCTGTTCTGGACCAAAAGTAACTCGGTTGTGTAACGCATTTCTATTTTGTAATCAGTGATCTCATAATACAGATATATGACATTTTATCCCAAAGTAACTTCCCAACATTGCAAATCCAAGACGATAATGTAATCACTAGAGGTAGTTAGTTTTGTGTTAGTGCACCCCACATCGTGCTGCGTCCTTCATAACTGTCACTGTCCTTGTAGTGTACTTGTCAAATGACGAATCCCTCTATCTACAGAATTTAAAAGTACAAAATATTACATTAATGACAATATATTCAGATGTTTAAGACTGTTAGTTTGTGTACAGAGCCTTGCAGTAAAATAGACTTTATTGATCTCACACAGGAGACATTTACAGCAAAATTTTCAGCCAATCAGAAAGTTGAACTGTAAGCTTTCACCACATGATTTGCCTGTAGTAATAAATTGTTAAAAACTTTTAGCATCACCACATAAGTACATAAAACCAACTCTAACAAATGCAAAAAGTTCTTCAAAGTTCTCCCCATAGATATTGTAGTTTCTCCCACCCGTCCTGGACAGCATGGCGCAGTTTGAAGGCCTGACACCGTCGCAGACAGTGGAGAGTGTTGGTCGACTGTTGGGTTGTTCTCCCACTTCTGCAAAGGTCGCAGAGTACCTGGACCAACAAGACCCTCTGAGACCACTCCGAGGAGAGTTCCTGTTGCCAAAAGTGTCTGAACTGCCAACCTGTAAGCCATGGAAGTGAAAAATGACTTAATGTTCAGTGTTGGATTGCTCTATGATCTTGCTTTTTAAATGAGGCTTGTATTCCAGAAACTTATGCACCAGTATGGGGCTTTCTCTTTCCTTTGTTACCCTAATATTCGTCTTATACAGATGACTCAGTGGAGGTTGATGGATCTACAGACTGCATTTATCTTGTGGGCAACTCCCTGGGTCTACAACCCCGACTTGCCCAACGATACTTGATGGAAGAGCTGGAAAAATGGGCCAAAATGTATGATTTTTACTATTGTTATAATTTTTTTTGTAATTTCCTGCCGCAAAGATGGAATATTTTAGTTTCTTTATGAAGTCGTGAAATCGGACATGATAAGGTCAAAATTAAATATATACTTGTTTTAGAGCCTTGCTTTCATTCGCAATTTTAAGTATTAAGAATTATCAAATTTGTTTTCCTTGCTATAGAGTTACAACAACAAACATCCATGAATCATTATTGTGTTGAACTTTTTAAATTCTCAATATGTAATCAAAAGCGCTCTTGTCATAGCAGCTGATTATGAAAGTGAGCAACATAGGAAAAAAAGTCTCTTGGATTGATAAACACAGTAACAGTACCAGGGGCTGCAAAATGGGAATAGCCGATTTAAAATAAAAATCTGTAATAAAATGCACACAGTATGTAGGGCTGCACAATTTTGCAGTATTACTGAAAATAATACAGAATGGAACCTCTGGGGTCTCCGGTTTCCCCCGATCACTCAAACCTGCAACAGTATGTCCCAAACGCTTTACAAGACAAAGAAAGATGGACTTAAATTTTACACTAACTTTTATTTGATTGTGGATGTTTTAGTAACCCTAGCACAGCACGCTCACTGTATTTACACTGGATATTCAAAAGTAAAAATGGTTTCTTATCTGCAGAGGGGTACATGGTCACACAGATGGTGCGAGACCCTGGGCCTGGGCAGAGAACAATATAGAGCAGATGATGGCGGATCTTGTGGGTAAGGGACTCACTCTGCTCCCAGTCGACCTTTCTTTTCATCTCATTCCTAAAGTCTAAATCTTAGATGGACATATGTTATTGTTTAGTTTGATTCTGCAGGTGCGAAGAGAGAGGAGGTGGCTCTGATGAACGGTTTAACAGTTAACCTGCACTTACTCCTGGTGAAGAGCAATACATTCTTTTGCGGGTGTTTTATGAGAGCATAGTTTAACCACTGACATGTCGTTTACACAGCTTTCCTTCTACAAACCCACGGCACTGCGGCACAAAATCCTCCTTGAGGCAAAGGCCTTTCCATCGGATCATGTGAGTTTACTGGGGAATTATGTAACATTTATTGTGGGGGGATCTGCAACACTTTAGTCATTTACAAGGACTAAGTGTATTTTGTGAACTTAATGAAGTGGAAAGTGAAGTGCATTTTTTGTTATATTGTCCTTTTTATGATGAATTTAGAAACGCGTTGTTTCATGAAGCGTTTTCCCGGGATCCTGATTTGTTTTGGGGCAGTGATGATGATAAGATGAAATTCTTATTTGAAAATCAAGTGTTTAAATTGTCTTCATTTGTAAGTAAAGCCTGGAAGAAGCGGCAGACTCATCTATTTAAATGAGAGCTTTGGTGTTTGATCTTGTTCCTTTTTTATTCTATTTTTTTTTATTTTATTTTGTTTATGATTGTGCTTCTGTGCCTGATGTTGGCCTGTGTCTCTGTATTTGTAAATGGTGTCTTATAAGCCCATGTGGGCTGGGCATCTTCGTGTGCAAGACACTATAATAAAAGATTATCTATCTATCTATCTACAAGGAGTCAGTATCCAAAAATCAAAGCTGGAGAATCTAACCTTGAAACCTTAATAAATGAACTGATAAAATCCTAGCTCCCTCCTGCTGTGGTTCACTCTCTGCTCTCACTAGAACTAGTTTCACATGCATGTATTTTAGGCCTCTGCCAAATCCTTTTATTGAGTTTCTGGCATCAGCTCTCAGAAGCCACTAAAGTCTTACTCTGATTTTAAATTACTTCTCAATGTCAGTAGTTACATATGTCACATCAATGCAAGTTTCTGACCTTTTCATTACATGTGATTCATTATTCAAGTTTTGCAGAGTAGTGTAATAGATGGAGTATGTTTCTGTTACTGATTTCTCCTTCCTTCTGTCAGTACGCTGTGGAGTCTCAGATCCGTCTGCGAGGGCTGAACCCAGAGGAGAGCATGCTGCTGGTGTCTCCCAGACCTGTGTGTACTGTTACCTTAATATTATCATGATAAAGTATTCTGCACTTTCCTGCAGGACGGATGACTTATTTACCTCTCATCAGCACAATGTCCTGTAACATAACTAATTTTCAACGGCCGAGTCAAAGTCGAGGCCAAATCCAATTGAACATCAGTGGAAATAGTTAAACTGCTTTTTCACAAACTCTCTCCATCGGATTTTTCTATGTTTGTTGAAGTGATAAAAGTCAGGATCAAATGTAAAACTGGATCAATGGACGTGTCTTTAGGGGGAGGAGACCCTGCGGACAGAGGACATTCTGGACGTGATAGCGAAGGAAGGAGAGTCCATCGCGGTGGTGATGTTCAGTGGGGTCCAGTATTACACCGGACAGCTCTTTGACATGGCTGCCATCACCGAGGCTGGGCACAGGAAGGTACGGGACTGCTCTGATTGGATCTTCTTCTCAGCTCACGGTTTATAGAATCTTCTGATGATGTTTCCTCAGGGCTGTTATGTTGGTTTTGACTGCGCTCACGCCGCGGGGAACGCGGTGCTGCAGCTCCATGACTGGGGTGTGGACTTCGCCTGCTGGTGCTCCTACAAGGTCTACACTTTATTTGACCAAGCTATTATAAATGCCATATTATGAATATATTAGAGAATACATCTTCTTAAGACACCTCAAGCAGAAAGGCTGTGAAAGACTTAAAATATCCTAGCTCAGACATCAACTTCATAAAATGTAAAGCTTGATGATTAAACGATGGTGGACAATCTTAATTTTGGCATTTTTTAAAGTGTACGTGTATGTTAAATGTGTAGCTCATGTCAAACTACTTGGACAAAGCTAAGCTAACTTACTCCATTAACTTTATGAATGAATGAATTAGTTAAAACATTTCTTCTTGTTTCCTTTTCCTGTTGCCTTGAACCTTTTGTCTTGTTTTTATATGTTCTGTTTGTAGTATTTAAACTCTGGAGCTGGAGGTTTGGCCGGAGCATTTATCCACGAGAAACACAAGGACACCATCACACCAGCGTCAGTCTCACCTAAAAAAAACATGTATATATTCGTAGTACTCATGAATGCTTTCTGTTTCTCTCCTCTGCAGACTAACGGGGTGGTGGGGCCATGACCTCAAAACCCGTTTCCAAATGAATAATGGCAAGACGGCAGTATATATTTTTTGTCTCATTTTGATCCCTTGAAGTCTTGTGTTTGATGGTGAGAGTAATATTATTTTTCATGGTCAGTGATGGAGCTACAGCCAGGAGTGAGTGGATTCAGGCTGTCAAACCAACCCATCCTGCTGGTGTGCCCCCTGCAGGCCAGTTTGGAGGTACTGCACTCCCACATATTCACATTGAGTCATTGGCTTTGTCCAACTACAAATCTTTTACCTTTTCTTCCTGAGTGCAGGTTTTTCACAAAGCAGGCATGGTAGCTTTAAGAAAGAAGTCGTTGTTACTGACTGGCTATCTGGAGTATTTGATCCTTCACTACTTCAGCCAGGACCACACCCAGCCACAGAAGCCCTATGTGCACATCCTCACCCCCTCAGACCCCCAGCAGAGGGGCTGCCAGCTCTCGCTCTGTTTCTCCCTCCCCATACGCACAGTTTTCCAGGAGTTGGAGAAAAGAGGCGTTGCTGTAAGTATCACACTGTTCATAATTACTGAATATCAGAAAGGTAGGAAAAAAGACAATATTGTATAATTCTACATAGTTAATGTTCTTTGTGGTTTGTTGGCCAGGGAGTAGCCTATGACCAGACAGAACCACATGACTTATTATCTACATGCAATTGGATTTTGTACAATAATAATAAAAAGGCATTTAATTAGCAATTGCATTACAGAGGAGTAAAAGTAGCCAGTTAACCTAAGTAAATAGTGAATTAAAACATTTTTGGTCCATGGACTCAAAAATAAATTCTTATGTTACGCACTATTTAATCTGTAAATCCATCCATCCATTTGCTTCCGGTTTATCCGTTGCTTGGTCGTGAGGTGGGCAAGACTGAGCTGAGATAAACCTAAACTTGAATACTGTTTCCTGCAGTGTGACTTGCGGGAGCCCAGTGTTCTGCGTGTGGCTCCGGTTCCTCTCTACAACTCCTTCAGTGACGTGCACCGCTTCGTTGAGACTCTGGGGGGCGCTCTGAGGGCCAACTACTCCTGAGGGATCCACACACCATTATCTAATTCTGTCTAATTCTAGCACCATGGACATAAGCTGTTTTTTCTGTTGGGATATCATGACATATTTTACCATTACAGTGTATCATACGTTCTGTAGTTTTGACATAATTTAATATCTAGAGTGGTCGTTAGCTAAAGACATTCTTTCATTCTCAGCATTTCAGTGATCCAACCTACTCAGCTCATCACAACTGGTCACGTGAAATAAACTATACAGAAAAGTAAATTGCAACAGTGAACTTCTCTTGGCCACTGTTATGTAGATAAAGCTTTTCTGTGTTTGTTTAGAATCTGAACCATAGCCTTTTTGGGTCAAAAGTGTTTATTCTGTACAAGCATGCAGCCATTTTTAAGGCCCTCGAAAAGTTTTTCAGTTTTTATCATTAACTGCAAGTATCAATGGCAAGAAGGACCATTACTATGCGTTTTGGTTCAATGTTTATAATGAATTGATGTTTCTGTCAATTAAACATTGTTATTGAAACCCATTTTTACAGCGTATCTGAAATTAGCCCCGGTTCAAAAGACCTGTGCACTGTGTACAGGATGTAAGGTACAGCAGGAGTTGGAGAAAACAAAGCAGTCACGCCCACTTGTGATTAGTGGACATCCATCATCCTCTTCAAAAGACAAAACAAGAACACATTTGACTGTTTTATTCTAATATGAAATGTCAGAAAACAATAAAAAATACAATATCTGGACTATGAACAGAGAAAGTAGTGGACAGAAGTCTGTTAAAACAATCATTGCAGCAGTTTTTGGCATCAGCTGGGGCTAGGCGGTCAGCTCGGACTTGTCCTCTTTGGTTGGTTCAAGCATCATGGACAGGAGGTAGTCTAAGGGAACACATATGATCAGGAGGAATAGAGATAATCTTTGAAGTGGTCTGTCATCTTACCTTCAGTATAGTCTGTGTCGGGCCTCGTACTGACGAAGACCCAGGACACGCCGACCAGCAGCGCGACCACCAGGTTCACTGTGACCCAGGGGTGGAGGTTCTGCCGCTCTGAGCCCGTCGGCCTGGACACAAATACTCACTTATCTCAATATCTGTTTGACTAAAACTTAGAACCAGGGTTTGAGGTTCTCACCACAGAGAGGAGTTGAAGCTGGGGTATAGGTTGATGCGGTCGCTGGTCATCTGCTGGCTCAAAGACAGGATCAGAGCACAGAAGTACACTGGACAGAGGAGGGGGGGTCAGAGCTCACACCGGGACACACGGACTGATTACAGGGACTTACAGAAGGAGACCAGTGCCACAGGCTCCAGGCTCATCAGCTGTCTCAGGGCCATGGAACCTTTGGCCAGATTTACTCTAAAAAAATACACACGAGTATGAGGACACACATCCAATAGCAGTAAAAGTACAGTATACTATAACAGTTTGTGAGTATTGTGCACGCTCATCTGTATGCAATTTTTGGTTATTTTCCCCCTGCTTTTCAACCAGCATTGGTATCAAACATTAATAGCTGGATTATGTATCCCTGATAAGTATGTGTATAATTATGTACTGTAGGGTTAGGCCACTGTACAAGGCACTCCTTTTCTAACTTCTGTGGACCCTGCAGCCGATACAGTGTTGGCAGTACCGGGAGCAGAGGAGAAACCTTCAGGCTGTTACCTGTCAAAGGCACACACGGTGCTGAGGACCAGCAGCAGGTAGAGCAGGCTCTGACAGGGGTAGGCCAGGCCATGGTACTGCTGCAGCAGGTTGGACAGAGTTGTGAGGTGTGGACCTGCCAACACATACACCACCACAATGTGCCACACAGCAAAGCCTGCGAGGAAGCCCTGCGCAAAGAGACCGAGCATCCTGCAAATACAGCATTCATTCTGAAACAGGCACTCTGTAACTGCTATTGCATTTTGTGCAATTACGGTTAGGGTTATTGTAACCAAAAAGACAACTGTAGTGGGACAGCTGGAGTTACCTGAAGCTCTGGTGCAGCTTCAGCGACACGTCTCTGGTTCCCCACGTGCTGAGGGGGGGCATGTCCATGTGCTCCAGCTGCCCACTGTTCCGGCTCCACGCCGCCCGCTCTGAGGCCTGGAACCTTCCTGAACGTACGCACAGAAAAAATAATGACAAAAACATGTTTGATCAAAGATAGATTCATTAGAAAAGTAGACGCACTGCTCCTCTCCACGAAGACCTTGGACACGGGCTGGCTCTGGGCCTGAGGCGGGGCAAACAGTGTGTGTGGGGGGGCAGGGGGGCCGTCTGTGGTGATGTCATCCTCCACGGACAGCTCGTCGGGCAGGGGCACCTCGACGGGCCGGGGCTTCCTTCAAACAAGGTGAGAAAAGTCTTTTCTCCATCAACCTTAGGATAATGTGAAAATCGAAAATCCTTACTTCTTCCTCTTTGTGACTTTTCTGACCACCTCTTCCCCTTCAGTGTTCTGTTCCACAGCCTCAGTGCTCACCAGGTCTGCTTGGTCATCTTCTAGCTCTGGAACGAAATCAACCAAGTTAGATCCATAACCTTAACACTGTATACAGATGGGCAATGCTAACCCGCTAGCTAAATGAAGTTTAACAGGTAAGTTTTTGGCTCCAAATCACTCTGACTCCTATTGACTTCTGTGGTTTAGTGCTTTCTGTGATCCTGGTGTTTACATTGTGATATTGTCTTTGTAAATCTTCCGCATTAGGGCCAACATTACGGTGATGTCACACTCGGACAGTCCTACTACACTCTGATTTATCGTTTATCATCTCCTTAACAACTACTTGTGATTATTGGGGAAAAACATATAGATGGACCTGTACTTTAAATGGGTGAGGGTTAGTATCTTTAACGTTACCTATGGTGGCTGCCTTCTTCCTCCTCCTCTTCCTCTTCTGCACGGCCGAGTCTGGAGAAAGCCGCTCCCCAGGATCAGAGAGCCTTGAGCTGGACACGCCTTGCATCTCTACATCCCCGTCTGAAAAAGCACAATTACCTTAAAAATCAATTCACAGTGCAGACAGTAAATAAAGTATTATGGTTTCTAACTACCGTATGTATCCTCCACTAGGGACTGCTTTCTCAATTTCTTCTTCTTACGCCTTGGTACTTCTATAAAAGTAGAGATAACTTTATTATAATTGTATGATATTAAACATGATGAGTAGCTGAGAGTTACCTGCTGATTCTTCACTGCAGCAACATGTGCAAAGAGACAAATAAAACAATGTTAGTTTGAAAAAATAGAAAGTATAGACAGTGCAAAACATACAAACCTGGGCATGGCAGGGAGAGTCCTCTGTTCTCTCTGGAAAACACAAAACAGCACTGGTTCATTCTGCATCCACTAACGGAATTAAGAATGTTTAAGAGCAGTAGTATTATGCATATATTTCATTCAATTCAATTTATTAGATGTATTTGTGTATTGCCCTAAAATCACAGCAGCAGTAGTCTTGGAGTTGTGGATTAACAGATCAGAGGTTCAAACAGTTTAAATAATAGTTCAATAATATAACAAACAAATAGGAGCCATTGGTCCATAGAGAACCACTCACAAACCAGGACTAGGGTTGTCGATCCAGGACTGAGGCTGTAGATCCAGGACTGAGGCTGTAGATCCAGGACTGAGGCTGTAGATCCAGGACTGAGGCTGTAGATCCAGGACTGAGGCTGTAGATCCAGGACTGAGGCTGTAGATCCAGGACTGAGGCTGTAGATCCAGGACTGAGGCTGTAGATCCAGGACTGAGGCTGTAGATCCAGGACTGAGGCTGTAGATCCAGGACTCGGACTGTAGATCCAGGACTCGGACTGTAGATCCAGGACTCGGACTGTAGATCCAGGACTCGGACTGTAGATCCAGGACTCGGACTGTAGATCCAGGACTCGGGCTGTAGATCCAGGACTCGGGCTGTAGATCCAGGACTGAGGCTGTAGATCCAGGACTGAGGCTGTAGATCCAGGACTGAGGCTGTAGATCCAGGACCACGGGGCGACCAGTTTACAGGAGTCATTAGAGGAACTCACCATTTTTCTAGCCATGTGTGTTCTGTGTAAAGAAGTGACTGACAGACTGACTTAAGAGCACATGAAAGCTACAAATACCCTGATTACCTTTGGTCTAAATGTGGGCACCTCTCATCTAAGCTCCAGGATTAGGCAAGGCTAGTTTTTTTGTATGGCACAGGTCATACAGCCCTCTGCTCTGACTTAATGAGTGGTAGAAAACTAAATAACGATATTAAATTCTAAAACTGCGTGAGCCGTACAGGAAATTGTTTAAAGTAAGTATTCCTTCTGTATTTTTATAATAAGCTTGGGCTTCCACTTAAAAGATAACTTCCACTGACCTGAGGAAGAGGAGGGAGCTCTCTGGGTCGCATCTTCCGTGGTTAAAAGTGATGAACCCAAGTGAAATCTTATTATATATAATTACAATGACATTAGTGTACCACATGAGGGCTATGGCAACCGCCCGTGGGACTCCAAGACACACGTTTTAACCTGGACAAACATCACGACAGACTGTGCCCCTGTTAGCTTTAGCCGTCGTTAGCTTTAGCCATCGTTAGCTTTAGCTCCGGCAGCTCTGCGGATGTTTACACCGGAAGCTTGATTACTCGCAGACAACAATAAAACACATTTTATGACTAGTTACTTATCAAACACTGACCCTTACTTTCTCAACACTTTTCACACCTCCTGAACACCTGCTCGAAAATGTTAACTCGATTTTATTATATTAATACACTAAATAATATTGTATAGTTGAGTCTTTTTCCATGTAAATATAAGGTACAGTGTGTTTATAGTAATATTTACAGTCTATCTAACCAGTTATGAAAGAGGCAAAACTATAGGCGCTATATGATTAAAGACTACTCAATTACTTATAAACTGTTCTATTAATTTTATTTTGGATCACCCTAAATCACTACAGCAGTAATCTCAGATGACTGAAGTTGCAATTTCCGCAACAACAGATCTGAGAATTAAACCGTTTTCAACACAGGAAAAGCAATAATAACAAACGGGTCACTTGTCCATAGAGAGCAGGACGGCCACGGTCCAGAAATGTTAATAAATGTTCCAGATCATCACTGTCCTTGGACCCTCCTGCCTCAGCAACCACTCAGAAACCAAGTGGGGGAAAAGTGGCGTGGTCCACATTGAGGAAAGGCTCTGCTCCTTGTTGCATTTGTAATATTTCTATTTTGCAAGAATCTATAGTTCTTCGTAAATGCCAAAATAAAAATAAAAACAGTATTCAGGGAAGTCTAATGGATCCACTGCTATATTTATGTTTAAACCGGAGACAATACCTCAGTGTTGCTTCTTACTCATCAATACACTCAACACAACCCTTTTGAGGCTGGAATTATGAATTAGGCTCAATGTTGTTCAAGTGGGACTCAACTGAATAAACTTAAAAATATGGCAGTGAGTTTGATTTTATTTATGTTTTCAATCAAATAAAAACAGACAATATTCCCCTCGCTCTCAGTGCAGTCCTCATGAACAGCAGTATGTTATTGCTGAGGGCGGATCCAGCTGGAGGGAACCCACTGCGGCTGCTCCTGGGCTCGGGTGGCGGCGGACCTCAGCTCCGCGCAGGCCTCCTGCAGCTCCTCGTTCACCACCACGTGATCGAAAAACTGAGAGAAATGTAACTCCAGCTTCTGCGCCGACTCCTCCAACTCCACCAAGTCCTCCTCCTGCGGCACCAGAGACTGTGTTAGAGTGGACTGAGTGTGATATCACCACAGTGTGACATCACCACAGTGTGACATCACTACAGTGTGACATCACTACAGTGTGACATCACTACAGTGTGACATCACCACAGTGGAAGGCCGATTTGAACACAAGCAGAAATACAACGTCAAGAGCGGGAAACGAACCCTGGATTAAGTATCATAGAATCATTCTTGATGTAACCAATGAAAATGTCCTGTTAAATATATCGACAAAATCCACTTTGTTTTAGATTCATCGCAAGACTATTTTTGGGGAAGAATAAGAAATATTTTGGCTATTAAACAAGATATGAGACTGTCTACTTTGTGATGTCATGTTTTCGAAATAATGTCTTCAGTAGAAAAAATATGGTATGAAAATATGGTAAATAAAAACAAGGATCAACGCAATGTGCCTGTCATATCACTATGCTGCCACTAGAGGGAGGTGTATGTAGTTTCTTTAGAGAACTCCCAAATAAATTATCTTTACTACTTCAAGGCAGAAAATGCTGTGTGATGTCATAGCGGTACAATGACATCATAGTGCTTGCTACACGTTTGTTCCAGAATTGTTGTGATAATAGCATGGATGGAGCACAGATGGAAATGGACACAACTCCAGGTATCCGTCTCCTGTGACAGTGGTTGACCTTGAACGGGCGCGTGGCGTAGTAGTTGGTGAGGATCTGAGCATTGTGTCTGGTTTTCCTCAGCCGCTCTGCAGACGGAGGTTTGATGTAGACCACAAAGGCCCTGAGCTCGGGGGTCCGCACCGCCTGGAGAGCCTGAAGACCAGAGCAAAGATACGAGGTTAGAGTCCTTAGGGTTTGGGACTCTCATATTTGAACGCACCATTTCAAACTCACGTTAGACTCAATGTCGATGACGCAGATCTTCCCGCTGTTCAAAACCGCACTGACCGCCTCACTACTCGTGCCGTAATAGTTCCCTTTGTACTCTCCGTACTCAAGAAACCTGAGAATGGAAAAACAATTCAAAACAATTAATCATACAAAATGGTTCAGTCCATCTTTATCCATCCATCCATTTTCTTCTGCTTTATCCATTGCCGGACATGGGGACAGCAGTTTGAGCAGGACGGCAAGATTTTCCCCTCTACACACACTTCCTCCAGCTCATCTGACCTGTGGTCCCTCTGGCCCCTGGCTGTGGTCCCTCTGGCCCCTGGCTGTAGTCCCTCTGGCCCCTGGCTGTAGTCCCTCTGGCCCCTGGCTGTGGTCCCTCTGGCCCCTGGCTGTAGCTCCTGTAGCTCCTGTGGTCCCTGTGGTCCCTCTTTACTCACTTGTTGTCATGAATCATATTATCAAAGATTTCTCGACTGATGAAGTGATATTCTCTGCCCGACTCCTCGTCATCTCGCTGTGGTCGACTGGTATCTATAAGAATATGTTTGATTATGTATCAAATATAAACAAATGAATAATATTGATATCATGTTTATTTAAAGTAGGACCATATGAAGTGAACTCACGAGGAACAGCTCCCTGAAAGAGCTGTGGATGTGTTTGGATCAAGCGCCGCCGCAGCTCAGTCACTCCGACACCAGGCGCCCCTGAATGAACAGAAGAGTCATGGTTATAATGTTGATGATCAGTAGATCACAAAGCACACGGTGTGTGCGCAGTACCCAGCAGAGCCACCAGGCGCAGAGGGTCCTGGAGGTTGCGTTGATGCCGCACCACCTCCTCATACGGACTGCAGAGGGCGCTGTAGCAGCAGCTGCTGAGACACTGGGCCTGACAGGAAGACTGCACCGAGCTGTGGAAGCGGCGACGGCAGAGGCGCAAACTCCGCCTGAAGCCAGCTGCAGAAGAAGGATAACAGTCAGACAGGGCACAGAAAACAAACACATGAACTTAAGGAGATCAATGGGCAAAAATTCCCAGAGGACGGAGACACACTTTATCCCAAATGTTCTTCAACCTGTGTTGAGTTGCTTTCTCAAACCCGTTTGGACCTGTGTCAACTCCCTGTGGTGTGATGTCATAGTGATGTCATAGTGATACAATGACATCATACTAATACAGGACTGAGATAGGAGCTTTTAGACAGAAGGGGCGGAGCTACAGGTTTGTGCCAGACCTTCCATCCACGCCTGTTTTTTGGCGTGGATGGACCTAAAACAGCTACAGGTCTGTGACTGATGAGGAACACATGGAAAAAACTCAAGACAGCGTTTATTTCCCACATTATGTCTCCTTTAAATCCAGTAGAACAGCCACACACTGAGGACATTGGTACTTACCGAGATACATCTGGTCTTTGTTGAAACCACAGTCATCGTCTGCTGTAGACAAAAGACAAACTTAATCAATGATGAGGATTCTAAAGAACATTCTGAGCTTGTCCCCAGCCTTCTCACCTTCTCGCAGCTCTTCTAAACCGGGTCATAAAGCATCAGAACAAACATACTTTAGTCTCCAAACACAACATGAGCAGGTGTGTGCCGTACTCACCAGACTCAAACGTCTCCTCGTCTGGAACAAAAGATTATAAAGATTATAAAATTATATCACATATTCTGGATAAAGCTGCCGCACCACACTCACCGGCTTCAACGCATTTGTCCTCAAGCGCCATCAGGTCTTCTTCTGTTGAACAGAGACACATGTGAATTTACACTTCAGGTGAAACTTGGAACTTTAGAAGATGCCCTGCAGTAAGATATTTAAGATTTTCATGTCAAGTCATCATTAAAGGGCCCTAATCTGTCAAAAGCATGGATCTATAATAATAACTGGATAGGGTATTACTAGCTTAAAGCTGTCCCAACCATGGGTGGTACTGCAGACTAAATAATATAATTAATAAATAAAACATGCTCTTTTCAAATACTTCTTTAACTAATAACAGTAGTTCAGAGATGGTTGAATTTCTAAATTAGTTTTACAGCCCCTAAATCTTGTTATTGTTTTCATTTCGATGTCCCGCTCTCCACTGATAGATCAATTAAAAAGTCTGTGATCCGGGCGCCAGAACACACCGCATCAAGCTAATCTCACTGGTAAAGTACCATGTGGCCACAGAACTAAAAAAGGTCTCGTTATGATTCTGAAATAAAACCAGGATTTCTATCTTTGTGAAAAAGGTGTTGGTTATAGATTCTTTGTTGACAAAACTCTTGTCTATTCAGCTGTCATGGTCCCAGCTGGATTTGTCTGCATATCTGGCAACCTGAGTGAAAGTGGGAGAGGATTACTGAATATTGACCAAACATTGACCGTAATATAGAGCCATTCCACAGTGATGCCTTAGGTTCGGGTTATGATGATAATGTTGAAGTAGTGATTGACGATCCATTATCCAGATTCAGATGAGTTTTTTTATTTGGGATTGGGAGACAATCATCAGTTATAACCGATAAATCTCTCACTCTTCTGACATTTTTTCCAAGAGTCACTTGTTTATTGAAGTTTGTTTCTATCTGTACGTGTATAATTCAGTACTTACCCTCCTCCACAGTGCTCACTTATGAAAGCATGAAGAGACAGAAGCTGGAGTCAAATAAACTACAATAACAAACAAAAGTAGGAGTTTCGGTTCTTCTAAACCAGACCAGTCTTCAAACATGTCGAGGCAATAACATCCTCCGCCTGGTGTAGAAGAACCCAAGAGCTAAATCTACTGAGAAGGGTTAGGGGGTTGTCATTTGCAGTAAAACCACATTGGAATAACCGTGCAAGAATGTGAACCAGGATAGGACACAACCGGAGATCTTTCCACGTGTTAGTGTTTGGGTTAGTAGGCCCTTCTATCAAGTAAGTAAGTAAGAAATCTGTATTTATATACCGCCTTTCACAGACCAGAGTCCAAAGCGGTTTACAATCGTGGGCATTAGTCTCTCACTCCACACAGAGATGGGAGCGGGGCCAGTACAGGAGGCGCATACCAGACCATACATGTTTTTAGCGGTAAAGAAAACCGGAGCACCAGAAGGAAACCTACGCAGTCACAGGGAGAACATGAAAACACTCAGAAAGGCCCTATTCCAACTGGGATTCGAACACAGGACCATGATGTCAGCGAGCTCATTCCACAGACATTGACTCTTGATGGTAGGTTATGGATGATGGTTCTTATACTAACTCATCATTCTAACAACATGCACGAGGCAGTACTTTTCCACTTTGGATTTGGTTTTCTCAAGGGTAAAACCAGTGGCACGTTGGTGAATGCTGATTGGACGGTCTCCCTTCCTCCATGCTGTATAATATCACTTGCATTGCGTAACATATTTGTTCATGCTGTCTCCACCATCGACAATAAAACATGTCTTTCACGATCCCAGACTACTGCTTTTTTCTTCAACGGTACAAACACGCAGTACTTATACTTTTATACTATTACTATTACTCTTATAGTATCACTCACATGTGTGTATGCAGGCATGGGGCTGATACGGCTGAGACCACCAAAACTCCCTCTGCTTCCTGTGGAGGAAACATGCAAAAAAAAAAATTAGGAGTGACCAGAACCGAACGAGGCGAGGGCTTTCCATCTTTACCGTTTGAGCAGAGCGGTGGAGGGCACGAGGCCGGCACAGGCGCTGGACGTGGGTAGCTTTCTGGCCTGCCACCACAGAGCGTCGGTCTGGTCCACGATCTCCAGGACGTCCCCCCGTGTGAAGCTCACCCCTGCGTCCGGACAGGGGATGTTGGGGTCCACGGCGGGGTTGTAGTCCGCCATGGCCCGCACGTACATCTGCGGAGGGAGAGAGCACATTCAACATCATTTATGGACTTTTATCAACATATATAGACATTTATCAACATTTACGGACTTTTATCAACATTTATGGACTTTGGTCTCTGCCCCTTATGGACCAAAGGTTCTATGTGTTTTTTATCATTGTATTTCTTGTATTTGAACTGGTTTTGTAGAGTCCCCCAAAATAACCACTGTGATTTAGGGCTATACAAGAATACATTGAATTGAATTTAGAAAAAAGAATACATTATCATGATTATTATTGTCATATTCTTTCGAGTTCTTGTAACCTCGTTGTCTTTGATGAAAAACAGAACACTATAGTAAATAATAAATCCTTGAACCTGTTTTTATTGACAGTAAACACATTCTCTGATCTCTGATCTTAGAAACTACGAGAGAAAAAACAATCAACAAATGTAAATGATTTCTGCTCAAAGGGACCAACGGGGAGGGGCCTCACCGTGGTTTGGCTGTGCACCGGGCGCTCTGTGATGGGGACCACTTTGAACATGATGGTGCCTTGAGCGCACGCCTGCTGAGGATTCGCAGGGAGAATAGGTTTAGAACAGTTGGATAAGGATAGAGGATTATATAAACTTCATGGAGTCTCGTACCACCACTTGGATGACTTGCTCTGGCTCCAAACCGTCCACCGCAAAACCATTGACCTCCATGATCCTGTCGCCGGCATGAAGCAGGCCTGTACCACACAGACCGAAGAGGAATTCTCAAAACACCAGAGAGAGACCAGAGAGAGAGAGAGACCAGAGAGAGAGAGACCAGGGAGAACAGAGAGAGAGACCAGAGACAGACCAGAGAGAGAGAGACCAGAGAAAGAGAGACCAGGGAGACCAGAGTGAGAGACCAGAGAGAGAGAGAGACCAGAGAGAGACCAGAAAGAGAGCTTAGAGAAAGATCAGAGAGAAACCAGAGAGAGAGCCCTGAGAGAGAGCCCGGAGAGAAACCTGAGAGACAGACCAGAGAGAGAGGGGCCAGAGAGAGAGAGAGAGACCAGAGAGAGAGACCTGAAAGAGACCAGAGAGAGACACCAGAGAGACCAGAGAGAGAGACCAGAGAGAGAGACCAGAGAGAGACCAGAGAGACCAGAGAGAGACCAGAAATAGAGCTTAGAGAGAGCTCAGGGAGAAACCAGAGAGAAAGCCTTGAAAGAGAGCCCGGAGAGAAACCTGAGAGACTGACCAGAGAGAGAGACCAGAAAGAGAGACCTGAAAGAGACCAGAGAGACCAGAGAGAGAGACCAGTGAGAGACCAGTGAGAGACCAGTGAGAGACAAGAGACAGACCGGAGAGAGAGAGTCCCCTGAACTAAGCACTTGTCATGTTATACTTGTTTTAAATATATATAATGTTGTTGATGATGTGGTTGGCCTCACCGCTGCGGTCAGCCAGGCCTCCGTGGATCACTCTGGCTACAAAGATCTCCCCCGTGAGCTCGTTCCTCTTAATGGTCGCACCCTGCACAGAAAACAAAATCAAATCAAGGAAATATGAGTGACCAGTTGAAAGGGTTAGAGTTAAAAAGGTTTAGGGTTATGAAAAACAAACAGCTGCAACAAGAGATGAACTTGGAAAACTGAACATCCTCATGATTAAAATGTGAATGTGATGAAAACGATGTCCCTGTCTCTATGATGAAGGGTCAGGGTTTGGGATGTGTTTTAAAGGAGCAGTATGTGAAAATCTGGCCAAAAGTGGCACTGCAGCCTCTCCCACTTTCCCTGACTCAGGTTGCCAGATATGCAGACAAATCCAGCTGGGACCATAATATCTGAATATACAAGAATTTTCTCAACAATAAATCTATAACCAACACATTTTTCACAAAGGCACTGATAGAAATCCTCGTTGTAGGGTGATCATGATTTGAGAATCATAACAAGACCTTTTTAGTCGTGCGGCCACATGGTACTTTACCAGTGAGATTAACTCCACACGGTGAGTTCTGGCACCTGGATCACGGACTTTTTGATTGGTAAAACGGTGGAGCAGGACATCGAAAGGAAAACAAGATTTAGGGGGCTGTAAAACTACTTTTGACATTAAATTTGGCCTAACTACTTATATCAGTTCAAGAAGTATTCGAAAAAAGCATGGTTTATTAATGCCTTTTGACAGATTAATTATGAGTTGACATGAAACTCTTACATATTGCTACTTTAAACCAGTGGTCAAACCTTGAGTGGGTCAGAATCAGAAGCTAGTGAGCCAAAGGAGGATGGCATTGTGGGAAGAAATGACAATCAAAGCCCAAAACCTCAATTAATGACTCACAGGGCTCTAACAAGATGAAGACAGCATGTTGTGGTCTGATGTAGGGACATAGCAAATTAATAATGGATGAAAACATAAAGTTAGGTACTCCAGCTTTAGATATGTTAGTTGTTAGGATGCAAACAGTTCATTTCTGAGTCCAAACAGAACAGACTGGAGACAAAAGGGAAGTGGGTTTACTCAGGCTGATTCTGGGCTTGAAGGCAACCACAGCCGTTGGACTGGAGCGTCTGCTGTAGATGGTCCACCTTCTGCACCAGGAGAACCAGGACCTTCAGGCTGTGCTGGGAGGTCCGGCTCATACGCTCAGACGCCACGCTCATTCTGTCCACGCTCATTCTGTCCACCAGCAGCTTCAGATCCTGGGCCCGGGCTTCCATGGAGGTGACTGCCTGTCGCACACTTTCCCGGAGCTCACCCAGACCCTCTCCGGGGGCCTCGGCAGCAGCAGCAGAGGGGCTGGAAGGAGCAGGGCCAGGGCTGTGCAGGCGAGGGCGATAAAGCGCTCCAGGCTCAGACAGGTTCCAGTGATAGGTCGAAATGTGGCGAACGTCCGAGTCCGCGCCTCCAGGAAGAAACACATTTGCATGAACATAAAAAGAGTTGAGTTCTGTGCTGCACGGATGAGGATGCGTTTGATGGTGGTTTTGGCTGAAAATGATCTGGTGAAGCACAAACGGATGGACCACAGGGGCTCTTCGCCTCTTACCGATCAGAAAGGATTCGCAGAGGTGGTTTTCGCTGTAGAGGCCTTGTGTCAGCCTGTGAGAGGCCAAGTCTCTGCGGGAACTCTGCTGAAGGCAAAACTGACACACACCATGCGTTGGAAAGACAATCCAAGTGTGTTAACGCCAATAATAAAGGACTATGTATCACAAGTTTAGTTTTTTATATCATGGAACAGTGTCTGGGTTAACCCTACCATCTTGAGTTACGAGCAGTGTGAAGTACAGACTCAATTCAGGTGCTGAATAAAGCAAAATGCATTCTGGCTCAGCCCAAACATCCTCTGGCCTTGTATTGATGCATTCAGGGTGTCGTTTTTATGCTCCAGCACGGAAAACAAACCGTTTTTCCAATTCTTTTGTGCCCTCTATCATAAAAATGTTGAACTCTGGTTGAGGTGTTTGACTTTTGGGAATTGTGTTGTTCAGTGTTGTTTTTGTAACTTATATTGTGTAACCTGCTGCTGTTTGAACTGTGAGACTCACTGTGTGTTTGTGTAGAGTCCATGTGTGTGTGTGTGTGTGTGTGTAACCTGCTGCTGTTTGAACTGTGAGACTCACTGTGTGTTTGTGTAGAGTCCATGTGTGTGTGTGTGTGTGTGTGTAACCTGCTGCTGTTTGAGCTGTGAGACTCACTGTTTGTGTAGAGTATGTGTGTTCTGCTTTGAGTTTATGCTGCAAATGAATTGCACTTTGGGATCAGTAAAGTTTTCTGAATCTGAGTCCTTTTTATCAATTATTATAATGCATATCCCTAAAACCCTGCCATAGCAATACTACACCATGAAGACAGCTTTAATCTCAGTTATAAACAGGCGTAGGGGACACTTACCAAAGGCTGCTTGTTTTTGACCAGACACACGATCCGAGTGGCCTCCTCTTCATCATCAGGGACCTCCTCAGGCAGAGCTGCCAGCACCGGTTCATAGTCCTTCTGAGCGACCACGTCATGGGCTGAGAGCACGGCCTGGGACACGGACAGAAAGAGAATCACACTTGAACATAAACACAAACACACCTTTTCCTTTCACCTGTAAATGCGGCTGCCTCATGAGGCGATACAGCTCTTTGGCCTCTTCGGAACAGCCCTGCAGAGCTCGGATCTCTATCAAGACCTGTGGGCGGAACCGGAGAAGAACGTTTGGGTCAAAAGTAGGAATGAGATTCAGAGATGCACCAATACTGACCTGCAGTGAGAGTCCAGAAGCAGAGTCCAGTGCAGGAGCCGGGGATGTGCTGGAGAACCTCTGCAGACATTCATACACCTGCAAACATGCATTTACCTGTAAACAGACACTCAGAAACCTGTGAACATTTACACGCCTGCAGACACTAACCCAGAATTATGTTTTGCTTCAGCTGATTTTACTTGTAAAAGATGTTTCCAGCCATTGCATAATTTGCTTAAACGCCCACTTTCCCCTCTCTCCAACATGCCCTGACTGAACCCTGAGGACCGAGCCTTCTAAAACCCTGAGGACCGAGCCTGAACCCTGAGGACCGGGCCTGAACCCTGAGGACCGAGCCTTCTGAACCCTGAGGACTGAGCCTTCTGAACCCTGAGGACCGAGCCTTCTGAACCCTGAGGACCGAGCCTTCTGAACCCTGAGGGCCATGTCTTCTGAACCCTGACAAATTAACTTTATTGTCAGCAGGGTTTAAAGAAAAAAGTAGCCTGTTATAATCCAGTAATATTTTTCAATACTAGTCGTAGTACTCGAGTACTGACAACCCGACCGTATACGTCTTTATGTCCGACCTTGAGCAGCGACTGGAGCCACGGAGCGTTGAGCAGATTGTGGATGATCTGAGCTCCATCGACGCCAGGGTGCAGAGTGCGCCTCACCTCCTCCAGGACATCAGACAGGACCTGCTTCAGGCCTGCAACAGCCCAGCAGCAGCATTGAGAGTGTGTGTGTGTGTGTGTGTGTGTGTGCGTGTGTGTGTCCTCACCCTGCTCCCCCAGCTCACAGTGCGGGGACAGCACCTGTGCCTCCACAGCCTGAAGCATGGTGGCCTCACAGCCACTCCTGCACACAGATCATAGAGAGGGCAGTTTTGCCTCTGCTTTTTGTATTTTTCAAACCTACTACTCTCTCTGGCTCCCCTTGACTTACATTTAAAAGTAATCTCCTCCAGCTCAGTAACCACATCACATTCACCATTTTTATCCTAATTCTGTGGTTATTGTCTCTGATTCTGGTTTTTTATATTGTGACATTGTCTTGCATTCAGACAAGAGCCATATAAGGTATTAAAACACATGCTATCACTGTTATACTAATTTTCTATGACATCAGAAAGCCTGTAATCCTCCCAACACAGTCAAGCATCTCATGATCCAAGTGGATAATTCTTCATCTGACTGAACATGTGTTGACAGAGTTGGGATTGTGACAGCCACAGAGTCCAGTCAGAGGTCACTGCAGGAGTCAGAGGTGAAGGGCTTTTCCTTAAGAGCAGCCGCAGTACGATGCCTGGAGGGTATTAAGGACCAGAGAGCACTGGGATACGTAACACAGTGTTTACATGTTACAGATAGCGTATGCTGCAGCAGCTGTCAAAAGTCGGGCATACACTGTAAAATACAGCTGCAGAGGACACAATGCTATAAGAGGAAGGAGCAGGATTGAGGAAAACAGGAAGATCAGGGAGTTAAACCAGAGAGAAAGAGAGATCAGAGAGTGAGACCAGAGAGTGGGACCTGAGATAAACCAGAAAGAGAGTCCAGAGAGAGACCAGAGTGACCAGAGAGAGACCAGAGAGACAAGATAGAGAGCAGAGAGAGACCAGAGAGAGACCAGATAGAGAGACCAGAGAGACCAAAGAGAGCAGATAGAGAGCAGAGAGAGACAAGAGAGAGAGAGACCAGAGAGAAAGAGATCAGCGAGTGAGACCTGCGAAAGACCAGAGAGAGACCAGAAAGAAAGACCAGAGAGAAGAGAGATCAGAGATTGAGACCAGAGTGGGAGACCAGAGAGAGACTAGAGAGCAATAAATCAGAGAGAGAGACCAGAGATATACCAGAAAGAAAGACCAGAGTGACCAGAGAGAGATCATTGAGAGACCAGAGAGACCAGAGAGAGAGACCAGAGAGAGACCAGAGAGAGACCAGAGAGAGACCAGAGAGAGACCAGAGAGAGACCAGAGAGACCAGAGAGAGACCAGAGATATACCAGAAAGAAAGACCAGAGTGACCAGAGAGAGATCATTGAGAGACCAGAGAGACCAGAGAGAGACCAGAGAGAGACCAGAGAGAGACCAGAGAGACCAGAGAGAGACCAGAGAGAGCCCAGAGTGGGAGACTAGACTAGAGAGAGATAGAGCAGAGAGAAACTGGGGAGAGTCCTCTTAACTATACACGTGGAGTAGGAGGGCTGTCTCACAGTGAGGGACCGGTATTTCTAAACTACTATTCAGTCTCTGATCGAATGCTCCACTACTGTATATTTCATTTGTTGAAGATTAATTATAATTACAGTCAAAATATCAACAAAATTGACAAAAAATAATAACTGATTTTGTATCAAATTTAAACATGTTCAATAGGAAATCACAAATACACAGCAGTTATGAAGGGTGTCTGCCTTTTACTTCACTACATTTTAAACATGTACATTTGTTGTGTGCGTATGACCTCTTGTCTCGACATCTAAGTCCTGTTACAAAGCTGTGGACCTCCCTGTGGCCCGACTGTGGACTCAACCAAAACCCGAGTCCAGGTTTTGTCACTATATTCACAATAACAGGGAAAAACCACTTCCAGTCCAGTTGTTGTCTTACCTCGTGCTGAGCGTCCCTCGGAGTAGTATGCAATGGAGAGTTGTGTGTTGAATGCCAGATCTGTGGGTTAGTAATCTTCTGGATCCTCCTAATCCTCATGTGTGACCGGAAGCAGAACGTCGTCGTGGAGACAGAGCACCGGCTGCTGCTGCTGCACACTTCACAAATCTCCTTAAGTCTTTCTTTGTACGTACCAGCGTGCACAGGATTCTCCCACATCACTGATGAGAAAGACAAGACAGAGAGCAGAGAGAGAGCAGAGAAAGAGCAGAGAGAGAGAGCAGAGGGAGAGAGCAGAGAGAGAGCAGAGAGAGAGCAGAGAAAGAGCAGAGAGAGAGCAAAGAGACCAGAGAGAGAGAGCAGAGAGAGAGCAAAGAGAGCAGAAAGAGAGTAGAGATAGAGCAGAGAGAGAGCAGAGGGAGAGCAGAGAGAGCCCAGGCAGTGTTCTTATTGGTTATCTAAGAATGTCAAAGCACAAAACATGCAACCATCACATTAAACAGTAAATACCTTGTTGTAAGTTAATGTTGTGATCCTGAAAATAATAAAAATCAGACAAGACAAAACCATTCCTTTTGTTCCACAATAATTTCAATTCTTTGACTTTTAATATCCCTCCAGTGTTACTGAGTAGAGCACAGGAGTGTAGTTGTATGAGTATATCGTTTTAAACTTCAGATATATGGAAGATATTGACCTTGGTGTTAAATATATGGTGCTTACTACATCTTACAGACCCATTTTATGAGTAACAGATCACATCTTGTATCAAATAAGGTACAATAAATAATAATGAGGTTTTCAAACAATATTGTGTCTATTGTGCTATCTGCTGGTAGAACGAGGAAGTACAGAAGACATGCAGCCGGTTCAACTTATAATAGGTCTGCTGATTCTAACGAAGGATTACGGTATGTCATCTACAGCTTCAGTCCTGGATCTTCAGCCTTAGTCCTGGATCTTCAGCTTCAGTCCGGGGTCTACAGCCTCAGTCCTGGATCTACAGCCTCAGTCCTGGGTCCACAGCCTCGGTCCTGGATCTTCAGCTTCAGTCTTGGATCTACAGCCTCAGTCCTGGATCCACAGCCTCAGTTCTGGATCTACAACCTCAGTCCTGGATCTACAGCTTCACTCATATCACTCATAATAAACAAAATACAAGTGTACTTATTGACTAGATGAGCAGAGTCAGGGGGATCAGCAGAGTCGGGGGGAGCAGAGTCAGGAGGTCATGATGCAGTGAACTGGAAGCCTTGTCTAACGGTGAAGTCTGCAGCTGTCAGAGAGAAGGACGGTTTCACAGCTTTTCTCAAATTCACAAAGAGAAGACTGTCCAATTTTCTCCCTATGTTTGTATGTGACAAAGAGGCAAAGAGACAGACAAGGAGGTTCGGTTCAGAGCTGGTTCATTTCTGGTTCAGTCCTGATTCAGCCCTGATTCAGACCTGGTTCAGACCTGGTTCAGTCCTGGTTCAGTCCTGGTTCAGTCCTGGTTCAGACCTGGTTCAGACTTGGTTCAGACCTGGTTCAGACCTAGTTCAGACTTGGTTCAGACCTGGTTCAGACCTAGTTCAGACCTGGTTCAGACCCTGCGGCTCCTCACAGTGAGTGATGTGGGTAAGTGCCTTGCTCATTTACAGGTCACTGTGTAAGTACAGCCTTCAAAATGAGCTTTGACACATGATGATGGATGGAATGAGAGAGAGGGGGAGACGGGGGAGTTGGGGGAGACGGGATGAGGACATGTCCCGACAGACCTAGGTCTGTCAGCTTCAGCTCAGCCACTCGGAGATAAGTTCCTGTTCTTAGACTCACAAAGATGGAAACTGTCACGCTTCATCAGTCTCCTCCAGAACGTTCAGAATGAAGTCACATGACCAGTGTTTGTTTAGTCACATGACGTATGTTTCAGCCATGAGCCTCCACTGAGTCCTAATCTACTCATCTCTCTTCTACCGGTCAGACAGGGCAAGTGGAAACACTGCTAATCAGGGGACGAGTCGAGTAGAGTAAAGTAGAGTAAAGTATAGTACAGTAGAGTAAGGAAGAGTAAAGTAGAGTAAAGTAGAGTAAAGTATAGTACAGTAGAGTAAGGAAGAGTAAAGTAGAGTACAGTGGAGCTGAGGGCTCTGATCAGCAGATGCTTTCTCATGCAGCATCATGTGCTGCATGAGCTTTTTGATTGGATGCTCTGGTTTAGATCGGAGATTTGTACTTTGAACTATAAGCCCCGCCCACTTCGCAGCTCCGTGGGCTATGACCACAGCGTGTACTCCAAGGGGCGGAGTTAAAACAGAATATCTCCTCAGGGTTTGAATCTTTGAACATTTTCACACAATTAAGATTTTTAGACTGAATCCAAACTGGGTCAGAGTTAAAGGTTAGACCAAATATGTATATTTTCAAATTAATAAAATATTATTATGTGTTCAAAATGTACAGTAAAACAAATTATGGTTGTTTTTTTCTTGAGAAAATTAGAAACAGCTATGGCTCATAGAAACCTTATCATCAATACTGCTTTGGACCAATGAACTGGAGTGTGGGCCGCGTTTGGCCCTTGGGCCTTGAGTTTTACATCTGTGGAGAGACACTAATTAAAGGTGTGTCTGACCTGCTGTCTGACCAGGGAAGACCTGGGCAGGCCAGGGTAAGGGCAGACCAGGGTTAGGGCAGGACAAAAACAAACCTCCTTCCTGCGCGTGTGTCGCTGCTTTTACTGAGACGGGCCCGGGCGGAAGAGCTTGAGCTGGCCCCCGTCAGCTGCACCAGGGGCCCTGAGGTGCACGCACGTCCCACAGGTGAATCCACAGTCCCGTCTGCACCAGGCCTCGGAGGATGACACAGGCACGCTCCCGGGGGTCGCCGTGGTGCGCGCTCCTGATGCTGATGCTGGCCACACGCACGGACCAGCAGACTCCAGGTACTGTCCATCCCTGACCAGTGACCACAGACCCGGGTCAGACCGGCCCTGTGCAGCGTGGTTCTATCCACGACAGGGCTACTGTGGCAATGTGTGTAGTCTGTGTTGTGTTCGTGAAATTTTAATGTATATTTTTTATGTTAACGACGTGTAGCTGTGAACCAAACATTTAACCAGCTGCTCGTGCACAAATACTGTCCAGAGATTTAGAACATTCACCCTTCAGCTGCAGACAAAGTATTATAGAGTGACTGCATAAACTTATTTAATCGATTTGATATCTTCTGTCTTCTTTTCTCTACGCGTTTCAACTCTTTCATAAATTTTCACGTGTTGTACCAGTCTAAGGTTGCGCAGTTTCTCCGTGTCTTGGGGCTATTACTTTTGGTATATGTAACTTTTGACGTATTTGAAATATTTGCGCCTAAAGTTGTATTTTTCCTTTCTTTTACAACGGGGCTTTTTGAAAAATTACACCTTTTCGATGTTTTGCCTTTTTATTTGATGTTTTGAACGTTTTGGATTTTGGAGTTTAAACTTCGAAGTCTTTTAGTATTGCAGTACTTTGAAGTAATGTATTATAATTAATTGAAATAGAAACGTCTTTGTTTTCTCATCTCTTTTGAAAGTTGTTATTTCCAGATGTTCTTTCACTTTTTTGATTTTCATAACGGTGTGACCTAAGCATTACTTTTGGGACATTTACCTTTTGTAGATTTTGCTGCATTTGCAAATACTACAGATGCTAAGTGGCACTTTTTAATCCCTGTTATAATCATATACATACATTTATACGTCTATGGTCATAATGGGACGTTTATTTTTTGTGTTTTATGTTTTACATGTTTTTGATCTTTTTAGTGTAATAAGTGTGTAGTTGTGTTATAAGGGTGTAATAAGGGTGCATTAGTGATGTAATTGGGGGCAACAGGGTCAGAAGGGAGTATTGGGTAATAGTTACAGTAGTTTGAGAGCTCTTTCCAGCGGTTTCTAGTCCTGGTTTGGATCTCACATGGTCTGCTGTAAAACTAGTGGCTGGAGTGAGTTCAGCTCGGGTTTTGTAAATGATTTGTAAATGACAACATGTCCATCTTGTAGGGGACTTAAATTTGTGGCAGATATCGCAGCATGTTACACTTTGAGACACGTTTTAATTTCATTGCCCGCGGGGAGGACCAGGAGACGCAATGTTTACCCACGGCACGATGGCACATGGTTGGCAGCGGGTTCAGGGTTCAGACGGCCCTGTCATACACAAAACCAAAACACACACACAGAGTTCCTGGTTCTAAACCATTTTGCTCCTAACAATAGTTTCCCTGTCATGTATCTGGCCTCTGTCATATCTTAAAATCTGCTTTTTCAGACAGAAAAGTGAAATAGAGAGGACCACTCAGCCAATCAGCATTTACGCACCAGATAGTGACCCACTCTTTCTTACAAGTATTTAAAAGATCTGAATTGTTCACAAACTGTCAGAACCTACAGATGATATTGAGTTTTGACTCTGGAGCTGCTGCAGATCTCAAAGACAGAAGTAACAAGAGAAAACCAACGGCTGCTGTTGTGTTTCTGCTCTGAAATGAGCCTTAATTTAAACAAAGAGGATTATCACGGTTGGACAGATTGAGGCCGTCTGTCAGCTCTAAGTGGGCTCTAAGTGGGCTCCTTTCCATGAGCTCCATGAGCTCACCCTCCACAGTCTGACAGGGACAAGGGGAGAGGACTGCACCTGATCCTGAGGAATGAGCCTCGGCCTGGGCTTGTCTGATCCCTTCACCCTCTGCTGCTCCCTGCAGCTGAGTATGTATGTGTGTGTGTGTGTGTGTTAATGTATGTGTGTATCTGTGTGTGTGTGTTTGTGTAGCTGGGTTGTTTGTCCAAACACCAAAAGTCTTATGTTTTATACACTGGACCACAGCATCTTCATCTTATGAGTAAAGAAACATATCTTTAGCCTACTTGAGAGTCACTATTTGACTCTTTGGGCTGAGCGCTGATTGGCTGAGAGAGGGTTAGTTAGAGAACGAGGAGCGAATTACATGCATTTTGCATCTACACATTTTGTTTCATTTCTACGACCTGAGATTAGTGTATAATTATTGTGTACGTGATGACTTTTTTTTTTACTACTGATCATTAGACCTCCCACTTCTGTGTTGAGAGATAGATTTGTAACATTGTGGTGGTTTCAAAGTTAGGGACCCTGGCTTTATCTCTTTGTTGGAAACAGTGGAACTCTGAGGTCTCTGTATGAAAAATCCCAGGGTTGAAAATGTCAGATATTATGCGATTTTGATCCAAACTGCTGCAGCCCTGTCACACGTGAACGTATGATGGGATTCTTTTAGCTCCCTGTCTTTGTGGCAGTGCACAGAAAAGAGAGAACTGGAGCTGAGGGTGTCCAGTATCCAGGAAATGAAAGTAAAGTCCAACAAAACAGAAAGTAAAATCCTCTAATGCAGAGACAGACTCCACTCATGTCCAGTGCATTAATGTGTGTGTTGGTCCAGATGCTCAGGGTCAGGGGGCTGTAATAGTGCATGTGTTTTTAGTTCCTCGTCTGCGTTTTTAATTCTTATTGAACCTTAGTTAGAGACGCTGCTCCCACCTCTCTCTCTCTCTCTCTCTGTGTGTGTGTGTGTGACCCTCGTGTCCTGCACTCTCCATGGTCACGCACAAGATAGAAGACCTCATGAACCTAGAGCCTCATTCACACCACTGCCCTTTCCTTGCCAGGGCCGGATCTACTGTTAGGAGATGGGGGGGCTCCTGTCTCGGGCCTCCTATCATCAGGGGGCCCAAGAACACATCTCTAGAGAAATTCCCTATTTGACTTTGTTTTGTATTAAAGAAAAAACAGCATTCACAAAAGTAGATTACTTCTCGGGTGTTTGAGCACCTGTTTATCAACCGGTTACATTTTTTAAGAAACCTAACAATTACAAAAAGAAGCTGCAAATTTTCATGTTACTGAAACCTGATGATGCTATCCCTTCATATGTTGGAGGCTCACTAAATTCTTGGTATTTCATCCAGCAAGGTGGCAAGCCATCCAGCAGGTTGGTATTCCCCAAAATTTCCACAAGTTTTAGAAAAGAACCGCCCTCTTCACTGTTTGAATAAAACTCTCTGGTCTTATTTGACAAGCAACTATCAGCAGAATGATTGACAATTAAAATGACCAGTAGTTTTTTTGATCCACCCGGTTGTAGAAAATCCTCCTAAATACCTTTAACGGTGGCCTTAACCCTGACCCCAACCCCAACCTTGATGCTATCTTCAATTACATTATGGAGCTCAAAACTTTAAGCTTATAAACTGTGCCTAGAGTCACAAATGGCACCAAAAAGGGAATCTCTTTGGAGACAGAACACCAAGATTCCATTCAGTCAGATAAGATAAGAAAAACGTTATTAATGTCACAATGGATACATTTACATGTATGATGCTAACGTTAGCTGTTAGCTTTCACGTTGCCAGTGTGCTTGGCCTTTTCCCAACACAAGGTAAACTATCAAAGTGGAAGCCAGTGTTGCAACTTTTAAATATTTTTGTGTATCTCTGTGTTGCCTCTCCTCCTACTCCTGTTTGTGCGTCTCCTCCTGCTCCTGGTCGCTCCTCTCCTCTTGCTCTTGTTTGCCTTGTCTTTCTGATAGACAGAGATCCATGAATGAGTCAGGGCAGATGCAGAAGGGAATGCCCCTCAGGAGAAACCACAGCCTAGCCACTGTCATTACAGACACCATGCTCAGAGAAAGCAGTCTCTCTCATGTTATCACTCTCACAGACTGGGGCTTTCATGTGGTCTTTATGCACAACATTATAACTCATCTCACTTTAAAGCTGAGGTACCTGAGAGTAAAGTAGAGTAAAGTAGAGTAAAGTAGAGTACAGTAGAGTAAAGTAGAGTAAAGTAAAGTAAAGTAGAGTAAAGTAGAGCTGAGGGCTCTGATCAGCAGATGCTTTCTCATGCAGCATCATGTGATTAGCTTTTTTGATTGGATGCTCTGGTTTAGATCGGAGATTTGTACTTTCATAAACTATAAGCCCCGCCCACTTCGCAGCTCCGTGGGCTGTGACCACAGCGTGTACTCCAGGGGGCGGAGATAAAACAGAATATCTCCTCAGGGTTTGAATCTTTGAACATTTTCACACAATTAAGATTTTTAGACTGAATCCAAACTGGGTCAGAGTTAAAGGTTAGACCAAATATGTATATTTTCAAATTAAAAAAATATTATTATGTGTTCAAAATGTACAGTAAAACAAATTATGGTTGTTTTTTTCTTGAGAAAATTAGAAACAGCTATGGCTCATAGAAACCTTATCATCAATACTGCTTTGGACCAATGAACTGGAGTGTGGCTGGAGTGTGGGCCGCGTTTGGCCCTTGGGCCTTGAGTTTTACATCTGTGGAGAGACACTAATTAAAGGTGTGTCTGACCTGCTGTCTGACCAGGGCAGACCTGGGCAGGCCAGGGTAAGGGCAGACCAGGGTTAGAGCAGGACAAAAACAAACCTCCTTCCTGCGCGTGTGTCGCTGCTTTTACTGAGACGGGCCCGGGCGGAAGAGCTTGAGCTGGCCCCCGTCAGCTGCACCAGGGGCCCTGAGGTGCACGCACGTCCCACAGGTGAATCCACAGTCCCGTCTGCACCAGGCCTCGGAGGATGACACAGGCACGCTCCCGGGGGTCGCCGTGGTGCGCGCTCCTGATGCTGATGCTGGCCACACGCACGGACCAGCAGACTCCAGGTACTGTCCATCCCTGACCAGTGACCACAGACCCGGGTCAGACCGGCCCTGTGCAGCGTGGTTCTATCCACGACAGGGCTACTGTGGCAATGTGTGTAGTCTGTGTTGTGCTCGTGAAATTTTAATGTATATTTTTATGTTAACGACGTGTAGCTGTGAACCCAACAACCAGCTGCTCGTGCACAAATACTGTCCAGAGATTTAGAACATTCACCCTTCAGCTGCAGACAAAGTATTATAGAGTGACTGCATAAATTTATTTAATCGATTTGATATCTTCTGTCTTCTTTTCTCTACGCGTTTCAACTCTTTCATAAATGTTCACGTGTTGTACCAGTCTAAGGTTGCGCAGTTTCTCCGTGTCTTGGGGCTATTACTTTTGGTGTATGTAACTTTTGACGTATTTGAAATATTTGCGCCTAAAGTTGTATTTTTCCTTTCTTTTACAACGGGGCTTTTTGAAAAATTACACCTTTTCAATGTTTTGCCTTTTTATTTGATGTTTTGAACGTTTTGGATTTTGGAGTTTAAACTTCGAAGTCTTTTAGTATTGCAGTACTTTGAAGTAATGTATTATAATTAATTTAAATAGAAACGTCTTTGTTTTCTCATCTCTTTTGAAAGTTGTTATTTCCAGATGTTCTTTCACTTTTCTGATTTTCATAACGGTGTGACCTAAGCATTACTTTTGGGACATTTACCTTTTGTAGATTTTGCTGCATTTGCAAATACTACAGATGCTAAGTGGCACTTTTTAATCCCTGTTATAATCATAGACATACATTTATACGTCTATGGTCATAATGGGACGTTTATTTTTTTATTTTATGTTTTACATGTTTTTGATCTTTTTAGTGTAATAAGTGTGTAGTTGTGTTATAAGGGTGTAATAAGGGTGTATTAGTGATGTAATCGGGGGCAACAGGGTCAGAAGGGAGTATTGGGTAATAGTTACAGTAGTTTGAGAGCTCTTTCCAGCGGTTTCTAGTCCTGGTTTGGATCTCACATGGTCTGCTGTGAAACTAGTGGCTGGAGTGAGTTCAGCTCAGGTTTTGTAAATGATTTGTAAATGACAACATGTCCATCTTGTAGTCATGGGACTTAAATTTGTGGCAGATATCGCAGCATGTTACACTTTGAGACACGTTTTAATTTCATTGCCCGCGGGGAAGACCAGGAAACGCAATGTTTACCCACGGCACGATGGCACATGGTTGGCAGCGGGTTCAGGGTTCAGACGGCCCTGTCATACACAAAATCAAAACACACACACAGAGTTCCTGGCTCTAAACCATTTTGCTCCTAACAATAGTTTCCCTGTCATGTATCTGGCCTCTGTCATATCTTAAAATCTGCTTTTTCAGACAGAAAAGTGAAATAGAGAGGACCACTCAGCCAATCAGCATTTAAGCACCAGATAGTGACCCACTCTTTCTTACAAGTATTTAAAAGATCTGAATTGTTCACAAACTGTCAGAACCTACAGATGATATTGAGTTTTGACTCTGGAGCTGCTGCAGATCTCAAAGACAGAAGTAACAAGAGAAAACCAACGGCTGCTGTTGTGTTTCTGCTCTGAAATTAGCCTTAATTTAAACAAAGAGGATTATCACGGTCGGACAGATTGAGGCCGTCTGTCAGCTCAAAGTGGGCTCTAAGTGGGCTCCTTTCCATGAGCTCACCCTCCACAGTCTGACAGGGACAAGGGGAGAGGACTGCACCTGATCCTGAGGAATGAGCCTCGGCCTGGGCTTGTCTGATCCCTTCACCCTCTGCTGCTCCCTGCAGCTGAGTATGTATGTGTGTGTGTGTGTGTTAATGTATTGTGTGTGTTTATGTAGCTGGGTTGTTTGTCCAAACACCAAAAGTCTTATGTTTTATACACTGGACCACAGCATCTTCATCTTATGAGTAAAGAAACATATCTTTAGCGTACTTGAGAGTCACTATTTGACTCTTTGGGCTGAGCGCTGATTGGCTGAGAGAGAACGAACGAGGAGCCAATTACATGCATTTTGCATCTACACATTTTGTTTCATTTCTACGACCTGAGATTAGTGTATAATTATTGTGTACGTGATTTACTTAAAAAAAAAAAAACTACTGATCATTAGACCTCCCACTTCTGTGTTGAGAGATAGATTTTGTAACATTGTGGTGGCTTCAAAGTTAGGGACCCTGGCTTTATCTCTTTGTTGGAAACAGTGGAACTCTGAGGTCTCTGTATGACAAATCCCAGGGTTGAAAATGTCAGATATTTTGCGATTTTGATCCAAACAGCTGCAGCCCTGTCACACGTGAACGTATGGGATTCTTTTGTCTCCCTGTCTTTGTGGCAGTGCACAGAAAAGAGGGAACTGGAGCTGAGGGTGTCCAGTATCCAGGAAATGAAAGTAAAGTCCAACAAAACAGAAAGTAAAATCCTCTAATGCAGAGACAGACTCCACTCATGTCCAGTGCATTAATGTGTGTGTTGGTCCAGAGGCTCAGGGTCAGGGGGCTGTAATAGTGCATGTGTTTTTAGTTCCTCGTCTGCGTTTTTTATTCTTATTGAACCTTAGTTAGAGACGCTGCTCCCACCTCTCTCTCTCTCTCTGTGTGTGTGTGTGTGTGACCCTCGTGTCCTGCACTCTCCATGGTCACGCACAAGATTGAAGACCCCATGAACCTAGAGCCTCATTCACACCACTGCCCTTTCCTTGCCAGGGCCGGATCTACTGTTAGGAGATGGGGGGGCTCCTGTCTCGGGCCTCCTATCATCAGGGGGCCCAAGAACACATCTCTAGAGAAATTCCCTTTTTGACTTTGTTTTGCATTAAAGAAAAAAACAGCATTCACAAAAGTAGATTAATCCTCGGGAGTTTGAGCACCTGTTTATCAACCGGTTACATTTTTATAAAACCCTAACCATTACAAAAAGAAGCTGCAAATTTTCATGTTACTGAAACCTGATGATGCTATCCCTTCATACAGTATGTCGGGGGCTCACTAAATTCTTGGTATTTCATCCAGCAGGTGGCAAGCCATCCAGCAGGTTGGTATTTCCCAATATTTCCACAAGTTTTAGAAAAGAACCGCCCTCTTCACTGTTTGAATAATAAAACTCTCTGGTCTTATTTGACAAGCAACGATCAGCAGAATGATTGACAATTAAAATGACCAATAGTTTTGTTGATCCACCCGGAAGTAGAAAATCCTCCTAAATACCTTTAACCGTGGCCTTAACCCTGACCCCAACCCCAACCTTCATATTATCCTCAATTACATTTATGGAGTCTGCTCGAAACTTTAAGCTTATAAAACTGTGCCTAAAGTCACAAATGGCACCAAAAAGGAATCTCTTTGGAGACAGAGCACCAAGATTCCATTCAGTCAGATAAGATAAGAAAAACGTTATTAATGTCACAATGGATAAATTTACATGTATGATGCTAACGTTAGCTGTTAGCTTTCACGTTGCCAGTGTGCTTGGCCTTTTCCAAACACAAGGTAAACTATCAAAGTGGAAGCCAGTGTTGCAAACTTTTTAAATATTTTTTGTGTAATCTCTGTGTTGCCTCTCCTCCTACTCCTGTTTGTGCGTCTCCTCCTGCTCCTGGTTGCTCCTCTCCTCTTGCTCTTGTTTGCCTTGTCTTTCTGATAGACAGAGATCCATGAATGAGTCAGGGCAGATGCAGAAGGGAATGCCCCTCAGGAGAAACCACAGCCTAGCCACTGTCATTACAGACACCATGCTCAGAGAAAGCAGTCTCTCTCATGTTATCACTCTCACAGACTGGGGCTTTCATGTGGTCTTTATGCACAACATTATAACTCATCTCACTTTAAAGCTGAGGTACCTGACTTTCAAACCTCAGCAAAATTAACTTGTAATCAAAACTACAGTTCCTCTCTCTCAAAAGTGTTGGTTTCTTTCACTAGTTTTCACATGCAAGTACCAGAGAGAGACCTGAAAGAGACCAGAGAAAGAGACTGGAGATAGACCAGAGAGAGAATAGAGAGAGACCAGAGAGAGAATTGAAAGAGACCAGAGAGAGACCTGAAAGAGACCAGAGAAAGAGACTAGAGATAGACCAGAGAGAGAGACTAGAGAGAGACCAGAGAGACCAGAGAGAGACCAGAGAGACCAGATATAGACCAGAGAGAGAGACCAAGGAAGAAACCAGAGAGAGACCAGAAATGGACCAGAGAGAGAGACCCGAGGAAAAGACCAGAGAGAAACTTGAGAGAGACCAGAAATAGACCAGAGAGAGAGACCTGAGGAAGAGACCAGAGAAAGACCAGAGAGAGACCAGAGAGTGACCAGAGACGATGACCAGAGAAATAGACCAGAGGGAGACCAGAGCCAGGGACATATAGAGACCCAACCAATTAATTCTCAGCCTAAAGAGTCAAATGGTGACTCCTTGGGCTCTTTCTTACAAATGCCAAAGATAACATGAACTACACATGGGACATGTACAGATCCATTTCCTGCAAACCCCATGCTCTCCATACTGTCCTCGTTCCCCTTGCTTTTCGCCTGGAGACACGGCCTGACCGGGCATGTTTAATCCCACTCAATAAATACAACACTAATACAATCCAGGCCTTTGTGAAGTAGAAGGAGGAGGTACAGGAGGAGGCCACAAGAGGAGAAGGCTGCAGGAGGAAGAGGAGGGTGCAGGAGGAGGAGGCTACAAGAGGAGGCTGCAGGAGGAAGAGGAGGGTGCAGGAGAAAGAGGCTTCAGGAGTAGGCGGCTGCAGTAAGAGGTGGAGGCTACAGGAGGAGGCTGCAGGAGGAAGAGGTTACAGGAGGAAACTACAAGAAGAGGAGGCTGCAGGAGGAGGAAAGATTCTCCAGGAAACATTGAATTAAACCTCATGGGCAGCTCCCCCTTCCCTCCTGGATCTCCAGTCGCCGCATGAGCAGCATTTGCAGCATTAGCAGTGGTCTTAGTGTGATGGAAGCACCGAAACAGACAAATGAGCAGATTGTCCCAGTTCTTGTGGAATGCAGACAGCTGGCAGAGGAGTGGAGCTGTGAGAACCCGCATTATCTGAGGATTTAGCACCATCTCCGAGCTCTCCCCGGAGACCCCAGTCTTCTTCAGCTGTTGTCCAAAAGCCCTGCCACTTCTCAGCCTCCCCAGTCCACGCACACTTTCCCACCAGTGTGCCGAAAACGCAATGTGCTAGACTCGAGGCTGTAAGTGTCTAATGGGACAGAAGTCAGAACATCCAGTAATTCTGGTGTAGCCCATGAGTGCATGTCCCTGAAGGCCACAGGTGGACCATATGACCATCTGCTATTGTGCTCTCTCCCATGCCCCCCCCCCCTGCAAAACACTTCTATTCTTGGCCCGGATATCTTGAAAAATGGAAATTCTTATTGCAAAAGCTCTGTGTGTGTTGTGCCACAATGACTCATTCTAACAAGAGGCCCAAGCAGTGGGGCGGGGCCAAGGGGCAGCAGAGGGAGGGTCCGAGCGCTCCCGTCCCGATCGGCAGACCCAACAGCCAGTGTTGGTCAGTGCACTTGGAGCGAAGCAGGTGTGGGACTACTGTAACCCAGGATGAGGTGGGCTTCTCTTGTACTACTGCTCCTATGTGTGACGGGTCTGGAGGGATGGTTTTGGAGTCAGCAGGAGACCATCACAGAGACTCCAGGGACCACCACAGAGACCCCAGAGGACATCAGCAGGGTGGGCGAGGCGATCCTTAACGTGGCCAGTGGAATCAGTAAGTCAGTAGAGGAGTGGGGCCAAAACGCTTCCCTGACACCTGCCCCAAGCCCGGGCGCTACTAACGGGATCCCCACGGAGGATGCTGCGCTCGCTAACACCACGGGTAATACTGCCGAGGGTGACGATGGGAGGGGGGTGATCGGGCAAGGGGCGGGGCGGTGTCTCCCTGTGCCCCCCGATTGGCCGATATGCGCGAGTGAACGACCGGCCTTTTTTAGCCTTCCCAACTTTCTCAATCACACCTCAGCCGAGCAGGTGGGGGCGGAGCTCAGGCGGTGGGCGTGGCTGGTGCAGGCGGGTTGCCATAGCGGCGCAGAGGTGTTCCTTTGCCGCCTGCTGGTGCCCGCCTGCTCCCAGCATGCCGGGTTGGTGCGCTGGCCTTGTCCAGAGTTCTGTTATGGGCTGCAGGACAGATGCTGGCAGGTTCTGGAGGATGGAGACCTGCCCCTGGGCTGTGACCTGCTGCCCCGCTCGGACCACTGTGTGTGGGTTAGATCCTACAAAGGTAACGGTTTGGATGTATGACCACGGTGCATACATTCACAACTCGGTAGTTGTGTGCGGCCTCAGTCTGCATGGGTCACTGCATGAGTCCCCTGTCTCACTATTAACCTGCAACAAGGTCAGACTTATGATCATGTTAAACCAGGCCCTCTGTGTCCTGTCCTGTAGCTCTCTGTGTCCTGTCCTGTAGCTCTCTGTGTCCTGTCCTGTAGATCTCTGTGTCCTATCCTGTAGCTCTCTGTGTCCTGTCCTGTAGCTCTCTGTGTCTTGTCCTCTGGTCCCTCTGTGTCCTGTAGCTCTCTGTGTCCTGTGCTGTAGATCTCTGTGTCCTTTCCTGTAGCTCTCTGTGTCCTGTGGCTCTCTGTGTCCTGTCCTGTTGCTCTCTGTGTCTTGTCCTGTAGCTCTCTGTGTCCTGTCCTGTAGCTCTCTGTGTCCTGTCCTCCTCTGGTCCCTCTGTGTCCTGTCCTGTGGCCCCTCTGCTGCTAACACAAAGTAGTCTTTGAGATCATAAACACCAGTGTCATCCAGCCAACTTCAGCTCTCCTAATATTAGCACGTTGGACCTGGTAAATCTCAGGACCTCTAGTATTCAGCAATTTACTTTATTTGTATACACTGAGATTTATTTCTGAGTCTCTAAATGACACAGACAGTGGCCGCCTAATTACAAATACAGCTGTGAGATGGTAAACATGTATCATTCATCCAACTTCTGCTCTGCCAAAATATGGACAGCAGTCTCATGTTGTAGAGGGAGATGGGGGCAGTCTCATGTTGTAGAACCAGGACTGAGGCTGTAAAGGCTGTAGACATGGCTGTTGTGTGATGCCTCTTGGTGAAAGCCAGACCTTGTCAGACCTCTGAAGATAAGCAGGGCAGGGCCTGGTTAGTACTACGATGGGAGACCTCTGGGAACACCAGGTTCCACAGTGGGGCGGATGTGGCTGTGAAGTACCGAACTGTTGTGTCCTAAGGCAAGACACTTCTCCCACATTAGAATGACTCTGGTGTGTGTGAATTGTGTGGTTGGCTACAGTAGTAGTTTATGACCAGTGTGTTTGGAGTGAATGTATGAGAAGCGCTCTATAAAACCCATATTTCATTTTTAAAAGCTCTCGATGCTTTAATGGTGTGATTTATGCCTTCACCCTGCTCTCAACACTCGGGTCCATGTGGAGAACCTCACGTCCGCTCCCACACCGTCCTGCCGTCCCGTCCGCTCCCACTCCGTCCTGCCGTCCCGTGGGGTTGCTCTGATAACTCTGTTTTCCATATGTGCTGAGCTGACCCCCGAGGTCAGGCTTTGGCAAGAGAGACACACACCATCTGTACACAGACTGTTTAGGGGATATACTTTATACAACCGGAGAGTCAGGATATGTAACATAAAGATTATGTTTCCCCTGGCATTCCCAGAGGTCTCATCACAGAAGGATTCTATTTCCCTTTTCATAAAGCTCAGGCATCTAACTTTCAAACCCCAGAAATGGAAGAATGTATTAAATTGTGTTTCGCCCCAAAATCATAACAGCAGTTGTCTCAGAGGACTTTACAAAGTTATGGATTCACCAACAACAGATGAGAGAAGCCAATATTTTGTTATTATTACATTTACTGTGTTCAAACACATAGGAGCCATTGGTCCATTTGTCCATAGGGAGCAGGATAACCTCTGTCAAGACATTTTTAATAAATGTGCAGAAGTGTCCCAGATCACAGTCTCCTGCACCGACAAGGAACCACTCAAAACCCCAGTGGAAAATGTGAGAAACCTTGGTTAGGCCTGTAGCATGAGTGGGATCCGCTCCCATGGGTGGAAAGGCTGTAGATCCAGGACTGAAGCTGTAGATCCAGAACTGATGATGTGACAGTACAGGACTGAGGAGGCTCCTAGGCGGGAGGGGGTGCAGCCCACGAGTCCAGGCCAGGGCACATCCCGCCCTCAAACAGACAATAGGACAGTGGATAAATAGCAAACACAGCTTTGAAGGAATGCCCCTTTATAGAACTGTAGGATTAATCTGCACAGAAAAAGGCAGGGTTTTCTTCAGTGAATGAAAGCAGGTTTGATTTTTTAATCTGTAACCCCAGGCGCACACTGACCTTTCCCAGATGCTGTTTTTAATACCACGCAATTCCAGGTGTGGTAATAAACACGATGCAGCAGCCAAGACCAGTTTACACTTTATTGGAGGAAGGGACAATGGAGTCAGTGGATCAGGGGTTTGGTCTCGGCCTTTACAAAGACGTAAATGGCAAGGAAATCATATCTAAATATTGACCAAATAAAAACACACAGTCATTTACACACTGAGGAAGGAAGCAGCTCCACCGGGTCAGTCTCAGAACCAATTCTCACATCTGCTGGCCCAATGATCCACTGTGTTGAGCTCAGGGGAGGTGAGACATAAAGGTGGGGGCAGAGGCAGAGCAGTGGGCGGGACCAAGCACTGAGCGAGGGGGATTTTGTACAGATTGTATAACGTATATTGTATACAGTAAATTGCTGAAATGTACATTTAGATTCACTTCCCGGGGTTTGATGTAGTTGTCTTGTGATTAAGTCCCTTCTTCTGTATAATTTTCTGCATCGCTTGGTTTTCTTCCTATAATCAGCGTCTCTTCCACATTTTTTTCAAACTTCTTTTCACTGAGACTTGTTTCCCTGTTGTGATCAGCTGTTGGGAATGTGGCATCCGTAGGAAGCACAAAGACGTCTGTCAGCAACAGTGGGAGACGGACAGGGCCTCCGGCGGGAGACAGCGGGGCCTTGTGAGCCAGGAGCCACTCGGTCTGGAGGGTCTGAGCGGTCGAAAGGGTCAACATTAGACATGGACGCTACTGCTGAAATTGGAGCACATTTGGGTTTTTCAGAGCCGATACCATTATTAGAAGTATAAATATATATGTATTATATATACTGTATATTTTTATATTACATTAGAGAGAGAGAGAACGAGAAGGAGGGAGAGCAGGTGACTCTCTGGTCTCACTCTGGTCTCTCTCTGGTCTATCTCTGGTCTCTCTCTGGTCTATCTCTGGTCTCTCTCTGGTCTATTTCTGGTCTCTCTTTGGTCTTTCTCTGGTCTCTCGCGGGTCTTTCTCTCTTGTCTAATTCAGGTTGTAGTCTTAACTGTGGTGAAAAGCGGACACAGATCTACCATTGAGGTTTGCTGGAGAAGAACAGTTAAACCAATGGCTGGGGGCCTTGTCCATGCATCCATTATTTTGTCCAATCAGGAAGCAGTAACACTGAACTGCTCTGTTGTGCAGTTGTATTGGTGGTTGTGTTTGTGGTTGTGTTTCGGTGTGTTTCTGTGTATGTTTGTGTGTGGAACGTGTGGCTCATTTTAACCAGTCCTTGTTGCATTTGTCTTCATCATCATACAATTGTCTGAGTGGGCAGCTGTGACCAAGCAACCATCACCAATTAGAGGGAAGAGCTCATGGTGAAGTTTGGCACTCCCATTGACTTGTATGTAAGAGTGAACTCCTCCAGCTCAGTAATCATTTGTGGAAACTCCAGCTTGTCTTAGCAACTGTCTTAGCATGTGTCTGCCCATGTTACAGCACAAAGCTAATGCCATCAGAACAAATGACCATATAAGGAAATTGGCTCGCTCGGCCAATGTATGTCCAAGTCAGTTTCTGCATTCTCATAAGGGCAAACACTATGGTGATGTCACACTCGGTCAGTCCACTCCACATACACGTACTATGGTTGTATATCACTTTTTATGGAGAACTGGAGTATATAGAGTATATATATAGTATATATACAGTATATATACTATATATACAGTGTAGTATGGTCTCTGTACTTTGGTGTGAGATAACTTGGTTTGTTACATGTGTTTATGATGGTGATTATTAACATAATAACAAGTCTTCTGTGTGGAATGGTGATGTCACGATACTAATGAACGGACTCAATTCTCTGATACTCGTTACTTACTGATACTCTGATATGGCAGCGATTTTGAGAATCTCTTTTTTACGCCACTACTTCAACCTTCTCCCAGTTATTAAAAAATCTTTTAGCGCAGGAGACATGGCGCTCTAATTGCAGATGCTTCTCCCTCTGGTGGAAGCACAGGAAGTTGCAGGGAGCTCTGACTACAGACCCTTCTCCCTCTAGTGGCAGCATAGGGACAGGGCAGGCACTTATTTCACCACTACAGTATATCTATAACAAGACAAAGTGAGAAGTCTCACTATGATTTTGAAACGGACAAAAATAATGTATTTAAAGGTGATTAAAAGTATTGAACCTGGATCAGATGAAGATCTAGTTTTGTCACTAGTTTTAGTTGTGTCAGCAGTTATAGTTTTGTCACTAGTTTTAGTTGTGTCAGCAGTTATAGTTTTGTCACTAGTTTTAGTTGTGTCAGCAGTTATAGTTTTGATACTAGTTTTAGTAATGTGAGTTGGACCTTTCGGGCCCCAGGTCGTGTGGCCCTCATTCACCCTGAGTCTCTGGTGTGTGCACTGACTATTTGCAGGTGACAAGGGCCTCAGCTTCCTGCAGCTCCTGGGTCAGGGCCCCGGGGACAGCACCAGTCGGGGGACCGGGCCCCAGGGAGAGTCTTCTTACATCTTCAGCCGGGGCTCCGTGTCGGGACAGCCTGCCGTGGCCCTGCTCCCCAACCCCTTCTACAGGTAAAGGCATCAGAGCTTCTCGGCTAGGGAGAGACAAAGAGAGAGAGAGAGAGAGACCAGAGAGAGAGAGTGAGAGAGAGAGACCAGAGAGACCAGAGAACGAGAGAGACCAGAGAGAGAGAGAGACCAGAGAGACCAGAGAACGAGAGAGACCAGAGAGAGAGAGAGACCAGAGAATGAGAGAGAGATACCAGAGAGAGAGACCAGAGAGAGAGAGGGAGAGAGAGAGAGAGAAAGAGAGAGATCAGAGAGGGAGACCCGAGAGGCCAGGGAGAGAGAGAGAGAGAGAAAGATAGATAGAGAGAGAGAAACACCAGAGACTAGACACTCATTACATTCATATATTGTACATGTTTTAGAGGTAGGGGAAACCAGAGTAACCGGAGGAAACCTACGCAGACACACAGAAAGGTCTGGAGGTGGAATCGAACCCAGAACCTCCTTGCTGGGAAATAACCTCTAACCGCACGATGGCGCAGCTTGTGGCTTCTGTGTTACTCCACCTTGAGCAATTCCCTATTTGGGTTCATTGGGCAAGCATTACTGGTCATTATCGGGCTATAGGGGATAGCATTGAGTGAGCAGGTTTAGCGTTGAGCTAGCATGTTTGCATTGAGCTAGCATGTTAGCATTGAGTTAGAACATAGTTAAGATCAAGGCCCGGTGGCCCCTGAGATGATTTTATCCCCTCTAATTTTCCCAAAAAAGCAACCATACAATCTAATTACATAAGAATTGTTAAGCCAACGTGTAATAAGAAGTTAGTATTATTATGTTATGCTTTTTACAAGTCTTCAATTACATTTAGATATAAAGGAGGAATTGCCAATTTTCTTAGGAAAGAACCGCCCTCTCCCCTTTTTGAACAAATCTTTCTGGTCTTATTTAACGAGCACAAATCACCAGAAGGATTAACAATTGTGAGGGACAATAGTCTTGATGATCCACCCGGAAGTAGAACATCTTCCTATATCCCTTCAATGTTTGGTCCAGTTTTGGTTCAGTTTTGGTTCAGTCCACAGTAACTGAACTAATTCTAATCAGAAAAGAATAGCCAAGCTAACTAATGTGAAACAAGTGATTTATTTAGATACCTTCATATTATAAAAAAGTAAATTAATGAATAAATGAAACCCACTTCTTATTTCGGCCCCTGACCAGCCCTTTCATTTTTTATTCGCCCCTCAACCAAAATAAGTTTGACACCCCTGAGCTAGAAGGTTAACACTAAGCTAGCAGGTTAGCATTGAGCTTGCAGGTTAGCATTGAGCTAGCAGGTTAGCATTGAGCTTGCAGGTTAGCATTGAGCTAGCATGTTAGCATTGAGCTTGCAGGTTAGCATTAATCAAGAAGGTTAGCCTTGTTTATGTACAGTCTCTGCTGCAGCCACAGACACGCCTCCTCTCTCCCCAGATACTTCTCTCTGCTCTTCCACATCAAACCCACGTCCGACACCGCCTCCGTGCTGCTGGCGGTGACCGATGGCCCTCAGAACATCATGTACGTGGGGGTGAAGCTCAGCGCGGTGGTGGACGGGAAGCAGAAGGTGCAGTTCTTCTACACAGAGCCCGACTCGGATCGTTCGTACGAGGCCGCCAGCTTCAGCGTTCCCAGCATGGTGGGCCGGTGGTCGCGCTTCGCTCTGTCTGTGTCCCAAGAGGAGCAGGTCAGCTTCTATCACGGCTGCGACTCGGCCCCCCAGGTGCTTCGCTTCGAACGCTCGCCAGACCCCATGGACCTGGACAAGGCCTCGGGGGTGTTTGTGGGACAGGCCGGGCGGGCGGACCCTGACAAGTTCCAGGTGAGACTTATCTATGTATCTGTGTAGTTCAGACCTGCCTGATTTACACATCCAGGACCAAACCCTCTCTGACCCGACATCTCTCCCACTGCTCACTCTCTCTTCTCCACTACATTTTTAGTAGTTATTTAGTACTTATTTATGACTTCTTTAGTGCTTCTTTAGTGCTTCTTTAGTACTTCTTTAGTGCGCGGGTGACTAAATGTGCTTATTCACCCGCCAGGTATTTCCAAAGAGCAGCTTCCTCACGTTGAGGTCAAGAGATTTTAAAGTATTGTAATTTCCGGACATAAATTGCTACCTTTGTCTAGTTATTTTAAACCTGCGGCTTATATAGCAATGCGGCTAATATGTGTATTTTTAACTATGGTAGAGTTGTCAGAGCAGCTTTAAAGTGATTGCCTGCAGTTTGTCAGAAAGAGAGAGAGGTACTTGATTTGAAAAAAACGACGCAAGCTCCTCCCCCTTCCTTTCTGATTGGTCTACACCTACGTTTCCGTAACACATTTAAATGTTAATGAGAGAACACATAATACATATACATTATTAATACAGTGCACGGAGGTTTTCAGAATTATTTGTTAACGTTTTCATGAAAAAAATAATGCGGCAAACCCGGAAGTCGCTATTATGGTCATGTAGTTCCAGAAACTAATGAGGCTTGATTCTGAGGCTCCGCAAAAACAAACAACTGAGCATGCGCAGCTACGAGCATCAGCGCAATGATTGACAGCCCTTGGCATGACTTGATTGGTTAACGTGGACGGCATCGTGGATTCTGAGCTATAGCTAAGAGAAGGGAAAGCGGGACTTACCCGTTATATTAGAATGAATAAAATGACTTATTTTATATCAATATTTAAGGCCAGGAGGTCAATTTAATACAATTCTTAAAATTTCTAATTCATTTAGAGTTACAGACTATCACTTTTAGAAGGTTCATGTTCAACTATTTGATTCTTCTATACCGGACTACAGTAAGTTAGTGACGTTATAACCTTGACTTGTTTCGCTGCTTCATATTGTCGAAACATGTCAAGATAACTACATCACTACCTACTGTTGTTTGTTATAGAAGAACCAAATACTTTTATTTGTCAGAGCAGAGTTTATGGTCTTACTTTTACTCCCACTTTTAGTAGCTACAGGACACTTGTGTACTCTCAAAACAGACTGGTGAATGAGTCATGGAAGCTAACGGTTAAGCTATTAAACATCATTAAATCATGTTGTGACCAGTTGAAACAGTTGTTGATCTGATACATTATAACGTGAAAACCTGCAGCTTATATTCAAGTGCAGCCTAGAGGTGGACAACATACACTTTCTTGTTAAGGCTTATATACGAGTGCACTATATAGTCGAGAAAGCACTACAGCTCGAAATGGAAAATCTTGAATCTTAAACTGTGATTATGGTGGCCACAAAGTATCACCCTGCGTGTAAAGCCCTGCGTGTGCGTGTGGTTCCAGGGGGAGGTCCTGGAGATGAGGCTGGTTGGGGACCCTCAAGAAGCCGAGCACCTGTGTGACGGGGACGATGACACGGATGCGGTGAGAGCTGGCCTCGTCTCCCATGTTTATGACCACACACTGTACAGTATCTTTCTTATGTTTATGACCACACACTGTACAGTATCTTTCTTATGTTTATGACCACACACTGTACAGTATCTTTCTTATGTTTATGACCACACACTGTACAGTATCTTTCTTATGTTTATGACCACACACTGTACAGTATCTTTCTTATGTTTATGACCACACACTGTACAGTATCTTTCTTATGTTTATGACCACACACTGTACAGTATCTTTCTTATGTTTATGACCACACACTGTACAGTATCTTTCTTATGTTTATGACCACACACTGTACAGTATCTTTCTTATGTTTATGACCACACACTGTACAGTATCTTTCTTATTTTTATGACCACACACTGTACAGTATCTTTCTTATGTTTATGATCACACACTGTACAATTTTCAAGATATGACCTATAATTTATCCCTCAGTGGCAAAATTTTAATGTCATAGTTGAGAAAGAGAAATAAAAGCGCACACCAAACAGGACCTATTCTTTAAGATATTAGATAATAGAATAATAAAATCATATGAAGATAATCAATCAGTTTATATGTACAGCGCCTTTCCTACACAAGGCAACACAAAGCGCCTCACAACCCACATCATATCCAGCAAATCATAAACATTAAAATCTACATATACATAAAAAACACAAGAAATATAAAAAACATTAAAAGCACACACAGGATTAAAATAATAAATAGCCACAATACACTAAAAGGAGTAAATATAAAAAACAAAATCCTTCAGTTGTATGTACAGCTAAACAGAACTGTTTTTAACCTTGATTTAAAAACTGCGAGAGTAGATGCCAGCCTCACATCTTCAGGAAGATTGTTCCAGATTTTAGCTGCATTAATCTGGAACGCTGCCTCCCCATGTTTAGTCCTGACTCCTGGAACCAGCAAGATGCCAGTCCCTGTGCTCCTCAGAGTCTGAGTTGGTTCATATGGTACTAACATGTCACTTAAATACTTTGGTGCGAGGCCATGGAGAGACTGTGGCGCTATATTAGCAACTGGACCAAAGATAAATACACTTGTGGAGTATATGCTTGTGAATAGTCATAAGAAATGAATGGAATATGTAATAATGCAACCAAAATAACAAGTAAAGTGAGGAGTGATGAGTAAAGTGGATAGTAAATTATCATAAACAGAAGAACGGCTGAGCCTGGACATGTGTCCAGCTCAGCCGTTCTTCTGTTTATAACACACAGTAAACTATATTTTCCCATGGTTATAGCCACACAATATCCTTCCTCTGTTTCTAATAACTCACTGTCCATTATTGTTTCCCATGGCTCTTGGCCCCGCAGCCTTTTAGTTGCAGTTAAATATAGTCTTTTTTAAATATTCTGTAGGCGTCTGGGGACTTTGGGAGCGGAGCTGGAGACCGGAGCCAAACTGGCAACAGAGTGCAGGTTCGTGTGATCAAGTCATTAAAACTACTTTTCTTATTGCCTTTGCCCATTGCGGTTAAGGCTGGGGTACTTTTTAGGCTGAGAGCTGATTGGCTGAGGGATGGTGTGCCTCTCTGATGGTTTTCACACAGTGTTTGTTTTCAGAGGAACTGGTTTGTACCCCAGCTTTAAGTACAAGGTCTATTTTACTAATGCAGTGGAATGCCCATCCATCCATCCATCCATTTTCTTCCCCTTAATGCATTTCCTGGGTCGGGGGGGGTGGCAGTCAGAGCTGCACCCAGTACACAGAGCACCAGCCCCTCACTGATCCTCCTGCAGGTGGTGAGTCCACAGGAGCTGAGATCTTTCAGTGGGAGCTTCAGGCAAAGTGGGGTTAAGTGTCTTGCCCAAGGACACAACGACAGCAGTCATCAGTGGGAGTCGTGAAGTAGGTCTTATGGTGGGCTCAAACCCACGACCTTCAGGCCCAAGGGCCAATGCTCTACCAACTGAGCTACTGTCATGGAATGTGATCTTTATTATGTCTTTTGTGCAGCAGAAACACTTTTCTGATCTACGGGCTTTTAAAGAATGTCACAAAATTAGAGCTGGGAAATAAAACAAATGAAACTTTTTTTAACATCAAAGATTTTTGATTGATTAAATTTCAGAAACAGAATTATTTATATTGCCACGTAAGTAACAAACAAAAGTTACCACTTGGAAATGGTTTTGGCAGAGAGCATGCCACTTTGCCATTTGAGATCAGTGCCGGCGTCAATCCTTTATGATTGTCTTGGATGGATTATAATACATACTATATTCGAATATTGAAACTTTTTCCAATCCTTGCTTTCATTCCAAAATAGTTGTTTAACTTTAGTTGTTTTCATTATCCTAATTATTACACATGTATTTTTTCTTTTTTACTCCTTTAGAGTGATTAAAAAAAATATATATATATATATATTTGCATCCTCTCAAAGCAAATTCATTTTAACAAAAGGAAACGTTCATAATGTATCATAATAAAGTTATAGCATCGTGAGAATGGTTTCTCTTATTTACCAGAATGAAGGCATTTCAGGATACATCATCATAAATACAATATACAGTATTGTTACTTTACATATATAATGAGTGGGCCACTTGCATTTTAAAAGTCCACTCTATTCTGCTTGGCAGCATTTGTGAAGAAATATGAGAAACACATTATGCAGTGTGTTAAAGCGTGTTGATTATCAAATGGTGTTCTCCAAACAGCTTAAAGGGGTTTGTGAAGAAACTGCAGCACATTTCCCCCACTAAATAAAGAATGCACTGTTAGTGCTGTTAAAACATTCAGCATTGGACATTTCCATTGGGAGTGTGGTTTGACTTTTACATTTCTAACTTAATTATGATAAATATATACCAACAGATGTATATACTTACTCTTGATAGTGGACCGGCAGCTTTTATATTTGGATGTAGGAAAACAATAATAACGTTTTCAATCTTGGGGAAATTACATTGAGAAAAACATGAAGAATGAAATAGATTGAAAACTAAAGTTGGGGATCCTGTGATAACTGCTTTGCAATGGAATACATTTCAGAGGCATTTGTGTTTAACCCGGAGGACTGCAGCGCGGGTAAGTATTGTTTTGATGCATGACGGGTGAGAGGTTAGGGATGCGCTGGCGTTAGTGTCATTATGGGAAGCGTTCATAATGGCTCAGTTGTGTTTTGGGATGCTGCAGTTAATGGCATTGACCTGTTAGATGGTTTACACTCAAAAGGTTGTGAGAAAGCCTTTTTAATCTGGGGTATTTGCTGTAACAGCCTGTTCAGTGACAATGAGCGCCTACATTAGCATAGCCATTACACTGGGTTAAACAGGGCCTACGCCAAAAATATTGAAGCCACTTGAAAGCAAATAAAAAAATAACTTCAAACATGATAACTTTGTTTGTGTCAGTTGAGACCATCATTAATAAAACAATTGGCACGATGGATTTTTCATTTTAGGAAATTTCAATGTCAATCAGCTGTCAAAACCAAGACAGGCCACTTGCCAAATTATTTATTATTTTCTTCACTTTTTCAGTACTTACTAAGCACTAATAAAACTTGTTTTACACGACAATAAAAATAAAAATAATATACAATGTTCAGATTTCTAAACATTTAAGTTTGTTAGACGAGGTCATGGTGTCAAAGTCAAGGCCTATGGGCCAGATCAGGATACCAAATGAATTATCTTGGCCCCCGGGATGAAATTGAGAGCCGCCTCTACCTACTGAGGAGGCTTAGGTCTTTTGGAGTACAGGGGCCACTCCTGAAGACCTTCTATGACTCTGTGGTGGCATCAGCCATCTTGTACGGTGTGGTCTGCTGGAACAGCAGTATCACTGAGAGGGACAGGAAGAAGCTGGACAAGGTCATCAGGAAGTCCAGCTCAGTCCTGGGCTGTTCCCTGGACACAGTGCAGCAGGTGGGGGACAGGAGGGTCCTGAGCAAACTAACATCTATGCTGGACCATGACTGTCACCCCCTGCAGGACACTCTCTCTGCTCTGGAGAGCAGCTTCAGTGACAGACTAATTCACCCTCGCTGTGTGAAGGAGAGGTTTCGCAGGTCTTTCCTTCCTGCTGCTGTCAGACTGTACAACGAGAATGTGTAACATGAACTGCTGAGTCTGCACAAGTGTCACTGATAATTCACTAGTAACTTTGTCACTAGTCACTTAACCTGTTATCAGTACTACTACAGTATTACATATCTGATATTTACTGTTATCAGTACTACTGTATTATTTCATATCTGATAATTCTGCCTTTCACCGTCACTTTACCTGTTGATATTATTTCTGATGTGTATTCTGCTCATATTCATATTCTCATATTCTCCGCTGCTAATGTATAATATAGACATCTGTAAATACTTCGAACCAAGTGCAATTATAGCCCAGAGTTTATCTTATTTTATTTTATCTTACATTTATTGTCTATTATCTTAAATAATAGACTTTGATGTGTGCAATCTGAGGGCTCTTATTTCCTTTCTCTGCTGTAATGTGCGCAACGATGACACTGAAATTTCTCCACTGTGAGACTAATAAAGGTTTATCTTATCTTATCTTATCATTGGAAACAATTTGTATACAAAGTTCTACATAACGCTCACTTCATCTGTGATATATCTAAAAAGTGTAATTCTGATGGAAAAAAGTAAATCCAATACATAAAAACATAATATAAAAGTGTTATACTATGCAGAGGTACAATCCGAGTAAGGAAATAGCATCTCCATGGCAACAAGTGGGTTGCGCAACGCAATGGTTGATCCAAATATATAAATAATTAAAATGCACCTTCTTTTTATCAATCTGAGTGTGGGACCGCCACTTTCATCCTGAGCTTGTGAATGGTTCAAAACATTTCAGTCCCATTTGCTCCTTTCCCCTGAACACTTGAACAGCCCTGGTCGGCACTTCACTTTCATCAAATATGGAATGGTTTGTTTTTCATCTGGGGCAAACAAATACATATTTTTGTCTTTTGCTGGTTATAATTGCTGCCTGTGGATCTCAGTATCCTCGCTCCATCAAGGATCCTGCAGTTCTTGCCACCTACACATCATAGCTCCATAAGACTCATGTTTTTTGACGTCTCTGCTCTGTTTACCCTTTTTAAGCCTTTTTAAAGCCTTTTAAACACGTTTTTACGGTGTATTAGTGTCTTTTGTACACTCTAGTGTGTTATTATCTTAAATGCAATGGTTCCAGAGCATCACGTCTTTTAACACAAAGACCCAATCGAGAGGGACCGTGCCACTATTGCAGACCTCCGTAAAGAAGTCCTTCGCCTCACTGCAGAGCTGCAGGATAAACAGTCACTCGTGTCCAAACTTTTTGATGTCGCTGGCGGGCAGCACTCACGGCTTATGTCACTGAGCGCTGCATACTGTGACACTGTCGTGTGGGAGAGATCTGTCAGCTCTGGGCCCTCTTGTTCTACACCTAAGTGCCCGGTTCGGAATAAAGAGCCTGCGGACTGCGAGGAGCCATCCAGCGCCGTGGCCCATGTGCTGGAGCCTTTCAAACCGCTATGCAGCCCTCTCCGCTGACATCCCAGCCCCCTCAGCAGAACCCCTGGACTCTGCAGCAAACTCTACTGCTGTCCGTGGATCCAGGTCCACTGCGAGAAAGACACTCTTAAAGGAAGCTGTCCTCAGACGAAAGAGTGGTCATTCCCCTTCTCTGACCCCAGTGCATCACCACCATTTACCTTCACCGGGTCAGCAGCAGCGACCCGAGCCTGCTCCTCACGCCGCTCCAGCGTCTCCGTGCACACAGCGTGGGTTGCCCGGAGCTGGGAATCAACACCCCCGCTCCCCTCCATGTGTTCAGCAGCGCCCTGGTTCGGACCCATCCCTGGATGAGCCCGCTGGTTCCGGCCATGGACACCGAGCGCCCTCTCCGCGGCTACGTCCACTCTTCGCCCCGACTACTTTGATTGTTGGAGATTCCATCGTGAGGCACGTCCGCTTTTTTAACGCGGTCACTCACTGCATTACCGGAGCTACTGTACCAGACCTGCTCATCCGTCTCCCTCCTCTGCTTCACTCCCTGCCCGATACCATTTCAAAGGTAATCGTGCATGTGGGGATCAACGACATGAAGCTGCAGCAGTCCGAGGTCACAAAGAAGCATTTTATGGATCTATTCCGCCTCCTCCAGTCCTCTGGGTTGTGTGTTTTTATCTCTGGTCCAGTCCCGACTGTAAACCGGGGAGACTGCTTGTACAGTCGCGTAGTGGCGCTCAACATGTGGCTCCAGTCTGCATGCAGCACTTTTAACTTTATTTTTGTGAACAACTTTGGCCTGTTCTGGAAGCGTCACGTGGCCTATCGTCCAGATGGTCTGCACCCAAACAGATACGGCACCAGTTTATTGATGGACTTTTTACGCCATGTTGTTCAGTGCTCCCCGAGGGGGGCGTGACTGTTTACATCCGAGGCCCCTCGGCCCCCACTACCACCTTCCTCCTCCACTCCAGCACCGGGTGAGTACTGTGGTGCAAACACTGACCCCTGTCCGTCTGGCAGTGTAATACCAGTCCTGCCACTGAACGGCACTTACTCAGTCATGCATCTGGAACTTAACAAAGTAAAACAGAGTTCACTTTTTAAACCAATAGAGACTGTGTGTGTTCCTCGCACCGGCTCAGAAATGTGTTTTAATTTGAATAAACACAAATATAACAGAAGGACAGCAGTTAGACGGTCCAACTCAGGAAATCTAATTCCAATTCTTTGTAGTCAATCAACTAAACCCACTGACACTGATATTATTTTTAACCTTGCTCTGCTTAATGTCAGATCACTATGCAATAAATCCTTTTTAATTAATAATTTTATCTGTTCTTATGATCTTGACTTTATGTTTATGACTGAAACTTGGCTTGACCATAATACAGAAAATGCAGTCTTAATAGAAACAACACCACCAAATTTCAAATTTGAATCAGAAATTCGAGAAAATAAAAGAGGAGGAGGCACAGCAGCAGTTTTTAAAGATTGTATTGTCTCCCATAGAGTACCTCTTGGGTACTCAGCCACCGGCGGCACGGTGGCTGAGTGGATAGCACTCTCGCCTCTCAGCAAGAAGGTCCTGGGTTCGAATCCCGGCCGGACCAGGGCCTTTCTGAGTGGAGTTTGCATGTTCTCCCCGTGTCTGCGTAGGTTTCCTCCGGGTACTCCGGTTTCCCCTACCACTAAAAATATGTACAATAGGTCTGGCATGCGCCTCCTGTTCGGCGACCCCGCTCCCATCTCTGTGTGGAGTGAGAGACAAGTGCCCAAAAAATAACAATTGTAAACCGCTTTGTGACTCTGGTCTGTGAAAGGCGGTATATAAATAAAGCTTACTTACTTACTCTTGGGAAATTTTCCTCATTTGAGTATGTCTCTTTTAAAATAGAACAAAAACAATCTTCTATTCTTATTATTGTTGTGTACAAGCCGCCACAGTCATGTCATAGTTTCACTGATCATTTCACCGAGTTGCTTTCAGTTGTGTGCACAGACTTTGATAGTTTAGTCGTCATAGGTGATTTTAATATACATGTAGATAACGTTGATGATAGATACGCGAAAGAGCTGAGCTCTGTGCTGGAGACCTTTGGTCTCACTCAGCATGTGAGTGGCCCCACCCATAGCAGAGGACACACTCTCGATCTGCTAATTACTAAAGGGGTTAATATCTCAAATGTAAATGTGGCCAATGTTGCTCTGTCAGATCATTTCTGTGTATTTTTTGATATGTGTCTCAATAGTAAAGCACGAGCTGAATCCTCAATTGTTAGAAGAAGAAGACACATAAACAAAAATACAGGTGAACTTTTCATGGGGATGATAAACTTTGATAACACGTTGTGTTCTACTGTGGATGAATTACTTAACTCTGTCACCTCTAGTGTTTTGGATGTTCTGGACACGATTGCTCCTGTAAAGGTCAAAATTGTTACAAATAAGCAAAAGGCGCCATGGACAAAAGCGGACTCTGTCAGGGCACAGAAGAGAGAGTGCCGGAGAGCCGAGCGGAAGTGGCGAAAGTCAAATCTCCAAGTTGACCATGAGATCTTCAAAGATGCTTTGTGCAAGTTCAACAGTGTGCTACGTAGAACGAGGGAAACTTATTTTTCCGAAACAATCGAAGGTTGCAGTAACAATCTACGCGTTCTGCTCTCAACAGTAAATAAATTGACAAATCCCCCTGTTAAGATGCCATCAGAGCTTACCTCCAAAACCAAATGTAATGAGTTTGCAGAGTTTTTTAATGACAAAGTCCAAGGCATCAAAAATGCCATCACCTCCACAGTAGAAATTACAATCCAACAGCCAGTGAAGCTTTTTGGGCTGACACACTTTACACCAGTACAAAATGAAACTGTCCAAATGATAATTACAAGTCTGAGTTCTTCTACATGTAGCCTGGATGTATTACCTCCTAGATTTCTTAAATCTGTTCTGAGCAGTCTTTTACCTTCACTCACGCATATAGTAAATATGTCTCTTGAATCTGGAACATTCCCAATGGCCCTGAAAACGGCAGTCATCAGACCCCTCCTAAAAAAGAGGAGTCTGGATGCCTTGGCACTTAAAAATTATCGGCCCATTTCAAATCTGCCTTTCATGGGTAAAATTCTAGAAAAAGTTGTCTATCAACAACTTACAGAATTTTTAATAATCAATCACTCTTTTGATATGTTCCAGTCTGGTTTTAGACCCCACCACAGCACAGAGACCGCTCTAGTGAAGGTAACAAATGACATCAGACTTAACACTGATGCAGGAAAAGTCTCAGTTCTTATCCTGTTAGATTTAAGTGCTGCTTTCGACACTGTCGATCATGGTATCCTCATTCAGAGACTTGAGGACTGGGTTGGTGTTTCTGGAACAGCCCTAAGCTGGTTTATATCCTACCTACAGGGCAGAAAGTATTTTGTGGAGATCGGAAACTGTATCTCAGACCATCTGGCCCTAACCTGCGGAGTTCCACAGGGATCAATCCTGGGGCCTCTCCTGTTTAATATTTACATGCTGCCTCTGGGTAGGTTAATACACAGTAATAACGTGTCCTATCACAATTATGCTGACGATACTCAGGTCTATGTGTCCCTGACAGCAGGAGAACATGGACCAGTGGACTCGCTCCTTCACTGTATCCAACAAATCAGTGATTGGATGCAAAATAACTTTCTCCAGCTAAACACAGAAAAAACTGAAATTATTGTTTTCGGACCTCAAAAACAAAGAGAGAGCGTTATCTGCCACCTCCAGTCTCTCTCCCTAAAACCCTCAACTCAGGTCAGAAATCTAGGAGTAATAATGGACTCAGACTTAAATTTCAATAGCCACATATCATCTGTGACATCATCAGCTTACTTCCACCTAAGAAACATTGCTAAAATTAGGAACATTGTGTCTAAAGCAGACTTGGAGATTCTTATCCACGCATTTGTCTCCAGTCGATTGGACTACTGCAATGGCTTGTTCACAGGTCTCTCTAAACAAGCGGTAAAACAGCTGCAGTACATCCAAAATGCTGCAGCTCGAGTCCTGACTAGAACCAGGAAGTACGACCACATTAGTCCGGTCCTCAGGTCTCTGCACTGGCTTCCTGTGGCTCAGAGAATAGATTTTAAAGTAGCTTTACTTGTGTACAAGTCTCTCCATGGCCTCGCACCAGGGTACATCCGCGACATGTTGGTGCCATATGAACCAACTCGGGCTCTGAGGAGCACAGGGACTGGACTTCTGTTAGTGCCAAGAGTCGGAACTAGACATGGGGAGGCTGCGTTTCAGATTCATGCAGCTAGAATCTGGAACCGTCTTCCCGAGAGTGTGAGACAGGCGTCTACTCTAGCAGTTTTTAAAACTGAACTGAAAACAGTTCTTTTTAGCTGTGCATACAAGTGAATGATTTTATATTTGTTTTTATCTTTAATCTTTTTAATGCGCTATGATTATTTATGATTATTTATGATTGTAATCCCTTGTGTGATTTTAATGTTTTACGGTTTTTAACTACTTGTGTGATTTTATATATCTTGTGCTCTTAATCTGTCTTTTTATGTTTACTTAAATTCTAATGTTTGATGATTTATGCATGATGTTATATGGGTTGTGAGGCGCTTTGCGTTGCCTTGTGTAGGAAAGGCGCTCTATAAATAAACGTTGATTGATTGATTGATTGTGACCGTGATGGAGGTTTCCCAGTGTGATGGAGCACAGTGCTGTTGTGCACGCTGCTTAACACCACTGTCCGAGTGTTAGTTCTTGGATAGACAAAGCAAAAACCCAAGTTCTGTGTAAAAGAATTGGTATAAATGACTAATAAATATAGATCTTCATATCGTGTTTTCTTTACTGGCGTGGTGAAACTCCCTTATATCTCACAAAATGTGTGATGAAAGTTTGGTAAAACTTTTTTTTTTATATATGTGCACTGATGTGCTGCGACCATCTTTTCTGACTGATCAATCAAAGTGGAGAAAGAATACACAAGCCAATCAGAGCACGGGGGTGGGGTCAAAGTGCGGAAGTGCCGTGAGTCCCGCGAACACTGACTTTTTTCTTAGTTACTCACGTTTTATTATTTTAATCTGATTTGGACACTTTACCCGGAGAGCTGCTGGTAAGTCTCGGCTTGCACATTGTCGTCTGTGATATGAAATTACTACAGTCACAGTTGGTTCACATTCTCAGCCTCCAGCACGTCTAACATGGACACACATGCAGTAAAGTGTTTGTGTTTACTTTATGCTCTTTAGTGGGCTGTAGGTCTAACTGCTGTAGTTTAAACGTGCATGAATTGCCTAAATGTCCCAATAGTGTCATGTAGTGAACATATAATAATAATAGTAATGATAATAATATTGCATAGGTTTTATGAAGCGCTTTGCATTCATTAAGATAAGATAAGATAGACTTTATTGATCTCACAAAGGAGAAATGCACATGTCACATCTGGCATGGGTAGAATCACTCGAGATTGTGCAAAAAGAAAGAAATGTGCAAACATGTTAAATGCAGGATAAATGGCAATCAAGAAACAGTGTCAATAGTACGGAAGCTTGTTAGGTTCACTTGTGAGTTTGTTGCTGGTATCATGTTATTTCATGATACCAGTTTATCATGAAATAACATGATACTGTAGATACAGAAGAAGAATCTGTCAGCTTCTTCTGATAAATTGGTATCATGAAATAACATGATAGTTGTGTATTATTAAATAACATGATAAATTGGTATCATGAAATAACATGATAGTTGTGTTTCATGAAATAACATGATAGTTGTGTTTCATGAAATAACATGATAGTTGTGTATCATGAAATAACATGATAGTTGTGTATCATGTTATTTCATGACAGTATCATGAAATAACATGATACAAGCGGGAAAAAAAACACACTCACAAGTGAACCTAACAAGCTTCCGTACAATAGTGCAGTTTTTTTATTCAGTCTTAATACAGTGACTTAAAGTGACTTGTTGTACAGTCTGACAGCAGTGGGGATAAAGGGCCTGTGGTAGCGCTCCTTCTTGCACTGAAGGTGTCTCAGTCTTCCACTGAAGGAGCTCCTCAGCTCCTCTACAGTCCTGTGCAGTGTGAGGTGTTGTCCTTGATGGAGGTGAATTTGACTAGCACCCTCCTGTCCCTCACCTCCTCCACAGAGACCAGGGGGCAGCCCAGAGTGGAGCTTATTATTCTTTCACTCCATACACAGTGGTGATAAACTACAACTCGTCCTTTCTTTTCTGCCTGAAAAAGTTGTTCTAAAGATGAGGCCAAACATGCATGAAAACAAGTGATGGAAGGAAACTGTTTTAGAGCCAGGAGTGGTTTGAAAGTTTGGCTTTTTCTTGTCATGGCTTATGGCAGTTGACCGCTGTAGTGATTTAGGGCGATACATGCAAATACATGCGATACATACAAATTCATGCAAGCTGTTTTTTCCATTGTGCAGCCCTTTGGAAACTGTTAGTGAAATGTCCTATGTAAACAAAGTGCTCACATCTGCTTGAAACTATTGTCTGCATTTATACTGGAGCGTTTGTTACAGAGAGCTGCTGTGCCATGAGTAAGAGGAAAGCCAGAGATGCCCACCTCCCGGTCGGGGACTGCGTGGCCCAGGTCTGTACTGTCCCCTCATGTTGGAGATGGTATTCCTCTAGTAGATGTCTGTGTAAGTGTAGTTCCTCCTTCCGCAGCTGCAGCAGGAGTTGAGAAACCGTCTGTGTCGTGAGGAGCTCCCAGAGACGCCCGAAGGAGTGACCGCGCAACACAAGTACGTATGTGCAGGATTCAGCTATGCCGTTATTACCGAAATGCAAGGCAAGTTTATTTGTATTGTCCCATTCATACAAAGGGTTTCACAAAAGACAGGACAAATTCAAAATCATATAATAAGAACAGAAGTAATCACAGTACTTTCCTTTGTAAAAGAGGAGCAGAGACAATCGTAGTTGTATACACTTACAGATTTGAGTCCCTGTGCTCCTCAGAGTCAGGTTCATATTGCACTCAGATGTACTTTGGTTCGAGGCCATGGAGAGACTTGTACATAAGCAGAGCTGCTTTTAAGTCTCTGAGCCACAGGAAGCCAGTGCAGAGACCTGGAACCAAGGCTAACGCTAGAGGACTTCCTGGTTCTCATCAGGACTGGAGCTGCAGTGTGCTGAATTTACAAATTCGTATGAATTGGTTCAGATACAAAAAAGGCAGAACCTGTAAAAATGAATACGAGATTTGATAAAAATCCCAAATGTTTTATTAAAAGAAGAAAAGTCCCCTGGCTTTGAATATGTCGACTCTCGCTTGTGAAGTAGGTGACGGGGTTGTAAATATTGTGAATATTTTTCTAATTCCTCCTTCTCTCAGACTTGACCCTCTCTCTGTTTTAAATACATGTGTGTTAAAATGTAATGAGTAACGGTCTTCTCTCGGTGCAGACACTTGGTGGAGCTGCTCCGTCGCACAGCGCTCCATGGGGAGAGTAACTCGGTGCTGGTCGTGGGCCCCCGAGGAGCCGGGAAAACCATGGTGAGTCTTGCACGCTTCAGCCTCAAGGGGGCGCCAGTAGGACACAGTTGCTCCTTCTCAAATCTCCTCTGGTTGCAGCTGTTCAAAAGTGTCCTGAAGGAGCTGCTGCAGGACGAGGACATCTCCCAGACTCTGATGCAGGTTCATCTCAACGGTGAGGGCCTTCATCCTTGATATGTCTTACATTTATCTGTATCTTTTATCTGATTTAATTCATAAAGCGGCAGACATGTTGAGATGTGTGTCATCTGTCTGTGCAGCACTTTGGAAACTTGTTTTTAAAACATGGGCTATATAAAAAAAACTGGACTGGATAGATGCAGAAGAGGCAGTTTTGGACATAAGCTAGCTGCAGCCAGTTTCCGTATATGGGCATTTGTTCTGACGGCATTGGCTTTGTACTGTATCCGGGATAGACATGTCAAGGCAATTTGGAGTTTCCTTGCAAACAAAGGCCTCTGATTGGTCAATTCTTATATGGCTCGTTTCTGGATTCCAAAATAGTGAGAGTGACACAAACTTACTGAGCGAGTTCTTGTTGCCTTATGGTCGTGCACTGAATGTTCTGACCAATCAGAGCACAGCTGATCAGAGTGCGACAAAAGCAATTGCTTTTAGAAGAAAAATAGGATAATAAAATCCCCACAAAGCTGTAATATTCCTGTCTGTTGAGTTCGAGTCATGTGGTAAATCCACATAGACCTCAGTTAACATTGCAGTCTGTGTGGAATTATTCATTTATTTTATTTAAAAAGGGACCTTGTTGGGGTCCCTTGGGCTGCAGTACCACAGGTGGCCTCTAGTCAATGTGGAGATTGCTATAAACAAGCTCTAAAATTTATCATACATCCATGGGTATTCCTTGTTTTAGCACAGCTTCTCAATCCCCTGTTCTGTTGTGCTCGTAGGCCTTCTGCAGACCGACGACAAAATCGCTCTGAAGGAGATCACGCGGCAGCTGCACCTGGAGAACGTGGTCGGCGACAAAGTCTTTGTGAGTTGTGCGTCTCCAGTCCGAGCCCCTCGCCACTGTCCTGTGTAGCGCTAACTCCTGCACTCGTGTTCCATCAGGGGAGCTTCGCAGAGAACCTGGCCTTCCTCCTCGAAGCCCTGAAGAAAGGCGAGTTCTGTCCTCAAACTGTTTCACCAGCTTTTCTACTTGATACATTTTATGGGAGCTTTTTTTTCCTCCATTTGGTTATTTTTTTTTTTTTCCTTAATATTCTTGAATTTGTTGTCATAACTTCAGCTCTACCAACATTACTGCACCTCACTGTAAAGAGCAGAACCTCTAGAAGTCAGTGGTTGACTTTATTAGTACTGACTGACCTTTCCACATGTGTCGCTACTGTGTTAGTCAAGAACACGTCATAACCATGGATCTATAATAATAACTCGTCACCGTCTCCTGCCCTTTATTACCGACACTTAATGCTACTGCCACTTTACTGCACTGCCTATGTGTGTACCATACTTATTTTTTTTATTTTTTTTATCAATACCTCAGACTATTTTTACCTCTTAACTTATGACTTCTGACTCACAATTCTGGATTATTAGTAACTCTTGTAAACTTCAGTTCTGTCAAATGTGAATCAATGCAAAAATATACAATTTGAAGCTCAGAGCAGCGATATCCAGTCAAAACAGTTTTAAATCCGTGTCGTCGACCCCTGGACACAAGTCTGATGAACTAAAGTGGCCTTCTCACTAAAAGGTTTGGGCACCCTGACATTAACAAGGTCAACCAAACTACTACTATACTATGAACTATACTTTACTGCACTGGTGAATGTCTATTGTGTGTACTTTGTATATAATGGTAATTTTAAGAGCTCTTATGAAGATTGTATGCAAGAGATTTAAAGCATGCTCTTATCTCTATCTCATATCTATTTTTAGTTTTCGAACTTGTTTGCACCATGAACCAAAGCAAATTGTTGACTTCCTGTTACATACAATGGCAAAAAATAATAATTCTGATTGTGCTTGTCTCCAGGTGACCGCAGCAGCTCCCGGCCCGTGCTCTTCCTCCTGGACGAGTTCGACCTCTTCGTGCACCACAAGAACCAGACGCTGCTCTACAACCTGCTGGACGTGTCGCAGTCGGCCCAGGCCCCGGTGGCGGTGGTGGGTCTGACCTGCCGCCTGGTTCGTCCCAAAAATTGTGTTTTGTGTGTGTGTGTGTGTGTGTTGCCTACGTGACATGTGCTGGCTTCTCGTGTGCGGCAGGACGTCCTGGAGCTGCTGGAGAAGCGTGTGAAGTCGCGGTTCTCCCACCGGCAGATCCACCTGTTCTGCAACACCACCTTCCCCGAGTACGTGCGGCGCGTCCAGACCCTGCTGCAGCTGCCCGACACCTTCCCTGACCAGAGGTTTTTACAGGACTGGAACAGCAGCGTCCAGGTACAGACTCGCGACAGAGTTACGAATCACACAGACATAAAAAAAGTCAAACACAAAATCTCTTCACATCATTACCAGCTCCGTATGACACACACACTTGCACACGGACATGGACACGCACAAATATTCCAAAATAACTCTAAAATGTGAAAAAGTAAATACCCAAAACGGCGTCTCTGTAAACCGACTTCTCTGTGTCCTTCAGGCTCTTTGTGAACACAGATCTGTGGAGGACGTTCTTCAGAGGCACTTCAACTCCAGCAAAGACTTCCGCTCTCTGCACGTGCTGCTGGTGAGCGCCTCGCAGTCCCTAAGACCGGGACGGGACGGGGGGGTGAAGGAGGGCAGGGCTGAGACTATGGATTGTTTACCAATGGACAAGGCTAGCTCGTGGGACTGATACTTTTTTCTTCCCACCGTGGGGAAATCTCAGTCAACTTGTGAGCTCAGTGAGACCCTATAGGGAGCGTTTCATGGACAAAGTTTAGCTCCAACTTGCTGTAGCTCTTAGTGACATGTTTAAATAAACTACTGGAGCTCAATAAGGTGTTTCTCATACTCACAAGTTTGGGATTACATTTGTGGTTTAGCGCTCTCTGTGATCCTGGTGTTTATATTTTAATTGTCTTTGTCAATACCAATCAGAGGCCTCCTTCATAGGGATACTCCAGCTTGCCTTAGCAACCACCTTAGCAACACATCTGCCCCTGTTACAGCATCAGAACAAATTCCCATATGAAGAAACCGGCTCCAGCTAGCTTTTGTTCAAATCAGCTTCTTTAACACTAGTGATTCAGCCAGAGAGCATATCTTAGTAGAGGTCTGACAGAGACTGAACCTCTTAACCTTCTGCTGGCAGGTGCTCTGCCTGAGCCGGGTCTCTGCCTCCAAACCCTCCATCGCACCTGCAGACGTGGTGGAGGCCAGCCGCACCTACTTCGCAGACGCCAAGGCCAACATGCTCCACGGTGAGCGAGCCGCAGACTCCACCATGTTTCACCTGCAGGGGTTTTTTAAGCCCCGTTTCCACCAAATCTGCTCTTTTCATCTCCGCCCCTAAAAGTTAGACCAGGGCTAGAGCGATGGATCCAGGTTTTAGTTCCCACCTGGACTTGCAGCCACGCCAGCCCTTTGAGGACCGGTTTGACGCCAAAGCTATAGACCCAGGCCCAATTTTCTCCAATGCTATAGCTCACCGCCCCTTTAACGACTCTCTTCTCCATGTCCTGATGTCTCTGTACCTGAGCTCACATTTCTCGTTGTGGGGGGGTCTCTCACAGGTCTGTCCATCCTGGAACTGTGTCTGATCATCGCCATGAAGCACCTGAGCGAGCTGTACGACGGAGAGCCCTTTAACTTGCAGATGGTGCACAACGGTACAGAGAGGGAGAGAGACAGAAAGAAAGAGACAGACGGAAAGAGAAAGAGAGACGGACAGAGAGAGACGGACAGACAGAGAGAGAGAGACGGACAGAGAGAAAGAGAGACGCAGAGAGAAAGACATACACACACAGTTACTTCATCTGATCACAAGCACATCTCTAACCCCAGATTTAAGTTATTTGATTTTTATTTTCCTGTTCAGAGTTTAAGAAGTTTCTCCAGAGGAAGTCCAGCTCCATGTACAACTTTGAGCAGCCTGTGATCATGAAGGTCGGTTTGTTCTTCAATATCGTGCCAAAAAACAGATTTCTTTTTTATAGTGTGCTTCTTCTGTTGCATGTTTATAACCTGACCGTTACCTTTATTTAAAGTCTGAAGAAAGGTTTCCCTCTCTCTGTCTCTGTGTGTGGTCTCTATCTCCCTCTGGTATATATCTCTCTGGTTTCAATCTCTCTCTATGGTATATCTATCTCTTTGGTCTCTCTCTGGTCTCTCTCTCTGGTCTCGCTCTCTGGTCTCGCTCTCTGGTCTCGCTCTTTGGTCTCTCACTTGAAACATATCGCTGCTACTTCAACAAACGGGGTCCACTGTAATCTGTTCTCTCACTTTGGCTCCCCCTGCAGGCCTTCGAGCACCTGCAGCAGCTGGAGCTCATCCGGCCCCTGGACAGCTCCGGAGCCCGCACCCAGAGGGAGTTCCAGCTGGTGCGCCTCCTGCTGGACACCAGTCAGATCACAGAGGCCCTGCAGAGGTACCCGCAGTGCCCCACAGACCTGAAGCAGTGGGCCATGTCTGCCTTTGCATAACCACACACACTCTGACCACACCCACACTCACACACACACTCTGACCACACCCACACACACTCTGACCACACCCACACACACTTTGACCACACCCACACACACTCTGACCACACCCACACACTGACCACACCCTCACACACTCTGACCACACCCACACACAGGCCACACCCACACACACTTTGACCACACCCACACACACTCTGACCACACCCTCACACACTCTGACCACACCCACACACACTCTGACCACACCCACACACTCTGACCACACCCTCACACACTCTGACCACACCCACACACTGGCTCTAGACCCGTAGGCTGCAGACTCGAGGCTTTTCATATGGACTATATATTCCCCGGCTTTGTCTTGGTATAAAGCACAGGGAACTACAATTCTTCACTCTGTTTCAGCTCAAAACGTCTCCAGATGAAATATTGTTATTAAATATTTTCTGTTTAATGTTGCAGACGATTATGTATTTTTGTATAGGAATAAAAAAAGTGTTTGTATAAATGTAAAATGGTCTTTGTCGTCAATCTTTCCCTAATCTTTCAGAAGTGCTGTTTTTCCCAGAATCCATTCTTACATTCGGGGGAAAGAGATTGAAACTTGGTCTTCAGGCTCTGCAGGGGGGGCCTAAATGTTACCCACAACAATGGAGAATAACAAACTAGGCTGTAATTTGATTTTTTAATATTTTATGGATTAGTTGCCAGATTATTAGTTTCATTACCTACTTTTGTTTGAGTTTTTTAGATGTGCCATTTTCACCATGAGCACTTCCCTATTGAGTTGCATTGAGCTAGCATGTTAGCTAGCTTGTCTATCTGTATACTATCTATGGTCAACATGCAGAAGAGCGACCACAGCCGGGCTCATGAGTTTGTCTTTAATCCCTGTGGAACATTACATTATCATTCATGTTGACAGACAGATGTGTATTTGGTTGACTCACGGTCACAGATAAAAAATAATAAATAATAAAAAAATCTTGTTTACACAGTTACAAATCTGTCAAATACAACGGGACACGGGAACTGTACACTTTTCACGTCTGCACTGGTCACACAGCTGCCTTGTGACCGGGTTCCCCACAGTCTCTCCCACGGCTCTTTTGTCTTGTACATAATGAATTACAGTCACCGCACGTTTTTAAAATCCAGTAATGACTCGAGTCCACATCAAACATTAACGAGGAGTTCAGTTTCCACCGAGGATGGAGTAAAAAAAAAAAAGAAACGGCTGCACAATCAGTGTCTTCCCCACGGATCCCAACCCGAGTCGTGGGTCAGACTATTTAGTTAATGTTAATGATGAAGATGAGAGAGAGCACCGAAGAGATTGTGTCCAGTCCACTGTTTAGGCTCCGGCCACTCAGATGCACTTACATATGTTCACATGCACAGGACCGGGACCAGGACCAGAACCAGGTCTTGGTCTCACTGTGGGGAGCGTAGGGTTGTTCCGATAGTCCCTGCCACAGCTCTTTGTCGTGTCAAGATGGTGGGACTAACTTAGGCGCTCCCTTTTATATATCATTCTGTAAAATATGGGCTATAATTGCCTCCACCAAGGGGTAATGTAGTCACCACTGTTTATTAGTCGTGATTTCAACTGAATGATCAGGAGAGTCCAGGGTCTAAGGACAGTGATGATCCCGCTTCCTGTGGACCAATGGCGTTTGTTGTTATTGCATTTTCTGTGTTAGAACTGTTTGATTCTTTGAGCTGTTTTTGAATCCACAACTTTGTAAAGTCCCCCGAGACGACTGCTGTTGTCCGAGGACTTCACTACTTTTCTTCAGTATGGAAATACGCCTCTTGGTGGAGGTCTGTGCTCTACGAGTGCTTCTTTAGTTTATGTGTAGACCAATAATATAAGGGTAGTGCTTTCTGATCCACATGCAGCTCGTACTGAAGCTGTAACATCACGCACGTACTGCTCAGATTATTATTATTATTATTATTATTATTACTGGATGGGCCTGGACCATAGAGTTTATGAGGAGTGGACTGGGTGTGACATCACCATAGTCTTGGCCTTAATGCAGACCTAAATATCTCACTGCTCGTATTGCACTGGAGCCACAAGCCCTGGGACCACTCTACAGGAACAACCCTAACTCCAGTCTCCAGGGGCCCCTCCAGGGTTAGGGTTAGGGTTCCCTTCCTCACACCCAGGAGTCCGGGGAGCCAGTGAACTTGCTGGCCCTGTTGGCTGGCCTCCCGGTGGTGGAGTAGAAGTCCACGTAGTTGGTGTTGGTTTTGAAGGGGAGGGTCCGGTAGTCGGGGGAGGTGGGGCTCAGGGGCTCGGGCTCGTCCTCCAGGTCCTCAGCGTAGCCCTGAGGAGACGACAGGTACATTCTGTAGCTGTTGAAGTTCTTACGGCCCGGATCGTCATAGAACAGCTCCGGGTTCTGCAGAGAGAGAGAGAGAAGGGGATGAACCAGGCCGGAACCAGGCCGGAACCAGGACTGGACCAGGACCAGGACTCCTCCTTTGCCGGACCAGTGCCGGACCAGGATTGGACCAGAGTGCAGTTTATAAGGCTCATGTTTTTTATGTACCTTTAAATGTGTTTCTGTCGTTCACACATTGGTTTGCATGTACATGAACTAACAATATAGCCACAGCTGCCCCTGGGACACACTGACAGAAGCGAGGCAACTATTCTGAGCCAACAGCACCTCCCACCACCGCCAACCATTCACACACAGACAAGACTCATTCTACTATGGGTGAAGTGTCTTGCCAATGGGCACAATCACAGTTTGTCACCTGCAGGTGGCGCCACAATACCTACTAAACAAGAGGCATTCTTTATACTGTATTTTTCAACTTTCTACTTTGTGGTTGCTTGGTAACTACGTCGACTACTCTTTGCTGGGTGCAACTGGGAAGTAACATAGAGACAGAAGACGGTGTTACCTGGGAGCGCCGCAGGTCCTCTCCGGACTGAGACGAGTACGTTCCAATGAAGTACGGGGTTTTCTGCTCGCAGCCTGAGGACAAGAGCATCAGCAGCATGTTTCAATAGCCCTCAAGGAGCGAGAACCGAAATATACCAGTGTTGTGTTTATTAGGAGTGGACTGACTGAGAGTGACACAAGACTGTATATAGATGGACAATGCTAACCCGCTAGCTGCCACTGTTACGACGTGAAGCTAGCGTAGACCAGAGCAGACTCCGGCCCATTTTCTCAAGTGAGTTCAGTTTTAACCTGAAGATTTGAGGTAATGGGAGGAATCTGCTCTGCTCCTGCTGCGTCTGATAAAACACTGCAGCCACAGCGGCCCTTTCTGGACCGGTTTGGACACCCCTGGCGTAGACGGAACAAATTCCCATATAAGGAAATTGGCTCCAGCTAGTTTCTATTCATAACGGCAAATTTTTCCACATTCGGCACTATGTTGATGTTAGCACTTATCAAGACGGTCGCTAAGGCAAGCTGGAGTTTCCCCTGTGTATGAAGGAATCGTATTGCTCAATCCTCATATATCACATATCACAGCTGAACTACAGATTTAAGGCAAAAATGGTGACTGAGACACAAACGGTTACTGAGCTAGAGGAGTTTAGCCTTCCCAGTTGGGCTTCATTGAGTTATTATGTTAGCGTTGAGCTAGCGGGTTAGTATTGTCCAACCTACAGTATATACAGTCTATGGCATATTCGGTATTTCCCAGTGTTTGTGTTCCCCTAATGAAGCATATTTATGTCTCTCATTGTACCGGTGCCTTGTGCTGACCTGTGTACTGCCCCTTGTGGAGGCCGTTGTCGGTGTAGTAAGAGTCCAGTTGCATAGATTGTGCCCTCTGGTAGTTGGAACTGTGTCTCCTGATCCCGAGCATCGCAGGAGAAGACGTGGCACTGCCCCCTGGTCCACAACAACAAATGGAGATACAATTAAACACTGCAGCAAGTGACATTTCAGTTTAGACCAGACAGAGAGAGAGAGACCAGAGAGAGGGAGGCCTGTGAGAGAGACCAAAGAGAGAGAGAGAAGCCAGAGAGAGACCAAAGAGAGAGAGGCCTGTGAGAGAGACCAGAGAGAGACCAGAGAGAGACCAAAGAGAGAGACCAAAGAGAGAGACCACAGAGAGAAGCCAGAGAGAGACCAAAGAGAGAGAGGCCTGTGAGAGAGACCACACAGAGAAGCCAGAGAGAGACCAGAGAGAGACCAAAGAGAGAGACCACAGAGAGATAGGCCAGAGAGAATTCAGAGAGAGGCCAGCAAGAGACCAGAGAGAGTCCAAAAAGAGGCCAGAGAGAAGAAGGAGCGACCAGATCGAGATAAATAAATGAGGAGCAGTTTCGAAATTACGTTTTGGTTTTTACACAGTAAGAATTAGGATTTTCTTGGAACTTCCCGTTTCTCTCAGATCAAAACTCTGGATCTTATTTCACAATCACTTTTCGAAACCGAGAGCCGTTTTTTTAGACGTCAGGCTCTTGTGGTCCTGTGTCTCCTCACCTGATTGGACCACAGGGGGGATGTGCATGGGGCTGGTGGGCAGGGTGGGCTGGGAGCGGTACCGATCCCGCTCCAGGGTCGAGATGGGCGTGACGAAGTGAGTGTAGTTCCATCCGTCCTGCACACACGCACAGAGAGAGAGAGACACACACGCACAGAGAGAGAGACACACACACGCACAGAGAGAGAGAGACACACACGCACAGAGAGAGAGAAACACACACGCACAGAGAGAGAGAGACACACACACGCACAGAGAGAGAGAGACACACACGCACAGAGAGAGAGAAACACACACGCACAGAGAGAGAGAGACACACACGCACAGAGAGAGAGAGACACACACGCACAGAGAGAGACACACACACGCACAGAGAGAGACACACACGCACAGAGAGAGACACACACGCACAGAGAGAGATACACGCACAGAGAGAGAGAGACACACACACACGCACAGAGAGAGACACACACACACAGAGGCACAGAGACACACACACACACACAAAGGCACAGAGAGAGAGACACACACACACACGCACAGAGAGAGACACACGCACAGAGAGAGACACACGCACAGAGAGAGACACACACACGCACAGAGAGAGACACACACACAGACGCAGAGAGAGAGACACATGCACAGAGAGACACACACACACACGCACAGAGAGGGAGACACACGCACAGAGAGAGAGAGACACACACACGCACAGAGAGAGACACACACACACACAGAGAGAGAGACACACACACAGAGAGAGACACACGCACAGAAAGACACACACACACACACCAGTCTCAGAAAAGTTTCCTTACCAAATTATTCCTATTTTAAATTACTGCCTTAACCTTGAACAGTGCAGACACACACACACATACACACACACATGCACACACACATGCACACACACACGGCTCACCTGTTTGTAAAGGCCTCGCAGCTCCCTGTACTGCCACAGCGTGTTGAGAACCTGAGCCGCCGCCTTCACCACCTTCATGGAGTATCTGACCACACACAGTTTTACATTTCAGATCAACTTATTTATTTGTGTAGCAGTGGTTCTCCAGTGATGCTACCTGTCATACCCCCTGATGTCAGACAGTCGGCGACCATCAAGAGTGGACTTTTATTTTTATTGTTTTTTTCTACCGGAGATGTTGCTGCAGTACAGTGTTCATGGTTTTGCACTGGTCCAGACCGGAGCAGAGAGGATTCATGGTCCGAACCAAGTAGATCAGGTGAAAATTCACTGGAGGAATGCTAACTTTTTGAAAAATGCTAACAAAGCATTTAGCATTTTACTTTGGACTAGAGCAGAGAAAATGGTCCGAACCATGCGGCAACTCCATCTTGTGACCTGTCCTGCTCCACCCAGAGGCTACTCTACCTCTGCTGCTGTGACCTAAAGGGCTTTTGCTGATTATTACTATTGTTAGCTTTTTGAAATTATCTATCTATCATTTATCCATTGTGAGATTAATAAAGTCTATCTAATCTTGTATTTGTGTGTTTTGATGTTATTCTTCTGACTGTTTGAACTGACCCTTTCCCGCGGCCCTTGCTGATGTCCACCAGCCGTTCGATGCCGCCGCAGTCGGCCAGGGCCTTGGCGTTGTCCACGTTGCGGCTGGTGACCTCGTGCAGCGTGCAGCAGACCGAGGCCAGCGTGTCATCACAGAGCGCCGAGGGGGAGGAGCCTGGCAGGCGGTTAACCAGGTCCCTCATGGCGTACTTACCTGAGGGAGACAAGGTGCAGCTTTGAGAAGGACGGTAAGATTTTCCACAAGATTTTCATTTGAGAGGATCAATGGGCTGAATTCATGTGACATCACAACGTTCCAAAAAGTTGGGTTTCTCTCTGGTCTCTCTCTCTGGTCTCTCTCTGGTCTCTCTCTGGTCTCTCTCTGGTCTCTCTCTGGTCTCTCGCTGGTCTCTCGCTGGTCTCTCGCTGGTCTCTCGCTGGTCTCTCGCTGGTCTCTCGCTGGTCTCTCGCTGGTCTCTCGCTGGTCTCTCGCTGGTCTCTCGCTGGTCTCTCGCTGGTCTCTCGCTGGTCTCTCGCTGGTCTCCCTCTCTCTGGTCTCCCTCTCTGCTGTCTCTCCCTGATCTCTCTCTGGTCTCTCTCTGGTCTCTCTCTGGTCTCTCTCTGGTCTCTCTCTGGTCTCTCTCTGGTCTCTCTCTGGTCTCTCTCTGGTCTCTCTCTGGTCTCTCTCTGGTCTCTCTCTGGTCTCTCTCTGGTCTCTCTCTGGTCTCTCTCTGGTCTCTCTCTGGTCTCTCTCTGGTCTCTCTCTGGTCTCTCTCTGGTCTCTCCCTGGTCTCTCTCTGGTCTCTCTCTTTGGTCTCTCTCTGGTCTCTCGCTGGTCTCTCGCTGGTCTCTCGCTGGTCTCTCGCTGGTCTCTCGCTGGTCTCTCGCTGGTCTCTCTGGTCTACTCTCTCTCTGGTCTCCCTCTCTGCTGTCTCTCTCTGGTCTCTCTCTGGTCTCTCTCTGGTCTCTCTCTGGTCTCTCTCTGGTCTCTCTCTGGTCTCTCTCTGGTCTCTCTCTGGTCTCTCTCTCCCTGATCTCTCTCCCTGATCTTTTTCTGGTCTCTCCCTGGTCTCTCCCTGGTCTCGCCCTGGTCTCGCCCTGGTCTCGCCCTGGTCTCGCCCTGGTCTCGCCCTGGTCTCGTCCTGGTCTCGTCCTGGTCTCGTCCTGGTCTCGCCCTGGTCTCGCCCTGGTCTCGCCCTGGTCTCGCCCTGGTCTTGCCCTGGTCTCGCCCTGGTCTCGCCCTGGTCTCGCCCTGGTCCCTCTCTGGTCTCTCCCTGGTCTCTCTCTGGTCTCTCCCTGGTCTCTCCCTGGTCTCTCCCTGGTCTCTCACCGATCAGTTCCTTGTTGCGTGCGTCCAGAGCCATGTTGCGCAGAGCTGTGGCCACGGAGCCAACCACGCGATCGTGCTCCATCCGCAGCAGCTCCACCAGGATCGGCAGCCCCTTCTCCTTACGCACAGCTGCACGGATGTACGCTGAGAACTACACACACACACACACACACACAGAATCAGAGAGAGACATGCAGGACACACACATGCACAAACACAGGGACACAGAGATGCATACATACAGGACACACACACAGAGACATACACAGGCAAAGACTTAAGCCTAGTGTCTACTCGCGCTGTGCGGAGCTTACGGAGGTGACGTGACGTCACTTGCGCAACGCGTTGGTCACCGCAAGGCCCTTACGTTGCCTGCCGCGCACCGAAATTTTCTAACTACGTGAGGGTCGCCGCAAGGAAGCTCCGCTGTGATTGGTCCGTGTGTGTGTATTGGAAGGAAGAACGGAGCGGCTGCAGCAGGGACATGGACGAGGCACTTCGGAGGAGAGTGCTTCACGCTTCGAAGGAACCGAAGGAAAAGTAGTTTGGACTCATGGCAGAGCCTGATATACACGGAGACTGTGGACTAGAGTTGTGTTGCAAATCTAACATATATATAACTTATAAACTGTGCAGTCGTTTGTTTTGCACTGTTCCTGTCTTGTTTGAATCGTAGCTTATTGCGTCTGTTCCATTCCTCCTGAACTTATAAATTGTTCATGTTTGCCTCAGATGTTTACCACTTATTGTTTTGCTGTTTGTGCTGAATACAATTTAATAATAACTGTGTTTCCAACAAGAACTGTGTCTTTATTCACAACATCACAGTTAAATGAGTTAAGAAATAATGAGTCCATAGAACTATCACATAAACCTACCGTAGAAACACATGTAATGATCTCAAACAGCTCGGTTTGTTCATGTTTTTGTTCTGAAGAGGACAAAGTAGCAGCTAATGAGACCGCTTTGGTATCTCAAGCAACTCATATGAGATCGCCATCATGTGGTTGGTTGTGGGATTACAACATTATCCTCAAAACTCTGCAAGGAGTATAAATTCAATTGTGCTTGCGTAGGTCCACCGCAACCGCTAACGTAAGCAGCGCCGCGCAAGTATACACTAGGCTATACAGAACACACACACAGAAACAATCGCACACACATAGACACACACACAGAGACATACAGGACTCAAACCCAGAGACATACACAAACATAGAGACACACAGGACGCATGCACAGACACACACACACACACACAGAGAGAGAGACACAGACACACACATAGACAGAGAGACACACAGGACGCATGCACAGAGACCGACACAAACACACACACACACACTCACCTTCCAGTTCCCCGCAGACAGGTTTTGCAGGGCCCCCGCCGCCCCCTCCAGAGTGGCCGGGTTGGAGCTCTCAGCCAGCAGGTTCAGGTAGGGCTTCACCACCAGGGGGTGCCAGAGCAGCTCCGCCCCTCTCAGCGGCTGGGACAGACCGGGCAGAGGTCCCACTCCGTCACACTGCACACAGCACCTCAGAATCATCCGGAGTTTGGCTTTGTCAGTGTGGTAGTCCCTAAGCTCAGATATAGATAGGTTTTTAATCTTTTAGAGAGACAAGAGAGAAAGTAGAGGTTTGGACCAGTGAGGTTTCCAAGAGAGAGATCATTGAGACCAAAGAGACCAGAGAGAGAGACCAAAGAGAGACCAAAGAGAGAGACTAAGAGAGACCAGAGAGAGAGACCAGAGTGAGACGAGAGAGAGACAGACCAGATTGAGACAAGGGAGGGAGAGACCAGTGAGGATTCCAAGAGCGAGATTAGAGAGACAAAAGAGAGACCCGAGAGACAAGTGCGGATTTCAAGAGAGATCCGAGACACCAGAGAGAGACCAGAGAGAGACCAGAGAGAGACAATAGAAGGAGACAAGAGAGAGACTAGAGAGAAAGACCAGAGAGAGACCAGAGAGAGACCAGAGAGAAAGACCAGAGAGAGAGAGAGAGAGAGAGAGACCAGAGAGAGACCAGAGAGAGACCATGATTGTTGTTCCCCTGTTTTGTGTTTGAAAACATGGCGACTGCTGCTACCTTGTCGTCCGGCCAGCCCCCCCTCTGCCGGCCCCTCCTCCGCCGGCCCCAGCACAGGTAGTCCAGCTCTCGCACCGGGGAGAAGCCCAGGAGGGTGTCCAGCTCGGGGCTCCCCATGAGGCGCGACGAGGGCATCTCCATCTCCAGGCGGTACGACAGGTTCCGGAGAGTGCACACGCTGTTCTCCACGATCTGAGAAGAGGACGATAAAGACATATACAACTACTGAGTATATGTGTAGTGTGTGTGTGTAGTGTGTCTATGTAGGAGTATACATGTAGTATTTTTGTGTAGTATGTTTGTCTAGTAGTATAAGTGTAGTACGTATGTTTGTCTAGTAGTATACATGTAGTATTTTTGTGTAGTTTTATATGCGTAGTATTTTTGCGTAGCAGTAGTATACGTGTAGTGTGTCTATGTAGTGTAGTATGTTTGAGTAGTAGTATACGTGTAGTATGTTTGCATAGTATGTGTATGAAGGAGTATTTAAATAGTATGTTTGTGTAGTATGTGTATGTAGGAGTATATTAGTAGTATGTGTGTATAGTATGTGTATGCAGGAGTATATTAGTAGTATGTTTGTATAGTATGTGTATGCAGGAGTATATTAGTAGTATGTTTGTATAGTATGTGTGTACCTTGCTGTCGTAGTCTGTGGTGCTGCTGCAGGCCCTCAGCACCTGCAGCAGAGAGTCCACCAGCCCTTCGCAACTGCGCAGCTGACTCCTGGCCTCCTCCCCAGCGGAGCTCAGGTTCCTGCATGTACACAAACACATATACACGTACATTAATATATATATATATATATATATAGATACACATGCATGTACATACAGTATATACATATACAGCCAGCACACAGAGAGCTGCAGTACACACACTGTCCACACGAGGGACCCCATCCTGTCCACATAAAACACCAGTGGACCTTCTCCAATCAGAGTCTGCCCACCTCTTCCTGCACATGTTCTGGGGAGGTTTTGATCGCTGGAGGTTCTGATCTCTGGAGGTTCTAACCTTTGGAGTTTATGCTCTTTGGAGGTTCTGCTCTCTGGAGGTTCTGCTCTCTGGAGGTTCTGATTGTGTGTTTCAGGCTGTCCTGTATCTCACTGTTTGTTTATGAAGAGTTGTTGACATCACAGATCAGCTGTCTCTGCCTCACACCCCCACAAACTGATGTTCTGTTCTGTTCTCACTCTACGTCTCAGCTGCACTTGTCTGTGTCTGTCTTTGTGTGTCTGTCTGTTTGTGTCTGTGTGTGTTTGTGTGCATGTGGTGTGTGTGTGTATGTGTCTGTGTGTCTGTCTGTGTCTGTCTGTCTCTGTGTCTCCGTGTGTGTCTGTCTGCTTGTGTGTGTCTGCGCGTCTGTGTCTGTCTTTGTGTGTCTGTCTGTCTGTGTCTGTGTGTCTGTGTGTGTTTGTGTGCATGTGGTGTGTGTGTGTGTGTGTATGTGTCTGTGTGTCTGTCTGTCTGTCTGTGTGTGTCTGTCTCTGTGTCTCCGTGTGTGTCTGTCTATGTGTGTGTGTGTGTGTGTGTGTGTGTGTGTGTCCGACCTCAGGCAGCCCGTGGTGTTGCGTAGCAGGAGGGAGGACTGGAAGCGGCTCCTCTGCTGCGTGTCCCGGTGGCTCGTGCTGCTCCAGCCCGAGTGAGGGATGACCACGGTGTTGGTCAGAGTGGACAGAGCGTCTCTGATGATGGTCATCTTCACCGCGTCACAGGACGACAGGTTCCAAAGGACACCTGGAGAACGGGACACAACAAGCCTGGTGATCTGTGTGTGTCTGTCTCAGAGTGTGTGTGTGTGTTTGTGTAACTGTGGGCGTGTCTGTCTGTGTCTCTGATCATGAGTGCGTGCGTCTGTGTCTCTATGTGTGTGTATGTGCATGTCTCTGTGTGTCTGTCTGTGTGTGTGCGCTTGTCTCTATGTGTGTCGAGCTCTGTGTCGATCTATGTGTGTGTGTGTATGTATCTATGTCTCTGTGAATGTTTGTAGGTGCATGTCTCTTTGTGTGTCTGTGTGCATCTGTGCATGTCTGTGTGTCGATCTGTGAGTGTGTTTCTGTCTTTGTGTATGTGCATATCTCTGTGTGTGTCTCTGCGCATGTCTCTGTGTGTGTCTCTGTATGTGTGTCTCTGCGCGTGTCTCTGTGTGTGTCTCTGCACGTGTCTCTGCGTGTGTTTCTGCGCGTGTCTCTGTGCGTGTCTCTGCGCGTGTCTCTGTATGTGTCTCTGCCCATGTCTCTGTGTGTGTGTCTCTGTGTGTGTCTCAGTGTGTTACCTGTGACCAGCTCCCGGACCTCGTTGTCGGTGGTCTTCTTCAGCAGTCGGAGCAGAGCTGGGACCCCGCCACAGTTCCTCAAGGCCACCTTGTTGTTGTCTGTGGCCTTCCCGTAGACCAGGTTCCTGAGGGCCCCGCAGGCGCTCTTCTGAACTTCCGACACCTTGTGGTCCAGCAGGTCGACCAGGTGCTGGATTCCCCCCAAGTGACAAACCTGGCAACGCAGTCATGATTATTACACTTTGTGTTCTAAAGACAGGGTGGGTCTTGATCTAGCAGACGGTTGTAAAAGGCTGCCGTAGTACTGTATTATACTGGATTTTACTCTCTGGTCTCTCTCTCTGGTCTCTCTCTCTGGTCTCTCTCTCTGGTCTCTCTCTCTGGTCTCTCTCTCTGGTCTCTCTCTCTGGTCTCTCTCTCTGGTCTCTCTCTCTGGTCTCTCTCTCTGGTCTCTCTCTCTGGTCGCTCTCTTTGGTCTCTCTCTCTGGTCTTTCACCCTGGTCTCAAAAACTCTGTGATACCAAAAAGATCATTGGCTTTTTCACGTCGCACCATTAAACAGTGGAACCAGCTTACGGACAGTCTGAAATTGTATGTAGAACATTTTGCTATTAATTTGACAATGCACATTTTATATAGTCAATCTTATCAACATCAATGAACATTAATAACAACATTATTTTAGCCATGTCATTGTAGGAAAACATGAAATGTGTATATGATATTGTTATTGGTATTTTTGCTATTTTATATTTGTTATGTGTGTGTGTGTTCACCAGGGACTACAGATGGAAAGCAGCTGCAGCTAAATCTGGTGCAAACCATCTCTTCTTTTGTAAAGACTAATGGTTCTTGTACATTGTCCCTGTTTCATAAACAATAAATTAAACTAAACTAAACTCTGGTTGTTTTCTCTATTGTTTGTCTCTCTGGTCTCTCTCTCTGGTCTCTCACTGGTTTCCCTCTCTCTGGTCTCTCTCTCTCTGGTCGCTCTCTCTGGTCGCTCTCTCTCTGGTCTCTCTCTCTGGTCTCTCTCTCTGGTCTCTCTCTCTGGTCTCTCTCTTTGGTCTCTCTCTCTGGTCTCTCTCTCTGGTCTCTCTCTCTGGTCTCTCACTGGTTTCTCTCTCTCTGGTCTCTCTCTTTGGTCTCTCTCTTTGGTCTCTCTCTCTGGTCTCTCTCTCTGGTCTCTCTCTCTGGTCTCTCTCTCTGGTCTCTCACTGGTTTCCCTCTCTCTGGTCTCTGGTCTCTCTCTGGTCGCTCTCTCTGGTCGCTCTCTCTCTGGTCTCTCTCGCTGGTCTCTCTCTTTGGTCTCTCTCTTTGGTCTCTCTCTGGTCGCTCTCTCTGGTCTTGCTCTGGTCTCTCTCTCTGGTCTCTCTCTCAAGGTCTCTCTTAAGGTCTCTCTCTCAAGGTCTCTCTCTCAAGGTCTCTCTCTCTGGTCTCTCTCTAGTTTCCGTCTCTCTGGTCTCTCTTTCTGGTCTTACTCCCTGGACTCTCTCTGGTCCCTCTCTCAGCTCTGACTTTGTCTGTTGGAATAAACTACACATGTTATTTCCAGAACACAAAAGCCACATACCCCAGCTTTAACAGAGCACACACTGTTGGCTCACCTCCATCTTGATGCGGTTGTCTCCGTAGCACAGGTGCTGGAGGTAGGCGGCGGCGTTGGCCTGGACCGAGGGGAAGTGGTGCTGCAGCATGTGGATGACCTCGGGCAACTCTGGGTCTCTCCACGCCAGCTCCCTGCCAGGGGAAGACAGAGCCGGTTTTGGTCTCGCTCTGTTCATTTGGAGCTCATGATTCCAAATAAACCGGGACCAGAGAGAGAACAGAGAGAGAGCACGGAGAGTGCAGAGATCAAAGAGAGACAAGAGAAAGTCAAGAGAGAGTCCAGAGAGAGACCAGAGAGTCCAGCGAGAGACCAGAGAGGGACCAGAGAGAGACCAGAGAAAGAGCAGGGAGAGAGCAGGAAGAGAGCAGGGAGAGAGCAGAAAGAGTCCAGAGAGAGACCCAGATATAGAGGCTGTGTATGGGTCCATGTAATGCTCTGAAAGACATGGGCCTCAGCCAGAGCGGGACGTCCAAACACTTCCCTGGGTCACCTTGGGTCCTTGTGGATGCTTTCGATGCTGGGGGTGCGGGTGGCCCCTCGGTCTAGCCCTGACAGTCTCTGTGAGAATGGCTCTCGGAACGAGTCCATGTAGACCCCAGTGGAGCTCAGGCCGTAGCTGCTACCCCGGTATGGCAGGGTCCCGCTGTGAGGGAGGGTCCCAGCATGGCTGCTGGTCCTGGGGAGGGTCTCCAGGCCTGAGGGCACAAGACAAGAACAGGTCTAAAACGTGTCTTAGTGACATCCCATTCAGACGGAGCAGTACCTGTGGTGGTCCTGTAGAGGGAGCCCTGTGGGTCGTGGCTCGGGCTGTGGTACAGGGGGCTCTGGAAGGCTCTCTCGTCAAACACAGGGGTCATGGGACAGTCTGGAGACAGGGCGGCCCTCAGCTCAGGGTCATGAGGAACCGTGTGGCCCCCATAAGAGCTGTGGAGACCTGCAAACAGGAGGAGGGGTCGGAGGTCATGGTGAGGCCCCTGGAGTCAGGAGTGTGATGTGCTACAGACCGATGAGGCTGTCAGGCCGGGGCAGGGCGTGGTGCTGGTACACCCCGTACGGGTCGGCTCCGTACGCCAAGGCTTGGCTCTGTCGGGGCAGCGTGGACGTGTAGTGCTGAGGTACTGCTGTCATCCCAGAGCGCAGAGGAGAGCCCAGCCTGCCCTCCACCAAGGATAGAGTGGAGCCCAGCCGGGCCCCTGGGCCTAGGATGGGGTCTCCAGGAGACGGGGGAGAGGGGCATGAGGGGGGCATGGTGGTCCCCGGGAACATGGCCGACAGGGGTTTAGGCTCAGACAGGATGGGCGAGTTATAGGTGCTGCCCTGGGACGTGCGCAGAGACACTCGGGACGGGGACACAGGACCACAACCAGGGGACTGGCCCCTGGAGGGGACAGAGGACATCCTCCTGAGGATACGACCGGAGCCCTGGGAGAAGGAGCACAGGGGAGTGTGAGTGACAGATGTGTAAGGAGGCAGGCATTCTCTTTTCTCTCTGTTCATTCTTTTGCTCAATAGAATAAGTAAACATCCTTTTCTGTTATTATTATTCATTGGTTCCTACACTGAGCATGTGACCACAGCTGCCCTGGGGCAGACTGCACCATAAGACCCTCCATTACAATGCACAGTTCATACACAGCAGCGTTGATGATGTGTCTTGCTTAAAGGTACAATAACAGTTAGCATCAGGTTCTCTCCACAGACTCACCTGTCCAGAGGCCTGGCCCTCAGCACGGGGGCCCTCAGCACGGGAGCCTTCAGCACGGGGGCTCCTGGACACAGAGCGCACCCCTGTCTGGCTGTAGTAACTGTCCTGGTAACCACTGTCTGAGTACGAGGTCATGTGGGCTGAGTGTCCCCCGGAACCTGAGGACAAAGGGACAGGGAGGACACAGGGACAGAGGGACATAGGTACAGGGAGGACAGAGGGACAGGGAGGACACATAGGTCAGTCTTCGTCTAACACTTTACAGATGTTCTGTGGGACTGACCATCACTGTCGGGCAGTGAGCCTCTCTCTGGATCAGGCAGAAACAGCACCTCCTCTGGTTCCTCTGCTGTGGGGCTCCTGGGGGCCTCCATAGAGCTCTGGGACTGGCCTCCTGTACAACAGTGCATTTGAAAAACATTTTTTTTCTGTAAATCTAACTGAATAGAGACTGGGAGAGATTATGAAGGTCACCTGCTGTTCTCCAGGCAAACGACTTCTCTGAGGAGCTGCAGGAGGACAACAGACAGACAAGTTAGGACAGGGCACCTCCTTAAGGGACACCTACTCATGGGACACCTCCTCTTGTCCCTAACCCTAACCCTAGGAACTGCTAACACAAGTTACCTTTCTAATCACACATGTCTGATACATTAGAAGCCCTACCTGCTGCTGTCTGCGGCGGGCGACTCAGCTCCCAGCATGCACCTCTCCAGCTGACTGGCCACCATCTGCCTCTCCTCCTCCAGCTCTCGGGTCAGGCGTTCAAACTGGAGCTCCTGGAGACGGAGGAGAACCACAGAACTGTTTAGACATGTATAAAACATGAGTGTCACAGAGAACAGTGGTCACGGTGAGAGCAGGTTGTATTTGGGTCAGTGCTGGACGGGTCACGAGCAAAGCCTGGTCAAATTCTCACCAAATAGGACCAATTTAATGACATTAAAATCAAAGAATTCACTCTGACAAACTCAACAAAGAACCATTGTCACAAGAGGCTTCATGATTGTTAGATTGACAGAGAATGTATACAAACGGACAATGCTAACCCCCTAGCTCAATGCTAACCTGCTAGCTTAAAAGTGATCAAGGTGAAGTTTGGCGTCAACTCTCTCTGGCCTATTCACTTACATGTAAAACTAAACTCTTCTCGCTCAGTCATCGTTTCTCCTGGTGTTTATATTGTGATATTGTCTTTGAAAATCCATATACATAGTTCCCACAGACCAATGAATGTCACATGACCTCCTCGGAGACGCCATCTTTGATGGCACGCTGCTGTGTTTGTGCATTCCATTAAACAGAAGAATGAGAATAAATGTAGATATTCAAACGCAAATTGGAAAAAAAGGGCAACTTTTGAGCAAATAATTGTATATTAATACAATGGCACCACAGTTTAACGTGCTACGGACATGTTTTACATATTTGATCAAATTATGCAGACAAGTTAGTACTGAGTAAATTACGTCTGTCAACACATTATAAGATACGATACAAAAGCTTAGTCTTCTCACATTCATGAAGTCTAATGATGGGTATACTGTAAAATCCAAGTTTAACGGAACCTCCGGCACGATTTGAACATCCATTGACCCAGCAGGAGATGACCATTTTCAACTTTATCACGACATTAACACGTTTCAGCTTCTTTTTCTATTGTTTTGCCCACAGAATGCCAACACAAATGTCGCCGGGTCGGCAAATCCCCGTATGTAGTGACGTCATGTGGGAACTATGTATATGAGCCAGATACGATTTGACCAATCAGATGGCTTCATTTGCGGGGGAGACTCCAGCTTTCCTTAAGGCAAGGCAAGTTTATTTATATAGCACAATTCATACACAAGGCAATTCAAAGTGCTGAACAAAACAAGAAAGCATTAAAATCATAAATAATCACAGAACATTAAAAAGAAAGATAAAAATATAAAATCCCTCAGTTGTATGCACAGCTAAACAGAACTGACTTTAACCTGGTTTTAAACATTGTCAGAGAGGAGGCCTGTCTCACATCTTCAGGAAGATTGTTCCAGATTTTAGCAGCATGAATCTGAAAAGCAGCCTCCCCATGTTTAGTTCTGACTCTGGGCACTAACAGGAGTCCAGTCCCTGTGCTCCTCAGAGTCCGGGCTGGTTCATATGGGACTAACATGTCACTAATATATTTTGGTGCGAGGCTATGGAGAGACTTGTAACAAGCAGAGCTGTTTTAAAGTCTATTCTCTGAGCCACAGGAAGCCAGTGCAGAGACCTGAGAACTGGACTAATGTGGTCGTACTTCCTGGTTCTAGTCAGGACTAATATGGTCGTACTTCCTGGTTCTACTCAGGACTCGAGCTGCTGCATTTTGAATGTACTGCAGCTGTTTTACAGCCTGTTTGGACAGACCTGTGAGCAGGCCATTGCAGTAGTCTAACCTAATGGAGACAAATGCATGGATAAGAATCTCCAGGTCTGCTTTAGACACTATGTTTTTGATCCTGGCAATGTTTTTTAGATGGTAAAAAGCTGCTGATGTTACTGATTTGATGTGGCTATTAAAAGTTAAGTCTGAGTCCAGTATTACCCCTAGATTTCTGACCTTGTTTGAAGGTTTAAGGGAGAGAGACTGTAGATGACAGATGACGCTCTCTCTTTGTTTCTGGGGACCAAAGACAATCATTTCAGTTTTGTCTGCGTTTAGCTGAAGGAAGTTGTTTTGCATCCACTCACTGATCTGTTGGATACAGTGAAGGAGTGAGTCCACTGGTCCATGTTCTCCTGCAGTCAGTGAGACATAGATCTGAGTGTCGTCTGCATAGTTATGATAGGACACTTTGTTTCTGCGTATTAACTGACCTAACGGCAGCATGTAGAGATTGAACAGAAGAGGTCCCAGGATCGACCCCTGTGGTACTCCACAGGTCAGGGCCATATGATCTGAGACACAGTTTCCAATCTCCACAAAGTACTTCCTGTCCTCAAGGAAAGACCTAAACCAACTTAGGGCGGTGCCAGCGACTCCAACCCAGTCCTCTAGTCTCTGTAAGAGGATCTCATGGTCGACAGTGTCAAAGGCAGCACTCAGATCTAACAAGATTAAGATTGAGACTTTGCCTGCGTCAGTGTTCAGCCGGATATCGTTTGTAACCTTAACGAGAGCAGTCACTTAGCAACCGTCTCAGCGACACATCTCCCTCTGTCACATCAAGAAGCTAATGCCACCAGAACAAATGCCCATATAAGGAAACCCGCTCCAGCTAGCTTACGTACAAATCGGCTTCTTCCGCATTAGGGCTGACCACTGACTAGGGTGATGTCACACTCTGTCAGTCCACTCCTGATATACGGACTATGGATGTCAATCTAATGCAATTTTTTTGGATCAGGGGGTTATAAAAGTGACAAAAGACAACAAAGTAATGAATGAGACTGAATGATATGTGATTTCTGCTTATTTTCATTTGTGAGACAATGTGATGTATTGTCATGTCCATAATTCAAAAGAAAGACAAAAAGATGGGAAGAAAGAAAGAAAACAAAAAGAAATACAAAAAGAAAAAAAATCATAAATAAAGACATAAATAAATACATACAGAATAGAGAAGAGCAGGTGGAATAGAACATGTATTTTCTGTTTGGTTATGGTGATAGAACCAGAGGGTTATTACACAAATGAGAGATGAGTCCAGTCCCCGAAAACAGGACTCTTATTTGTAAAAAAATTAAAATAAAAGTTCAGTTTCCCCAAATAAAAAGGAGGATGAAACGCAGAGACGTGCTTTTCTCTGAGGCTGCAGGGTTAGGAACAAAAACCGACACATTCCATTATGTGTTTGTGATTTCAAAGTCAGCGTCGTCTTGGAAACTGACGATAGTTTACTGCAGGTGTGTGAGCCTAAACCCAGGGCCCGGTGGTTGCAGGATTTCATTCCAACAGCAGGCCCCTGAAGGAACCTGAAGACCTGAGGATATCTCCCCAATATGTGACTTAAATAAAATGCATGTATGAAACAAAAACCTTTAAGAAAACAGCATATTGTCGTCTTCCAACCAGCACCAGTATGAGCGATGAGTACAACTGGTGATACTGGTGTGTGATGATGATAACTCAATGTTAGCATTATTTACAGATGACGTTACTAAATGTTGGAACGAAAACCTGCAGCCACTCGGCCCTTTAAGGACGGAGTTAAAGACCCCTGTTATAGAGGCTAATGTTGGAGCTAACTGGAGCAGAAAGAATATGTTCTTAGAGATGCTGAGGGTAGTCCTACTGTAGTCCTGATTTAGTCCTACTGTAGTCCTGATTTAGTCCTACTGTAGTCCTGATGTAGTCCTGATGTAGTCCTGATGTAGTCTGCTGTAGTCTGCTGTAGTCCTGCTGTAGTCTGCTGTAGTCCTGATTTAGTCCTACTGTAGTCCTGATGTAGTCCTGATGTAGTCCTGATGTAGTCCTGATGTAGTCTGCTGTAGTCTGCTATAGTCCTGCTGTAGTCCTGCTGTAGTCTGCAGTAGTCCTGCTGTAGTCTGCTGTAGTCTGCTATAGTCCTGCTGTAGTCCTGCTGTAGTCTGCAGTAGTCCTGCTGTAGTCTGCTGTAGTCCTGATTTAGTCCTACTGTAGTCCTGCTGTAGTCCTGCTGTAGTCCTGCTGTAGTCCTGCTGTAGTCCTGCTGTAGTCCTGCTGTAGTCCCGCTGTAGTCCTGCTGTAGTCTGCAGTAGTCCTGCTGTAGTCTGCTGTAGTCCTGATTTAGTCCTACTGTAGTCTGCTGTAGTCCTGCTGTAGTCCTGCTGTAGTCCCGCTGTAGTCCTGCTGTAGTCCTGCTGTAGTCCTGCTGTAGTCCTGCTGTAGTCCCGCTGTAGTCCTGCTGTAGTCCCGCTGTAGTCCTGCTGTAGTCCCGCTGTAGTCCTGCTGTAGTCTGCTGTAGTCCTGATTTAGTCCTACTGTAGTCTGCTGTAGTCCTGCTGTAGTCCTGCTGTAGTCCCGCTGTAGTCCTGCTGTAGTCCTGCTGTAGTCCTGCTGTAGTCCTGCTGTAGTCCTGCTGTAGTCCTACTGTAGGCCTGCTGTATATGAAGTGGGCCATCACAAGTCTCTGGACGTGAATATGTTGTCATGACTCATGATAATGTATTAATCATGTAATGTACTAATAACATGATAATGTAGTGTAGTCTTTATTTACCCCTGTCTCCAGATCTGTACCTGTGCTCCCAGATCTGTCCTGACACAGTCCTACAGTGGTCAGTACCTGTGCTCCCAGACCTGTCCTGACACAGTGCTACGGTGGTCAGTACCTGTGCTCCCAGACCTGTCCTGACACAGTCCTGCAATGGTCAGTACCTGTGCTCACAGACCTGTCCTGACACAGTCCTGCGGTGTTCAGTACCTGTGCTCACAGACCTGCGGTGGTTAGTACCTGCTCTTTGACCGATGCCAGCAGGTTGGTGGTGGTGGTCACGGTGGGCCCCACCCTCGCCTTCACGGGCCCCTCCCCCTCGGCGTCCCCCTCCTCCATGCGTCCCTGTGAGCGGGAAGGTCCGGAGCCTCTGACCCTGGACAGTGGACACAGGACGTGGACAGTTACATGAGGTGGACAATAGGGACTGGCCGCGCGCCAAGTTGCGTGCACGACAGTGGCCTGTCACATGATCCACATGATTCCGTGTCCGCGGCCTGTTTTCCATCTTTAATCCGCACAGTGAGCCTGCAGAGCGTGTGCATGAGCGCGTGCACAGCCTGTGATGTTCTGCAGGTGCACGGAGCTCGGTGCACAAACCTGGGCGGTCACTGTGGTCTTCTGCACGGACAGACTGCTCCGGTCACACGTCCTGAGCCGTGCACGGGGCACACACGGTACATGCACTTACCAGATGTTTGCAGATGTCGGCCTCACGCCGTCATGCCCCCGGGCTCGTGCTCTTGCGCCTACATCGTCCACGCCTCGCGGTTAAACACAAATATGTCGCGGGTGCTCCTCGTGCACTGTGCACGGTATGATTTATTCCCCGTCTGTCACTACGCGCGTGCACGTCTGCTCCTCGCGCTCAGCATCCGCCCAGCCAGTCAGCGAGCAGCGCCGTGACGTCACCATGCGGCTCTGGACGCGGTGGACCCTCTGGACCCAGTAATCGATAGTTGATCAGTGATCAATGACGCTCTAGCTCCAACGGACAGGGCGCGTGTTCCAGGAGCCCGGGACTCACGCACGAGCATGACGTGCGTGTGACGCGTCTGCTCACCGGCCTCTGAGAAATCCTGCTCAGCAACATGGACACACATAGAGACACACACACTTGCTGAGAAACACACATACACGGGGCCCACTGTGTTTACCTCAAACTAAAGTGATCATTTCTTAATATTAGGCCATATGAATAATTATGCTTGTCCTGCGGGATGAGGCTCCTCCCATATATATATATATATATATATATATAGATATATATAATTTATAAATATGTCACAGTTAAGAGTCGGACACCGGTCACATGCACATGTCTTTATTGAACACCAGCTGAACATCCTCTCACACTGTTAACACTGAACACAAGGCCCTCACACCTCTGGAGTGAACCTCCACCGCTCGTGCCTGAGGGTCAGAATGTCCAGTCAACACAAGAGGCATGAAGTGGGCAATTTAATCGGAAAAGCTCATTGTTGCATATTATTAAAGCAAATAAAACACACATTTCTTAAAATACACTGTTAAATAAAGTTAGAATGTTGGACTCAGTCTCAGCTCGTTCTGGACTCATTAACTTCATATCAGCACCATATACAGTAACACTGCTGTGGTCAGGGCTCAACGTCGACTTTGCCATTCCCAAAGTCCAATCTAAGAATCAAAGGTACCTTATCCTCCCAACAATATATTAAAAGGACTCTAATTAGCATGCTAAAGGCAGTGCACTATTGTCAGCATTATGCAAGAGCAAAACAGAATTACTGTAATGTATCAAATTTGTTTTTTCCACATTGGAGGCTTTATAAAGCAGTGTTTCTCAACAAGTGGACCATGGCACATCTGTAAGCCCATGGAAATGATCACAGTATTGTAGATTAGAACAACTCTTTGATTTCATACAGACAACACTTCGATGACTTCGGTAAAAGGCTGCAGTTTTAGCGGGTGTGTGACTGTCCGGTTGAGGAACACAACTCTAAACAATCACATAGTCTCCGTTTAAACTTTAATTCTTAAAATGGAGTTTAGGCAGGTACCCAAGCGTCAACGCCAAGCCCTGACATCCATTTGTTAGAGTCACCTCCAGAGGGTTAGGGAGAGCGCTCTGAGACCAGAGACAGGAATGGTTCTGAACACATCACTTGAGTCACAAACACTTTATGCACTCGGTCTTCATACAAGCAGGGCCCCCGCAGGAGCCCCCGCAGGAGCAGCCGCGCCGCTGGGGGAAGTCGCCACGGGGGAGTCGCTCAGACCGAGTGCACGACACCTATTCAGGAGCACGAAAAAACATGAAAATAAAACAGCCGTCGTTCCCACGTCGAAGCAGATAAATAGGAAGGAAGTATCGAGGCGTAAACTGAAGTCAAAGCCAACAGTCAGCAGATGGAGATGTGTGGGGGGCGGGGCTTTGTGTGCCCGCCAGAGAGGGGGCGGGGCTTACTCCAGATCATCCACGCCCACGTCGTCTGTGGCCACGGTGCTGGTCATCTCCGACGTCACACCTGGAACATGCAACACGCCACGGTCAGAGCACTGGTCACGAGAAACATTTGCAACCTCAGCTCTTTTTAAAGCTTAGCACAACATAAACTTTAAATACTACTTTCTGAGAAGGAGACCAGAAAGAGAGACTAGAAAGAGAGCGGGAGGAGACCAGAGAGAAAAATAGACAAGTAAGAGGAGAGACAAGAAAAAGAAAGAGGGACCAGAAAGAAATACACAAGAGAGACCAGAGAAAGAGAGAAAGAGACCAGAGAGAGAGAGAAACTAGAGACCAGAAAGAGAATCCTCTGAACTAATCACTGGTGTCTCAAATGGTTGTTTTGTGACGTTATAATGCGGTTATATGATGTTGTTGGAGTGTAGTGAAGGCACAGGAGGTGAAGCGTGTTAGTGAGGGAACAGTGTAATCCTGAATATCATGTGAGCCACGTGTTCTATCACATCATGACGGACCGTGTGATTCTCCGCTCACTTATGTTCAGTGTGAGAAAAAGCAACGGGGTTTGTTCATTCGATTACGGTTTTAAATTAACATTTTGTGACACCAATTCTATCAAAGGTTTGGTTCTCTCAGGAAAAAAAATGTGCTGAAACTTCAAAAACATGCATTTGTGTTTTTACTTAAAGGTTCCATATTAAGCATTTCAACTGTTCTATGCTTTTAAAACATGGGTGTCAAAGTCAAGGCCCGGGGGCCAGATCCGGTTTGCGAATGCATCGTCTCGGCCCGGGGGCCAGATCCGGTTTGCGAATGCATCGTCTCGGCCCCTGGGATGATATTTGATTTGTAATTGAACCAGCCGCACAAAGCCAAGAAAAAATTAGATTATTCATTTAATGTTCATGTGCTTTCTCTTTGAAGTTTGTTTTCACTTGAAATTACTGACTAAGCCATTAAAAAATATTGGATTATTAATTTAATCATTAAATACAATAAAGTACAATGTTTGGTTATGGTTCAACAGGTTTTATGCAATCATTTTAATAGGTTTTAATAAACATTGAACCAGTCCAGTGTTCGGCTTGAAGCAAATTTGGTTTTTTTTGGACCTGTTATGTGATTTGACTTTGATATCCCTGCTTCAAAACAAAATTAAAGTGCTTTTTGGCCTTCATACACATGCCCAAAGTAGTTTTTCTTTGATCCCCTCAAGCTGTAGTTAGAGAGCGAGCCTTCTCCTTCGACAGAGCTGGAGAAGCCTGGATAGGACTCAGCGGTGATTGACAGGGAGAGGAATTAAAACATGTACGTGCCTGTCCTGCGTTTACCACAGTCTGCTCGCGATACCATGAGCGGTTATTTTTTATACTGTTCCGACTAAAAGTGTTAATATCATTTGACTTAAAGATCACACGTTTTCGGATGTAAATCTGTGACGAAACCATTGGGTTTGTCCAAAGACGAAGCAATGCAGCTCGACTTTATTCACGCGGATCTGCCTCCAAAATACGCAAAGACTTTGTTCACGCGAGAGACACTTCACCGAAGACTGTTCCATAACTGCTGTTACCATTAAACTGCAGTGATTTGAAACTCGAGCTGAGATCTGTATAAGTATAAAGTATAAGTAAAAGGTGTATCCTCAGGTCTGATGTGCCGCCATGTTCGAACATGGCGGCACATCATCCACGAGAGGCTACGTCACTGAGTGGGAGGGAGGAGGCGGGCTGTGGTGTGGGCTACGTCGCTGTGCAGGTGAGCGGAGGCAGGCTCATAGGCACAGGAGAGACCCAGCCGTTTCAATTCCGGTGCCATCGCCTCTGTGCAAGAAATGGCTATAACTTCACAAGTTTTGAGTGTCGTATGGTGTATCAAGCAAATTATTACCACACATACGTGAAATAGAAATAGAGCGAAATGTGGGAGCTTCAAAGGACCTGTGCTTGACCGGTGGTACAGCGGTCAGAGTGCACCGGGTTAATGCCATGACACCGCTGCTTCTCTTATGCATATTACGGGCCTGCATACTGGGAGCATAACGTGTGTACAGTACAGGCTGGCCGCTGTGTGACATTAAGGTGAATGTGGTCGACAGTTGTTTACTAACTCAATAAAGAGATTGAAATGAATGGCATTAGGGCTTGGGGACAGAGAGTCTGTGGCAGCGCTCTGATAGGGGCCAATCAGATTTGCGTCGGAGACATGAGGGAGCGTGGCTGGAGCCGAGGGTGTGCTTAGACTCTGCCTCGACCTCACCCCATCAGCTGACTTGACTCCAGTTAAAAACACACATTACTGTACCAAACATGTTTTTTGGTTGATAGTAGCACCGTGCGTTTGGCGACCAGCACGACTTTTGAACATGTATTGTATTATATTATAATTTACTTTTGAATGCGCTGGAAACGGCAGCAAGTCCCAAGTAGCTCTGAAACAGTTGTTTTTGTGCTTAACAATTGTTATTCTTGCTTTTATTCTACCTGAGATGTTGCTGCAGTACAGTGTTCATGGTTTTACACTGGTCCAGACCAGAGCAGAGAGGATTCATGGTCCAAAACAAGCAGATTAGGTGAAAATCCACTGGAGGGATGCTAACTTTTTGAAAAATGCTAACAAACCATTTAGCATTTTATTTTGGACCAGAGCAGAGAAAATGGTCCGAACCAAGCTGCTCCACCTCTTCTGCGGTGACCTGAAACGCTGCTGCTTCTTTTTACTATTGTTAGCATTTTAGAATGATCTATTTGTTTTGTTTGTGTGGATGGATGTGTTTTTTTTCTGCTACTGGACACCAGCATTTCTCCTACAGGGATCAATACAGTATCTAAATCTTTGGTATGGGGCCATCCTCCAAATCTTCCTAAAGTGTTTGAAATCTAACGCCTGCATGTGATGAAGGGTTGGAGCATGTGATGAAGGGTTAATAATGTGTTGTATAAAAGCTGCAGTACTTGAAGTGTCGTCGTCCACAGGCTTCTTTCGCTCCACGTAACCATGACTCAGCAGTTTGGACATGCTGACGGGGAGAGCCTTCTTCTCATAGGACCTGGAGAGGGGACATGGGTCATCGTCAGAATGCGTCACCCGCAACGTCTAAAATGACTTACTTCACATTATTTAACAGATATGAGTAGTTTTGAGAGTCGTAGCGTTTAGCGGTCTCAAAAAAAAAAAAGAGCGGACCGGTGATCTGGTTCTAACTAAAGCCCGGTTTCCACTTGCCCTACCCTCATTTTTTACAATCTGGTGACGTCACACTTAGTCCACTCTAATGTACGCTCTGTGAGTCTAAGTTCTTGCTGAAGACGGTAGGCAAACACTGGGCGTTGACCCGGAGCGGTGGGTCAAACGGGAGCGGCAGAAGGAATCAGTGCTGTCCAAAAACAAACTTAAGGATTGTGGCAGATCCTGTACATCAGCGAACTTCTAATACCTACAGAAAACTGCTATTCAAATCCAATATTATATAGACGAGCCTGGAGGGTTTCTATTGAGTAAATGTCAGTGAGTAAGCCTCAATATGAAACCTCCAAGCAGAATGTGTCCCAGGGGATTGGTTCTCTCCTGTTTCATATTTACTGGTGCCATAAGGAGTGTGGTTTTACGTTTATACAGGGACTACACGGGTGAACTCGGATCCAAGTTGTAACCCGTTAAACAATATCTGGTTAAGAAAGGAAAGAAAACGTCAAAACTACTCAGATGTGATGAATATCTGTAATCCAAGTCATTTTGTCTTAGGCCTCACGTTCTCTTGTACTTGTGGGTTATGGACAGGGCCTCCATCTGCTGGGCCGCATCATCGGGAGACTCCTGGGAGACCGAGAGGAGAGAGAGGGGGGAGGGGGGAGAGACAGGAGAGAGAGAGAGAGACGTCAGGCGAGTTCGGACGGCCATTGCAGGAAAACATGGGGATGGATAAAACACAACTCATGACATAGAAAAGACAACAAAATTAGGTCGATGGCGTTTTCAGTCTGGTCAGTGAAAATGGAAGAGTCCTGGACAAAAATAAGAATAAATTGGGGGAAAAAAATGATCCAAAATAACTGAAATGAGGTGATGGGATTTGGCGCGTTGCAGTTCTGTTCACCTTCTGTTTACCAGAAAACCTATCAGACTCCTTCTCCCAGTGCACCTCACTATCGGTTCCGAAAGGAGCACTGAGGGTCTGCCTCCCTTTGGGCTCACTGCCAGGAGAGCTGCCATTGCTGCAAGCACAAAACCACTCAGTTCAACCAGAGCCGGTGCAGAAGGGGGCTCGCTCCTGTGGTGGAGGCGGGGGTGTCCTTATAGTCAGCGCGTTAGCACAGAGACACAAACAGAGACCCACTCACACAAAACCAGTTCAAAAAGGACCTGGTGCAGACACACACATGATTTACCTGTTGGAGTCATCGTTCCCAAAGAAGTTGCTGGGAGAGTAGGCCTTCCGCGGGGCATCATCAACGGCGTCGTGGCTCAGCAGGCCTGAAGGAACACAACAAACACACAATGAGGAGACAACATTGTCAACGCAAATTTCTACACAAACCAGCTTAATGAAGCCCAATAAGGAAGTGCTCAAGGTGAAGTTTGGCTCAAACTCTACCCACTCTTTGAATCACACTCAACAATTTTAGATCAATTCTGTGGTTTATCGCTCTCTGGGATCCTGGTGTTTATATTGTGATTTTGTCTTTGAAAATCCAGATATGACCAATCAGATGCCTTCATTCATTGGGGGAAACTCCAGCTAGCCTTAGCAACACGTCCATCCCTGTTAAAGCGCAAAGCTAATTCTGTGCATGGATAATTCCTAACATTTAAACTATGAGTCAAACATGCATGACTCACTCCAAATACATGTCTCACCTTTATGCCCGCCCCCTTTGGCCAGTTTGACGTAGTCCGAGTCGCTTTCAAAGATGCCCACCCGCCTGCCGCTGGTGCGCTCCGTGGGGGAGAGGTCCGGGGTCTGAGACAAACCGGGGATTTGGGAGCTGGGGCCGGTCATTCCACTGGACGCCATGCCAGGCTTTATGGCTGCAACGCACACAGGCAATCGCATAAACACACACAAGCTTGGGTAAGTGTGTCAACTTCCCCCACGGGAACAGGCATCAAAAGCAGTGCTGTGAAATGGCAGATGGGATACAGGGCAGTTCGTATTAACATTAAAATCAATGTAGAATTCTCGTTGTTTAACCAATCGATTCTGGTGGTGTGGAAGGAGAGTATTGCTCAATTTGTAATACAGTGGAAAAGCAGGACTGAGAACTGCAGGAAGACCAGAGAGAGAAAGAGACCGGAACCATCTGCGGAGTCTAAATAAAGACCATGTTATACTAGCGGTGAAGTTGTAAATTATGTTGTTGGGGTAGACACATGGTGGATGATAAACAAAACATGAACCGTGTTACAGCGAGGGACCAGTGTACTACAATCAAAACGAAAAAGTGAATTATGAAGCCAAATTTGTAGCACACTCAAACCAATTTGCAAACTCAAAATCCTTGTGTTTCCAATCTGGTGGTTTGTCACATCTGCCACAGTACCATAAGTGTTTGATAACTCTCAAAAATGCAGTGGTCTCTGTCAACGTGACCAGTCTCGCACACTCACCTCCAGGTTTGACGCGTCTGTGGTTAGGGGCAGCAGTACTCATCTTCAGACTCTAAGAAGAAGAAAAACTCGGGTCAGGCTGAAGAACCAGAAGAATTTAATCAAATATATAAAAAGCGGAGATAGTTTGCATAGAATAATCTGTTCTTCTCAATTAGGAACCAACAAAGAATTCCCCTGGATGAGCTGAATCAATAGTGTGGAGAGGAGAGAGAAGCCTGCACATCTCTGGTCAGACTGCTGACCCTGCAATCGATAAGGTCGAAGAGAAAGAAAATACCTATAATAAAACCTATAATAAAATAAAACTGGTTCAAGCTCGAGCTGTAAACATTAGGTCCTTTAGTTTGGTTCATATTCGAAGACAGATTGTATTTTATTTCAAATTCAACACTTTGTATGTGGAAAAAAGTGATGACAGGAAAGGGGTAGAAGCAGAGGTTCTGCAGGTCATTCCTCCCTGCAGCTGTCACTATACAAGAATAGCTGAGCCTGTACATGGCATTCTTTTGTACTAGAAACTACTGATAGTAAGTAGTACCACATTCATGTCGCGCTAGAGGGCCAAATTACAGCTCCTCACATCTGTTCCTTATTCTGTGTGCTCATCCTCCTGCTGCCCATTTCTTAACAATGTTAATTATAATATTTCAGATTTAATAGCTAAATCATTGTTCCCCCCCTCAAATATAAGTACAGTCTCTGTCCTCAAATTCAGAATCCACAAGCCCAGTGGGGCTTGTGTTTATTCCTTTCACACCAATTTCAAATGAAAGTCGTGTTTGTCATCGTAGACACAGAGCCCTTCACTATATTCCAAAGTCAAAGTATCAACAACATGATGACACTTTGAGGCGGAGGCGTCGTTTTGATTACTCGTATTCAAACCTTAGGAATGCCCAAAAATAACAGGTTTTAGTTTCAGATTTATGATAATACTTTATACTTACTTTACTTTTAATAAGAGCTAAAACTGGTGACTATAACTGAAATACAGCAAAAACAGTTGGTAATTAGCACTCGCTCTTCTGGTGGAAAACAAGCTGAACCAGGACCAGAACCTTGAAAAGGAGATTTATCTGCCAGAGACTGCTAGTTTAACGTAGAACTCCTCCGGTTTTCATGGGAATAAGGAAATAGAAATAAACAAAAATCGTCACACAGCTGTGAAGACCACGGAGATACACACGCTGAGGATTTCTCAAACTGAGTCCTAGTGAAGATGATTTAGAAAAGGGAGTGACTCTCTGCTGTCGCCACTGGAGCATCTCCTCCCGCGGTCCGTGAGCTGCACATCTGCACATATATACGTGTAGACACAGAATACAGTCCATCTATCCAGATCACAGCTTCTTTATCTGCAGAAACTGTGAAATATAACGAGCAGCATCTTTCATTGGACTGCGTTTTTCACCCTCCGCTAACAAAGCAGCCCTGTTAAAGGATGTAGCCACCGAGCTAGCGCCACTCACAGGCTGCAAAAGACACACAAGAGCAATAATGTGCGGGATCCTGTATAATGCGTGTTCCTGTGTTGGGGTTTCTGAACGTACGTACTCACAGAGTGTTTTTGAGGCTGTAAACAGGCAGGTCGTGCAGAGATGTGCGGTTTGCTCTTCTCATTCAGCTGGGCGGACCTCACTCACTTCCGCTTAGCACCTGCTGTTCACTTCCGCTAGCACTTGTTGTTCTTTTCCGCTAGCCAACGTCAAAAATAAAACACCAGTTCAATCTATATACAACTACAAGTGTCGATATTGGCAGTAAATATGTAAGGATTTGGCACTAAATAGATCTGCAGTGTCTGCGTTTTTTTTCTTATGGCACTTCATTTGGCAGTTGGATTTCTAAGACCAAAGCCCCGTTTCCATCAGCCCCACACCAGGTTCTATCTCGGCTGAGGTGGGACTACAGCGCTAATCGTTTTGTTTTTTTGTATTTTTTGTACATAAGTTTGAAAACATAAAATACTTCTCCTACTTCTAAGTCTTTTCATAATCAGCTCTACATTGTCTTGTTTTGTTGCATTTAATTTTGAATCAATTTTGAATCAACACAATATTCAGTGTTTATTTATTTATTTACAAACATACAGTCCATATTGTCACATACAAAGACAAAAGTATTATCTAGATGCATTACTACATAATACAATGTATAATACCATGATTTAGTTAGTGTCATAGCATACTTTTAAAATAAAATATATTTAAAAACATATTGTATTGGAAATATTGCATGCATAAAAAACAGATAAACCAAAGCCTGCAGGCTGAAGTTAAAGGAGACATGTGTTAGTATGTATGTAGAGGTCCACCCCCTTACAGGCCCCGCCCCCTCACATGTCCCGCCCACAGTCAGGGCACATGATGTCGTCTTTACAGGTGAGGAAGCCCCGCCCCACCAGGGACACGCTGCACTTCCTGCAGTTGAAACAGTCGTTGTGCCACTGCCGCTGCTCGAAGGAGATGTATTTACTGCCCCCCAGACCTGAGGCACATACAGGAGCACAGGGCTCAGAATGAGGCACAGAGAGGAGCACAGGGCTCAGAATGAGGCACAGAGAGGAGCACAGGGCTCAGGGTGAGGCACATATAGGAGCACACACAGGACTCACCGCTGATGGGGGTGGTGCAGTAGGCACACTTCTTGGCAAACAGGTTGCAGAAACAGTCCAGACAGTAGGCAAAGTCGTCCCGGGACGTGAAGCGCTGCCCGGCCAGCTGCTGCTTACAGCCAATGCACACAAAGCACTCTTTGTGCCAGGGCTGGTCCCGGTAGTTCACTCCTCCTGTGGTGATGGGCTGTGGAGCAGAGCAGAGTGAGGTGCATGCTGGAATAGGACTTGGTGAAGTACATGCTGGGACACTACCTTCTTGCAGTGCACGCACTGCAGAGCAAACTGCTTCTCGTAGCAGGGCAGGCAGTAGTTGTGTGTGTCCTTCTGGACAAAGCTTCTGGTGCCGATCGGCTGCTGACAGCGGTTACAGCAGAAGCAGGCCTCGTGCCAGCTGTTGCCTTTGTGCTCCATCTTTTTGGTTCCTGTCGAAGAGAGGGTCAGCGCCCCGCGGCAGCAGGAGTATATCTGAAAGAGGGGATTGGTTCATACCAGGCATGATGGTCTTGAGGCAGTCGTGGCACTTGGCAGAGAACTCGTTACTGTAGCAGTCGGTGCACATTAGCTCCTCGTCTTTGCAGGCGAAGGGTTTCTCCACCAGAGAGCGGCTGCACTTACTGCAGAGGAAGCAGTCGCTGTGCCAGTGCCGATCTTTATAGGACAGGTCCTGCAACACACCCCAGATCAGGAGAGGCAGGAAACCAAGTCAGACTCAGGTCAGAGTCAGGCTCAGCAGAAAGGCAGGACTCACCCTGGAAGTGCAGCCGATCAGCTTCTGACAGACCTCACAGGTGTTGGAGAAGAGCCCCTCGTAACACTTGGTGCAGAAAGGCTTGTCCTCCCTCAGGATGTACTTGAGACCAAACAGGCTCTCCTTACACTCCACACAGTCGTACTGTTCAGCCATGTTGTCCTGCAACACACAGAGAATACATACAGTCATAACAATAATAATAATGATAATATGTATTAGTAAGGGGCGACAGTAGCTCAGTTGGTAGAGCATTGGCCTTAAGCCCAGAAGGTTGTGGGTTCAATTCCCACCTCTGCACCTTCTCCACCGACTCCCACTGATGACTGCTGTCGTTGTGTCCTTGGGCAAGACACTTAACCCCACTTTGCCCAAAGCCCCCACTGAAAGATCAAGGCTATGCTCACACTCAGAGAGCAGCCGTCCTCCTGTGGACTCACCACCTGCAGAGGGTCAGTGAGGGGCTGGTGCTATGAGACTTGGGTGGCATCTCTGATTGCCACCCCCCTGACCCAGAAATGGATTAAAGGGTAGAAAATGGATGGATGGATGGATGTATTAGTAAGTAAGCAAGTAAGTAAGTAATGTTTATTTATATGCCGCCTTTCACAGACCAGAGTCACAAAGCATTTTACAATTGTTTTTTTTGGGCATTTGTCCTCTCCCTCCACACAGAGATGGGAGCGGGGTCGCCAGTACAGGAGGCGCATGCACAGTCCTATTATTATGTGTTAAATGGGTGAGAGGATGTGACAGGGGAGAGAGAGGGTTGCTTCATCCAGTAAACTTCTGCTTCGTCCAACCCCTTTCTAAAACTGTATTAGTGTGAAAATTGTGTTCTGAAGGTTTGACATGAATCTAACTAATAATGAGGAAACTGTAGATATATTATTTTTGATGATTTTTGCCACCGTCGGCCCATGTGACCTGAGCATCTGTCCTGACCTGGAGCGTAAAGTCCCGCTGTAATTGAACACCACATCTGAGCCATTAGCAGGAGGAGGCGCACAGTCAGGCCACAGTCGACTCAAATACCTCCTTTAATCGGGACAACGTGACTCCCAAAGTAACTCAGTGAAGAAGGCCATTTCTGTACAATTAGGTTTGATTAAAGACCCCGACGAAAGCAAAGCGACCTGTCTCAGAGGACATACTTCTCGTTCTTGAGCAAATGATTATGAAATGATCTATAATCTGTTTTTTTTTCGATTTATCAATTCACTTTAAACCAGTGGCCTTGCATATTTAGGGCACCGAGGCCATAAATATCCCAGTTTGCTGAAATGGGAATTATTTTGTGGCAAAAATATATTTGTCTCCAACTCATGATATCGCTGATGTGGTTAAATTCCACGGTCAGATCCAAGACACAAATTATAACAACACTGACCCAACATCAAAAACTGGATGGCTTTCTTCTGTCAGTGTGCCCCGGGGCAGCTGTGGCTACACTGTAAAGAATTTCCTTGTAGAAAAACGGTAAAAAACTGGCCAATATGGTTCCAGGGATTTACCGTTTTCTCAACATGGCATTACCGTGGCTAATTTGAACAGTTAAAGACTGTTTCACTGAATCACATTATGTCTTTGTGATTTTAGGATTTAACTGTATGTTCCTGTTAATTCACATACAACAAAAACAGCTTTATAATGTTAATGTTGTATTATTACACCAAACGACTGTTTCTGTTTCTAATTAGTTTCATTGAACAAAAAACTACACAGTTTAATTTGTTTTACTTCATTGAACACACATTTTCAATTATTTTCTAACATCTTCAGTTTATACAAGAAAGTAGTTGAAATCTTTACTTTTATAACGTGCTTAACGTAAAAGCATCATTTTAACTAAAGCAGGAGTTTACACCTCTTACACTCATGGTTGCTTGCTAGTAAAAAATTCCCAGCATTCCAAAAATACAACAAGTTGATGTAAAATTATGGTAATCATTGTGATTTTATGGTATTGTAACGTTTTTTTTGTAATCACATTATAATTGTGGTAGTAAAACTTAAATTTGCATGTTCAAATTGTTTTTCAAAATAACATTTGTTCAATGTTGAAATTTCATTGTGCGTCCAAACCAGTCCAGAAAGGGCCGCTGTGGCTGCAGGTTTTTTATCAGACCCAGCAGGAGCAGAGCAGACTCCACCCACTTCCTCAAGTAAATTCAGTCTTAACCTGAAGATTTGAGGAAACGGGACGAGTCTGCTCTGCACCGGCTGCGTCTGATGGAAAACCTGCAGCCACAGCAGCCCTTTCTGGACCCGTTTGGACACCTCTAAGTAGTTCACTTTTTAGAATGTTTTACTTCTCAAATGCACACTGCGGTACTTTTGCACATGTATTCCAATGTGGTTTTATCATCACCACGGTGTGTACAATGAATGAATAATGACTTTGACTTTGAGCGTCCAGAAAGGGCTCTTGTAGTAGTCTTTATTTATATTGCACATTCACAGACTATGGTCAGCAGGAGCGTTTAATAATGTGGTGGTATCGGAGTACAGGTGGCAGCAGACTCTTTGACCGTCATCATTTATTCCTTTTGTCCATGTTTTTAGTGGGACAAGAAACCTATTCAGACACAGGGAGAACATGCAAACTCCACTCAGAAAAGCCCCGGAATCGAACCGAGGACCTTCAAAGCGTGATAGATAACCACTCTGCCACTTTGCTGCCATTTATACAACCTCACAATCACAGGGAAAAAAGCAGACACTCTGTAATGTTTTAATTTTCACCTCAATCTTGTTTATGTTTCCCCAGAGTAACGGTTTCCAATCGGAGAGCAGAATGTGTGGGTTGCCAGTTTGTTAGGTAAAATTTAGCTAGTTTGGGCTCTATCTTTTGTTACGTCGTTTTTTTTATTTCCTTTTATGCCTTTTTCTATTTCTTCTTCCATAACTTGTTTGCACTGAGACCCAAAGCAATTTCATAGTCTGTTACTCACAATTTGTAATACCAATAATTATGATTGTGATTTAAGAACCAGGCCATAAATATCACAGTCGGCTAAATGGGATTTTTTTTGTTTGTGCCGCAATAATAATATAATAATCTCTAACTCATGATATCACTGATGCGGTTGAATTTCACGGTCAGATCCAAGACATAAGTTATAACAACACTGACACAACATACAAAATACAAGATTAGGAAATACAGAATGAATGAAATGAACTTTTTAAACATGAGATCTCTGGTACTTCTCCCTCTGTGATGATTATAGTGATATCCAAAAAGTCCTTACCTTAAGTTTGTCCAGCTCCTCTGCCCCGTCCCCTTCTGAACTTGTGCTCAGGACCTCCTCTGTTTTAAAGACTTGTGGTGGGGGTGAGGGGTGTGGTTGGGACTGGGGAGGGGGGGATATATTCAGACTGCTATATATTGTCAAGATGATGCAGGGCGAGCCTCCGTTTCACAGACTGGTGTAGTGTACAGACTGTAGAAGCTATACCTGCTGATGCTGCTGCTGCTGCTGCTGCTGATGCTGCTGCTGCTGCTGCTGCTGCTGCTGGTGCTGCTGCCAGAACGTCAGAGAACCACAACAACATGTTTTCTATTTTATTATTTTATTTTACCTTAATTTAACCAGGAAAGTTCCATTGAGATTAAGAACCTCTTTTAGAAGGGAATCCTGGACAAAAGTTACATACAGTTACATACAATTACAGATTATAAAAACAGATTATAATTTATAATCATTATAAAAAATATTATTATCAAAGTGATGTCACAAGTCATCATCACACATCTCTCACAGGTCAGTTAATAATAATAATAATAACAATGATGATGCATCTATAGCGGTTTTTTTAGACACTCAAAGTCACTTCTCATTATTCATTCACTCCAAACACGGTGGTGATAAACTAAAACTGAAGCCACAGCTGCCCTGGGGCACACTGACAGAAGCAAGAGCCATCAACCGTTCCAACCACCACCGCATTCACACACACCAGACTCCTTCTAGGCAATGTGGGTGAAGTGTCTTGCCAAGGGACACAATGACAGTTCGATACTTTACAGCCGCGGTCGCCCCACTGTGGCACCTGCTGCTCCTAGAGGTCTCCCATCACAGTACTAACCAGGCCCTTCTCTGCTTGGCGTCAGAAGTCAAGCCTTTATATGCTAGTATGGTCAACAGTTGGTCAGTAAACTTTTCTTTGACACTGGAAACAAGCCTTTGACTTCTCTCAGCTCCAGGGGTGTCCAGACTTTTAGTGAGTGGGCCACATTAGTTCAGCAGAACCTGTCCAGGGGCCGACCGCATGGATTATGAAATAGTTCTGGCTGGGATTTAAAACAGACACATGTATGGACTTTTCTGACAGACAAAAACAAATGAAAGTTTATACAAATAACAACTGCACTGCTGGAGCTGAAGTTGGCTGGATTTATATCTACTTCCTTCTTCCTCTTGTCAGATATATGATTTAACACAATGATATGGGCCTCTGATAGAATTCTAGAGAAATATACTGTGGTATGCGAAAGTTTGCAATGTTTATGATTTTCCTTTATGAATCTTTGGTTGTTTGAGTAAGACATTTCAGTTAGATAAATCATATAAGACACAAACACAGAGATTAAGTAAGTGAAATAAAGTGAGGCATGTGCATAGATCAACTCAATATTTTGTTCATCCTCCTTTTGTAGAAAAAATACGCTTCCAAATGAGTCTGGATTCTGGTGAAAGGAATTTTTAACCATTCTTCTTTGCAACTCATCTCTATTTCAGCCAGCTTTGACTGAACTAGAGAATGCATACCAATGTACTGTAAATTTGAACTAACACTGGTTCCTTCAGGAGTTCAGAATTATGGTGCTTTAGAAATTATGCTTTTGTTTTGCTTGAATCTTCCTTGAGTGACGGTCCTGAGTTACACCAAGTTTAGTCCTGTAATACTTCTGGCTTTTTGCTGCCCCCAGTGGCCTGTAACCTGTAGTACTTCAACACAATTAGCCCTGCAGCTTCAGTAATGACATAACTTTATCTGGGTCAGTATTCTTTCATTCTAATATTACTCAATACTAAATGAATGATGCATCAGAATTCCTAGAGAAAAGCACAGTTAAAGTGAGGTCAGATCCTGAGAACTGAATAATCACATCTGGAGAGACTCACTACTCGGAAAACTATTCTGAAAACTAGGGCACAAACAGAGAGCATGGGTCTGCATGGGTCACCTGACCCAGTTTGGAGCTGCTCTTTGGACAAGTGGGTTAATAGAGTAGGGTAGGGTGGAGTAGAGTAGAGTAGAGTAAGGTAGAGTAGAGTAGAGTAAGGCAGAGTAGAGTAGAGTAAGGCAGAGTAGAGTAGAGTAAGGCAGAGTAGAGTAGAGTAAGGCAGAGTAGAGTAGAGTAAGGCAGAGTAGAAGAGTAAGGTAGAGTATAGAGTAGAGTAAGGTAGGGTAGAGCAGGGTAGAGTAGACTTGAGTAGAGTAAAGTAAAGTAGAATAGAGTAGAGTAGAGTAGAGTAGAGTAGAGTAGAGTAGAGTAGAGTAGAGTAGAGTAGAGTAGAGTAGAGTAGAGTAGAGTAGAGTTGAGAAAAGTAGAGTAGAGTAAGGTAGGGCAGAGCAGGGTAGACTAGAATAGAGTAGAGTAGAGAAGGGTAGAGTAGTGTAGGGTAGAGTAGAGTAGAGTAGTGTAGAGTAGAGTGGAGTAGTGTGGTGTAGAGTAAAGTAGAGTAGAATAGAATAGAGTAAGGTATAGGGCAGAGTAGGGTAGGGTAGAATAGAGTAGAGTAGGGTAGAGTAGGGTAGAGTAGGATATAGGATAGAGTAGAGTAGGGTAGGGTACAGTACAGGTGCTACTGTGGGGCGGCTGCGGCTGTAAAGTACTACTTCTTCTTCTTGTAAATGTTCAAACTCAGAGGCGAACCTCAGTAGACCTTACACAGGTGCTGTTAGCTCCTGTGGATCGGATCCCTTTAATAATCAATGTTCTAGGAACATGCAGTTAGCTTTAACACAGTTATAGCATTAGCTTAATCCACTGATTAAATAATTGTCTAAACTGTTGTTAACATTTCTTATTATAGAGTATGGGCCTGACTGTGCAGCAAAGGCATCAGCTGTGAGTGTGTGTGTGTGTGTGTGTTCGTGCGCATATGTTTGTGTGTCTGTCTGTTTGTGTGTTTATGTGCGTTTGTGTCTCTCTTTGTGCATTTGTGTCTCTGTGTGTGTGTTTTTATGTGTGTTTGTGTCTCTCTGTGTGTGTGTTTATGAGTGATTGTCTCTCTCTGTGTGTGTTTGTGTCTCTCTGTGTGTGTGTTTATGAGTGATTGTGTGTATTTGTGGAAACTGAAACTTTCAAGCCACATATTTCCTTTTACCAATTCAAACAAAATAATTAATTACATGAGTGTTTTCATGGAAACACAAAATGTTATTTTTTCTGGTGGGTTTCTGAGATCTATAAACCAAATTAATGACTAACTAATTAATTAACTTTTCTCCGTTCTGGAAAAAGAATCACATCGTTTCGACTCGGAGGCATTTGATGAGATGGTGAGGTCATGAAGCGTGTTCACTGTTGGCTCGATTACAGACTGAAAACTAACTTAGACTAATCTAATCTGCGTCTGTTCTGAGAATCTGATCTTAACTTACGGACACGAGCTTTACAGATGATTTCAATAAGAAAGTGGAGATATAGAGCTTTGCATAAGTTTTAATACCTTGTGACGCCAACAAACATAAAAAAATGTAGTTTTTTGCGAAAGACCAGCGCAAAGGGACGTTTTTCTGTATGCTTTGCACCGTGGCAGAGTGGTTAGTACTTGTGAGTTACCGCACAAAGGTCCTGAGTTCGATTCCATTGTCCGGCCTTTTCCTGATACTTAGGAGCACAAGGACTGGCCTCCTGCTGGGACTCTGAGGAGCACAGGGACTGGCCTCCTGCTGGGACTCTGAGGAGCACAGGGACTGGCCTGGGCGCATTTATGCAGCAAAAATCTGAAACCGTCTTCCTGAAAATGTGAGACGGGCCTTTACTCTGACATACTCAAATCCAGGTTGATATAGTTCTGTTTGTATCTTCACTTATTGTAATACACTGTCATTTATCATTTAATGTTTGGTCTTTGTTTTAATAACCGGAAGTCTCACGTGTTTTACTTTGAAAGTCTCGGCAGGAAGTCTGAACGCGGAAGAAGACGTAAACAAACATCGGAACATTACGGCAGAACGCTCAATCCACGGGAGACACGGGGGACACGGGGGACACGGGGAACACGGAGGACACAGAACACCCCCCGGGCCTGGATGGACTGGATGTCGCGTCTGCCCGGGCCCCTGCTGCAGACTCCGCTCTGGGACTTGGCCATCCCGGGTAAACAACCACGTGACCCTCTCCTCGGACTCTCGCTAAACGAAACTATTTACTGTCTATACACTAAACACGTGCATTTATGTTAATCTGTTTACTCAGCAGCCGAAAACACAGGTTCTTTAAGGCCAGTGTCAACTAAGGACAAGTTTGATATATATAACAAAAGAAATAAAACAAAACACAATAGAACGCACACGCATTAAAATAATGGGTCGTGTGTTTTGCTTATGGTCTCTTCAATCGAATCAAATTAATGTTTTAATCTATTAAATTAATGTTATGAATCTGCGGATTCATAACACTTCAATCAACAGTTTGCCATCTGATAAACCCCGTTTCCACCACCTCTACTCTACTCTACTCTACTCTACTCTACTCTATACTTCTCTACTATACTCTGTACTTCTCAACACTACTCTACTCTGTACTACTCTGCTGTACTCTACTCTACTCTATACTACTCTACTCTACTTTAATCTCCATTACTCTACTCTACTCTACTCTACACTACTCTATACTTCTCTACTATACTCTTTACTTCTCACTTCTCTACTCTATACTACTCTACTCTACTCTACTCTACTCTACTCTACTACTCTGTACTACTCTACTCTATACTACTCTACTCTACTTTACTCTACACTACTCTACTCTACACTACTCTACTCTACTCTATACTACTCTACTCTACTCTGTACTACTCTACTCTACCTTATTCTACTCAACACTGCTCTACACTACTCTATACTACTCTACTCAACACTACTGTACTCTACTCTACACTACTCTATACTACTCTACTCAGCACTACTCTACTCTACTCTACACTACTCTATACTACTCTACTCAGCACTACTCTACTCTACTCTACACTACTCTATACTACTCTACTCTACTCTACCTGGTTGTGTTTCCATTTTGCTTTAGTATCTGGTACCGTATCCTAGCAACCAACCCACTACAAACGAGTATCTGGGAAAATGTCTTGGTAACCATGGCTCTATGATGTTTGTAATGTCAGAAGGCTGGCAGCACTGAAGTGTTGCATCATGGGAGATAGTTGAGTGTGTGGTCTCTGGTTGTGTTGTCAGGGAGTCACGACAGCATGTCCTTCTGTCTGGACATGAGCTCTCCCATGCTGCGCTCAGAACCTGCTTTGCTGCGACTGCTCAACCATCTCCTGCCCTGCTGTGTGCGACCCTGTGTCCAGGGCTGGTCTACCACACAGGCACGCACTCACACACACACACGCACATGCACGCACACACACGCATACAGATGCACAAATGTGCACACACAGACACACACACACACACACACACACAGACAAAAACATAAACGTGCACACACACATACAGATGCACAAAGACGCACACACAGACGCACACACACTCACTCATACACACATACACATGCACACACACATGCACACACCAACACACGCAAAGACATATTCCTACATATGTGTTTATATAAAAACACACAGAGACGCACACCCACAAACACACACATAAACAGAGAGAGACACACAGAGACACCTGCACAAACATGCGTACGCAGGGAGAGACTCTGCACGCACACATAGACACACACACACACACTTTGCTCCAGTCTTTGATGTTTGCTTCTGTCTGTACAGCGGTCAGTCCTCAGTGACCAGTGTGATTTGGGCGTCCGATTCCTGGACCTGAGAATAGCCAGAAAACCAACAGGGGGCGCCACACTGCTGTTCGCCCATGGGGTTTACACGCTGATATCTGTGAAGGTGAAATAGGCTGTGTTCATGTGACATCATTCCAAAGAGCCTGTTTTTTCACATTGTAGTCGAGGAAAACACAAAAATATTTCCTCATAGTCTCTGGTCTTGTGCACACTGGGGACTTTTTCAAATGTACTCCAATGTGGTTTTACTGCAGATGGCACGCAAAATGAATATGAATCTGAATCTTAATCTCTGGTCTCTCCATCTGGCCTCTCTCTCTCTGTGTTCTCTCTCTCTAGTCTCTCTCTGATCAGTCACTGGTCTCTCTCTCTCTTGTCTCTCTCTGGTCTCTCATCTGACCTCTCTCTCTCTCTAGTCTCTCTCTGATCTGTCACTGGTCTCTCTCTCTTGTCTCTCTCTGGTGTCTCATCTGACCTCTCTCTCTCTCTTGTCTCCCTCTTTTTTCTCTCTTTCTCTAGTCTCTCTCTGATCTGTCTCTGGTCTCTCTCTGGTCTCTCATCTGACCTCTCTCTCTCTCTTGTCTCCCTCTTTTTTCTCTCTTTCTCTAGTCTCTCTCTGATCTGTCTCTGGTCTCTCTCTGGTCTCTCATCTGACCTCTCTCTGGTCTCTCTTTTCTCTCTCTCACTTGTCTCTCTCTGATCTGTCACTGGTCTCTCTTTTGTCTCTCTCTGTGGTCTCTCTTTGGTCTCTTTCTTTGTGGTCTCTTCCTTTGGTCTCTCCTTCTCTAGTTTCTGATCTCTCATTGATCTCTCTCTCTCTGTGTTCTCTCTATGTAGTCTCTCTTTAGTCTCTCTCTGTTCTCTCTCTCTATAGTCTGTCTCTAGTCTCTCTCTGGTCATGATGATGTTGTAGAAAGGACTTTTAGACAATGTATGTCCATGGATACTTCCTTGTTAGGCTTCCTTGATCTAGTGGGTTAGCATTGTCCTTCTGGGATTGAACTGTCATGTGACTTCCTACAGGAGGCGCTGGAGGAGCTGAGTGTGTGGCTGAACTCTCACCCCAAAGAGTTGGTCATCCTCAGCTGCTCTCACTTCGAAGGGCTGACGGAGAGGGACCACCGGGACCTGGTCACCTTCATGATCACCCAGTTTGGGTCAAAACTCTGCCCCCCTCAGGTCAAGACTCTCACTACACCAGTGCTATACCATTTCCTTGACCACTAACGCCAGAACATTAGAAATATGTGAAGTAAGAACTGAGTGAGTCAGTTAGACAAAGGTCTCTCTCTGGTCTCTCTCTGGCCTCTCTCTGGCCTCTCTCTGGCCTCTCTCTGATCTCTCTCTGGCCTCTCTATTTTGTCTATCTGCTGTCTATTTCTGCTCTCTTTCTGATTTCTCTCTCTGGCCTCTCTCATGGTCTCTCTGGTTTCTCTCTCTGATATCTATCTCTACTCTCTCTGCTCTCTCTCTCTGTTCTCTCTCTGGTATCTATCTCTACTCTCTTTGGTCTCTCTCTCTAGTCTATCTCTGCCCCCTCTCTGGTCTCTCTCTAGTCTCTCTCTCTCTGGTATCTATCTCTACTCTCTCTGCTCTCTCTCTGGTCTCTCTCTGGGGATGGGTTTTTACAGCTTGAAATCATAGAACTACTTCAAGGATTTCCCTGATTGTGGGTTATTTATTGAACACGTAACTCCTGTATCTTCTCTCCCTCTGATAAGTCACATTCTCAATCATTCACCCTAACATTGCACAATAGTTCTTTCAGTCCCGGATGGTAAATGAAGGCCTTCTCTGTGACAGGAGCAGCCGTCTCTGAGCTCCTGCTGGATCCAGGGGCAGCAGCTCCTCGTGTCCTACGATGAGGAGCAGGTGGTGAAGGAGCACCCTCAACTCTGGCCTTCTATCCCATACTGGTGAAGAAGATCCTTCTTCGTCAAATTTCAGATACGTCTATGAACTGTTTTGAGTGCAACTATGTAAAGACTGCGCTTGTCATTGCAAAATTCTGCAGAAATCTCTATCAGAGGTGTCTAAACCTTTTTAGCACGAGGTTTAAATCACCAGACCTGACGTAAAACTGCTCTTACTGGATTTAGGGTATATACAAACCAAGTCAACAAATACAACTAGGCACAGCACACCTATATTGGTGAAGCTGCAGTTGGCTGGATGAGATTGTGGTTTTGCATGTGGAAAACCCATTTGCAAAAAAAAAGATCGACAAAACTACAATTGTTTACTGGGAAGGTTGAAGACTGTAACCAGAGCAACACAACAGGCCAAAAGTGGTACTGCAGCCTTTCTTACTCTCCCTGACTCAGGTTGCCAGATATGCAGATGAATCCAACTGGGACCATTACAGCTGAATAGACAAGAGTTTTGTCAACAACAAATCTATAACCAACACCTTTTTCTCAAAGATAGAAATCCTCCTTTTGTTCCTTGTTTTATTATTAATCATAACGAGACCCTTTTTAGTTCTGTGGCCACATGGTACTTTACCAGTGAGATTAGCTCGACACAGGGAGTTCTGGCAGCACGCATCACGGACTTTATGATTGGTAAAACGGCGGAGTGCGGGACATCGAAATGAAAACCATGAAAAGATTGACAAGCTGTAAAATAATTTTGAAAGTAAAATATCTCGGCTGAACTACTGATAACAGTTAAAGAAGTATTGGAAAAGAACATGTTTTTTATTAATGCCTTTTGACCGATTAGGGCCCTTTAATGATGACTTGAAAATCTTACATTTTGCTATTTTAAAACATGGAACACCAGGAGAGTAACTTCCATTTTCCACAGGTACGCAGACTCGCCAGACCCCGAGAAGGTCATCCGCTATCTGGACGAGAGGCTGAGCGAGGGAAGACCAGGTAGCTCCTCTGTCTGTCTGTGTGCGCGTGTGTGTGTGTGTGTGTGTGTGTAATGTCTCGGCCTCTGTGTGTGTCTCTCTCTTAGTCTTGTGTGTGTGTGTGATCTCTCGGCTCTTGTGTCCCAGACCACTTTTTTGTGAGTGGACTAAACCTGACTGAGGACCTGCCGTTCGTCCTGCTGCATCCTCTGCTCAACCTTCAGAGCCTGACGCTGAAGGGACTGCCCCCTCTGCTGCGCTGGACCAATCAGCAGTGGCCTGGAGCTCAAAGAGGCGGAGTCAACATTCTCTGCTCTGACTTCGTTGGCCTCAGTCAGTTTTGCTCCATCGTAATCGGACTTAATTATAAACTGCTAGACTCCACTTAGAGAAAACTCATGTTTTCCGTGTGTTTTAACCATGTTACTCCACAGTCCCTCTTCAAATACAGACCTGGTCTCTCTCTGATCTCTCTCTGGTCTCTGTCTGGTTTCTCTCTGGTCTCTCTCTCTGCTCTTTCCCTGGTCTCTCTCTGGTTTCTCTCTGGTCTCTCTTTCTGCTCTCTCCCTGGTCTCTCTCTGGTTTCTCTCTGGTTTCTCTCTGGTTTCTTTCTGGTCTCTCTCTCTGCTCTCTCTCTCTGGTCTCTCTTTGGTCTCTCAGGTCTCTCCCCAGGGGGTTGTTTTTCAGTCTTAACAAATATAGCTGCTACTTCAGGGATAACAAATTAATGCGGGTTATTTAAAATGTTTGTATAGATGTTTGAAACAAGCCAAACATGATTGTTGTTAAGAAAAAAGTCCCAATTCCACCTCTGGTGTCCAAAGTGAAGAATTTTATGCCAATATATGTGTTTTCAATCTTTTATACATTCAATCTTTTTATATATTATGATTCTATATAATAAAGACTATTTCAAAAGTCTAAGTCAGTCTGCTCATTAAGGTATAAGGGACAAACATGAGCGTCTATAAACTCTCCAATAACCAGGAGCTCGCTGCTTCCTGACGACTGCCCACTCATCAGGAGTAGATTATTGTGTAAAAATGTATTATCGTGAATAGGGTTACATAATACTGTAACATTACTCTCGCCACCCTGAGGGCAAGTGTAATCACACAGTTTTGTCACACGTTTTTATTGTAAGGCTGCAGTTCAGTGATGTTCATACAGATGTAGTTCTACTGTGGTTTACACGATAACAAAACAAACAAAGTTTAAAAACACAATATACGGCCTAACAGTGCATGGTCATGTACTTACTGTACGCATACTGCAACTGAGATACACACGACTCAAGTCGAGTGTTGACCCCGAGGGTTTAAGGGTCTCCCTGATTTTGGAAACATCTCAAATACACGGCCCTCTAACGGGGACGTGGTATTAAAGCATTATTATTTACATAGCACCTCACCGTGTGCAGACGCTGCAGCTCTGGGGACATCACTGTGGAGAACTGTCAGAATGAGATTATGAACATTTTAAACATGTGTCTTACTTTAGTACAAACACACAGCACCTAAGGCACTTAAGTCCAACCTCTCTACACCTACTGCTTCATGAGGAGGCCCCTCCGCAGCCGGAGCTGAGGTTGGTCATGGGACCTCTGCTGTACAGGTCTACTCTCCAGTGTGTAAGGGGCCCTCGGGGGCCTCATAGTCCTCTGGGCTCAGTGTGGAGGGAGCAGTCTATGAGCTGGGGTGGTAGCTGTTCTCAATGCACAGGATGATGAGAGGGCTGGAGCAGCTGCTGGAGGTCTGCTGAAGGAGCTGTCCACTCTCCAGAGAGGAGGACATCCCGGTCAGAGCCGCGTCCCCCACTCTCCACGTCTCACAGTAACTGTCCATGTGTCGTCGGCCCTCAGCTGTGGAGCCGTGCCACACCAGCTTCTGGGGCCTGTAGCAAAGCACACACCTGTCAGCTGACTGGACAGGGACAGAGGGACAGGGAGAGAGGGAGAGGGAGAGAGTGACAGAGGGGCAGGGAGAGAGGATCAGTGACAGAGGGGCAGAGTGACAAGGACAGGGAGAGAGTGACAGGGAGAGAGGGGCAGAGTGACAGGGACAGGAGAGGACCTCAGGAGACCTACACTCACCAAGTACTGTCAGTCTCGACATTTTTCCCGTCAAAAGAGTAAATGGGGACGTCCTTCATCCGGCCGTTGGAGAAGACATCGTCCCAGCGGTCGAACAGGACCTCATCCTGACAACACACACACACTTTACTGCATGTCTCCACTAGGGGAGCTAAACACACAGCAGGAGGCCTCATGGCTTGTTTTATTCCCATAGAAAGAGTAGAGTTCCATGAATTCTCTAGGTGATATGATGCTGCGTGCGTGTAGTACCTTGAGGTTGAGGATGGGGACACTCTGACGATCGGCTTGCCGTACAATACTCTGCAGGTCCTGGAGCTTGGCGGACAGGAAGGCCCTGAAGGTGCCCCTCAGTCCGATGGCCTGAGCCTGGTTGAAGCAGAGCAGGTCTGCCCTGTGGATCCCCCGCATGGCCCCAGTGTGAGGGCTATTTAGGGCCAGCAGGTGGAGCTGCAACACCAGGGTCAGAGTCAGAGATAGAGTCAGAGTCAAAGCTAATTTACACAGGACGTGCGTAAAATTTTTCCATGTTAACCAATGGTGACATTTACACTACTAGTGTTATACGCGCGTATTTAGGATGGATTTCTAATTTTGTGCGCGCAACAACGCATCTCCTAGTCAAAACACATTTTTCTAGCGGCCCTTGGCTTTAAATCGCATCTGCACACACAGCACTTTATGCACATTGGTTTTTTTTTCATTCATAAAGTTTCCCGTCTGGCCAAACCAGCGCATAGAGACCATGAAGACAAACACATGCATGTGATTTGTGTTGCTCTACATTTGTTAATCTGGCCCGTACTGTCCTCTACACTTCTCCATAGACTACACAGGGACAGCATGAAGCCACATATGCGCGCAGTCAACGCGTATGCGCTGTTAATGCCTACTGTGTAAATTCTCTGTCAGAGTCAGAGTCAGAGTTAGGGCTAAGGTCAGTGGTTTGTGAGCTGTTGAAAAAAGTTTTCACTTGAAATGACTGACAGAGCCATACAAAAATATTGTTAAAATGAAATAAAATATGGTTCACTGTGTTAGGTTGTGGTTCAATAGGTTATATGCAATCATTTTGATAGGCTTTAATAAACATTGAACCAGAAATGTGGTTTTTGTTGGCCTTTGATGTATTTGACTTTGACATCCCTGCTTTAGCTCTTTAAAGTGCTCTGTGAGTGTCTGTCATTACAATGTTCATGTGACATCAGAACATGTAAATGCTGTAGCAGACTGACCCCTGGTCCTCCAGAGTGCTGGTGCTGCTCCTGGGCAGGGGGTCGCTGGGGTGGTCTCTGAGGGTTCACAGGGTGGTAGCCCCGCTCATGAGTTGTGTGGACCGTGTCCCTGCCGTCCGGCTGGTGGACCCGCTCCGTGTAGCTGGGGAAACGAGGATCAGTGGGAGCAGGGTATCGAGGCTCAGACTGGGAGGGGTATCGGGGATCCGGCTGGGACGGGGGCAGGGGGTCTGGGTGAGGAGAGTGCTGAGGGTTCGAGGTAGAAGGGTACTGGGGATTGTAAGGGTCCGGCTGGGATGGGTGGTGGGGATAGTGAGGGTCCGGCTGAGAGGGGTGGTGGGGATAGTGAGGGTCCGGCTGAGAGGGGTGGTGGGGATAGTGAGGGTCCGGCTGAGAGGGGTGGTGGGGATAGTGAGGGTCCGACTGGGATGGGTGGTGGGGATAGTGAGGGTCCGGCTGAGAGGGGTGGTGGGGATAGTGAGGGTCCGACTGGGATGGGTGGTGGGGCTCTGGCTGGGAGCTATACCTGCCGTCTGGAGAGTAGGGGACAACTGGAGGGGGGACCACGGCAGCAACCTCGTTTCCCTAAGAAAAGGAAAATCCCACTGAGGTGAACAGACTCGGGGGGAAGAGCTCAGGCAGAGGCTGCACTTACGTCTTCGAGAGGGAGAGGGATGTAGCGCCCGAGCTGAAAAGACATGGTCGTTATGGTTGTGTGAGGTCAGAACTATGAGTGTGGCCGTGTGATACAGAAGTGTGATTGGCACCTGGACTTGGCGGACTCCGTCTCGGACCCGGAGGTACAAGTCGGTCTGGTCCAGGACGTAGACCAGAGACCCTTCGGGATGCCCCCGGGCTGTGGCCCTCATGGTGTCGTAGGAGCGGAGAACTGTGACCTGAATCAGGACTCAGCTTTAGTCGAGCTGCACCTTGTGTGTGTGAGCTGTCTTCTTCTTTTAACTCGGTTACATTGTTTCCTCATCAAAAACAGACCTAAGGTTCAAGCTCTGACTGCAGACGCTGCCCTCTCTTTGTCGCAGCATAGGGCGGTTACAGACTGAATAGTTGTTTCATTATATTTTTGACTGAAAAGGACAGCGTGTAATCTGCTTTTAGTGTCCCATTAAGTCATCACAGCACTTAGCCTTGTACCTAATTCATTTGTTTCGTATTTACAGTTTTTTCCTGTTGCTTGAACACAGTTTGCAAAATTTCTAACTCTGCTCTCAAAACTCAAACTCTGCTCTCAAAATTAAACAATAATTCGTCAAAATGAAACTCTGAGGACAAAATGACACACACTTGCATCACGTGAACACACTTTCAGATTGGAAGCAACACACTACAGTACTTTTTATAAAACACTACAGTACTTTATATAAAACACTACAGTACTTTTTATAAAACACTACAGTACTTTATATAAAACACTACAGTACTTTATATAAAACACTACAGTCATTTTCACTGTTTTTATTCTGTTTATCAGTTAGTTTTCTGTGAAGCTCAATGGAACTGTTTTGGTTCTCAGTAGTACTGAAAGGTTACAAACAATATCAACTCAATACAGTACAGTACTACAGTATACTGTACCGTACAGTACTACAGTATACTGTACCGTACAGTACTACATTATACTGTACAGTATACTGTACAGTACAGTACTACAGTATATACTGTACATCACAGTACAGTGCTACAATATTCTGTACATCACAGTACTACAGTGTACCGTACATCACAGTATTACTGTATACTTTACATCACAGTATTACTGTATACTGTATATCATAGTACTATAGTATACAGTATATCACAATATTACGGTATACTTTACTGCATTTGTGTCAATGCAGTAAAAAAAAAAAAAGGTCTATTTCCACAAAGGCAAGTTCGTGTTGTTGGTGAACAGTTGCCGACCACCTCCAGATGTTTTTTTAGTCATTTTGTATAAATATGAAACCACAAATTGTTACTATAGGTTTAGTTTTTGTACATTACAAATGTGTACAGTACTGTGATATCTCAGTTTTATGTACTTTACTGTCTTGTATGTTTCACAAAACTACATTTTTTTCAAAAGAAGCAATAGCCAACTTGCAAAACAGTACATGTGATACAGAACAGTACTGTAATACTGTAGATACAGTCTGCAGTACAGAGTCACAGTACATGTGATACAGAACAGTACTGTAATACTGTAGATACAGTCTGCAGTACAGAGTCACAGTACATGTGATACAGAACAGTACTGTAATACTGTAGATACAGTCTGCAGTACAGAGTCACAGTACATGTGATACAGAACAGTACTGTAATACTGTAGATACAGTCTGCAGTACAGAGTCACAGTACATGTGATACAGAACAGTACTGTAATACTGTAGATACAGTCTGCAGTACAGAGTTACAGTACATGTGATACAGAACACTACTGTAATACTGTAGATAAAGTCTGCAGTACAGAGTCACAGTACATGTGATACAGAACAGTACTGTAATACTGTAGATACAGTCTGCAGTACAGAGTTACAGTACATGTGATACAGAACACTACTGTAATACTGTAGATAAAGTCTGCAGTACAGAGTCACAGTACATGTGATACAGAACAGTACTGTAATACTGTAGATACAGTCTGCAGTACAGAGTCACAGTACATGTGATACAGAACAGTACTGTAATACTGTAGATACAGTCTGCAGTAGAGCGTTGGAAACATGTTTCCAACTGAAGGTCCTGAAGGACCTTGTCTGGATTCTCTGTTTCCCTCAGTTTGAGGCCATGATTTATCACATGATCCACAAAAGTTACTCTTATGTCATCAAAATGTTGTGTTGTTTTTGTCCTCTTTAACTCCTTGTCTTCCTCTTCCTCTCTCTTGCTCTTCCTGCCTTCAGACTTGCAGAGTTCTGAAAATGGCTAAACTGAGGCCTGTTTGTGTCGATTAGATGTGTGTTGCATTTTGTAAGTCAGTGTTTTTATGTGTGTGTCTCAGTGTTTTTAGTCACTCAATGTGTTTGGTATTTTGAATAGATGTGTTTTCCCAACGATAACTCAGGATTGCAAATATGCACAAAGTGTCTTATGTATGACACAGTGTGTAGTGAGCAGGTGAAAGTGTGTTGCAGAAAGAGAAAGTGTGTTGCAGAAAGAAAAAGTGTGTTGCAGAAAGAGAAAGTGTGTTGTAGAAATGAAAGTAGAGTGCAAAGCAGTACTTTTGTTTAAAGGCACACCGTGTAACTCTTGGCCACTAGGGGCGCTAGACCTGCAACTTTCACGTTTAGCGCCCCTAGTGGCCACAAGCAACTCAGCACTGTCGCAAAAGTCAACAAACAGTCAGCCGGTGTCTTTTGAGTGTGTATTCAGACAGCATGCACTGGTGTGTGTGTTCAAACTGTAGAGACATGCCTACAGATATTGAGAGACTCTGCTGTGGTCAGCCTCCAGACCGCTGCATTAGTAATCTACCACACATGGACTTCTATATCCTGGATGAGGGAGTTCTGCGTCTAGCTCGTGCTGCGTGGAATGACATCTTTGCAGTCGATGACATCCAGGAACCAGGTGAAGAGCAGCGCTCATACAGACATGCAGCTTACAGCACGATCCCTTTCGCGTTTCCTCTTTTTAGCCTCCTTCGAAGGTTTAAAATTTTTCCTTGCCTCAGCCATGACCAGGAGTCGAGCAGGTGAAAAATGAGTAGCAAAAGCCTTAGCTCCATGAGTATATCAGCGCCTGTAGCCGTAAAGCAAGTCTTTCTTCCAAGTCACGTGACCTGGTGGCAGACGGTCCGTCTGCTCGAAACTTACATGGGCGGTATTTCAAGAAGGCAGCCCCGCTCGGAGCATTGCAAGTGTCAAGCGCTGTATATTGGCCCAAGTATTCATATAAAATAACTCATATGTGTCAACTCTTTAGGTCACAAAGTCCGCGGTGTGCCTTTAAGGAAGGGTCAGTCTGTGTTTTAGGTTTAGAACAAAAGCTTCAAGTTCTACAACTTTGGTCTAAGCGTCTGTCTATAGTGTTCAAGCAACAGGAAAAAACTGTAAACAAATGTGAATTTTCTATAATATTTAATATTTGTCTGTTAATATGCTGTCTGTGAACACATCACATCAATGAAAGACTCATTAAGTGTAAAATGCTTACGTACCCCTGAAGAATGCCCTGGTGTACCCGGTGCTCCAGGGGGTCCTGGTGGGCCAGGGATGCTGATGGCTGTCAAACAAAATGTTCTCAAGTAAAGAAGTAAAGTTGTGCCGTAAACATGTGCGACAGCGACTCACTCTGCACTCCCCGTCCATCCACAGACACTGTTGATCCTGGAGACCCAGGGGGCCCTGGAGGTCCTGGCCGGCCATCATTGCCGCGCCCCGGAGGTCCAGGAAGCCCTGGAAAGCCCGGTGGGCCGATGATGGAGTCTCCTTTAGGGCCCTGAGGGAGAGCATGTTTGTGAGATTCATACCATGGCTACATCCAATAAAAAGCCAGCGTACCGGAGGCCCGGGGGCTCCTGGAGGTCCAAAACCAGCGCCATAGCGAGGGTCATAGTACCCACCACCGCCGGGCTCTCCTTTCTCTCCTTTAGACCCAGCCTCTCCTCTGAGATGTCCCTGGTAAATTCAAACAACGTGACACAGTGGTGACAGATATATTACACATTTCTACTCCTTACCCTCAGTGTGTGGATGTCAAACTGGGGTCCCGCTCCTAAACGGGAAAAGCATGACTTTATGTATTGTAAACATCACTATTGATTTAAGAGGAAAGTCTACCTGGCTGGCCTGGGTAACCTGGCTCCCCACGATCTCCTTTGTCTCCTTTTGTAGCTGCCCATCAAAAAAGAGTGTGTTATAATGTTCTCCACTTCTATTTTCAGACACAGTTTCAGCAGAAGTTCTGACACAATTGGACTTTATTCACAAATGACACAATGCCGCCTCGGGTCATTTGTGAAATTTGTGAAACGTTCGGGACGTTCGGGACCATTTCAGCACTGTGAAATAAGAAAGTGCAGGCCCTATGGGCATGCGTGCTGTTGTGTCCCAGCCTTCAGGGGGCCACAGAGCAGTTTATGGTCAAGGTCTCTCACCTGGGTAGTACCTGGACGGGTCTTCATAGCCCTGGAACCCAGAGAAACACGCTCAATACTGATTATAACTTGATCTGTTAAAATGGACTCATAACTCACCCCGTGTGTGTTGACATAAGGAGTAGGGGGCCCTGGTGGTCCAGGAGGCCCGGGTGGACCAGGAGGCCCCTGAGCAGAAGCAGGACTGAGTACTGACCCATGAGTACTAACAGACATGTACTGTACTTACAGGCAAGGAGTATCCTCCGCTGGAGTCCCCTCTCTCTCCTTTGACCCCGTTCAGTCCAGGACGGCCCTGCATGGCTCAGCATTAGCACATCGTACATCGCCATAACAACACCAAAGAAATACCACGTTTTACATCTTACCGGACGACCAGGGAAACCAATCTCTCCCTTCTGACCTACAGGTCCATATGGGCCCTACAGAGAATTGTGTTAGAACAGAACCAACAGCAGAATGAAGGTTAGACAGGGTGGTACTCACTGGGGGTCCCTCGGGTCCTGGGGGTCCTGGGGGCCCTGGATCCCCCTGTAACATATACAGTGGGAGAATAAGCTGAAATGTCACAAAATAAGTTTCCTTCTCATTTGTACCGGTTTTCCCGACAGTCCACCAAGGTACATGGGTCGCCCGTCCGGTCCCAGGATGATGCCAGGCTCCCCCTTCTCCCCCTGTACACAGAGCGTGTTATTCAAGGCAAATATTGGTGTGTTTGTTTGAGCTCATGGAAATACCTTTGGGGCATATCCAGGAGCCCCCACGTCCCCCTTGTCACCTTTCTGTCCCGTGAGGCCCTGAAAGAACACAAGGCTCAAGGTGCTGTAGTGACATGTTGTTTTCTGGGGCGGCAGTAACCGGACTCACCGGGACTCCTGCTCTTCCGGCTCCACCAACTCTCCCCTGAAAGAACAGATCATTAAACACTGGAACTAACTTCACAGAGACAGAATCTTCATTCGATGAGAGCAGCACTCACCTCCTCTTCCGACCCTTCGCTCCAAAACTGGTCATTATACTATAGCACGACAGTTAGAAGTTAGTACGGGGAGCCAGGTGAGTGTGGAGCAGCCGGGTCAGTGTGGAGCAGCCGGGTCAGTGTGGAGCAGCCGGGTCAGTGTGGAGCAGCCGGGTCAGTGTGGAGCCGCCGGGTCAGTGTGGTGGGCAGCAGCCGGGTCAGTGTGGTGGGCAGCAGCCGGGTCAGTGTGGTGGGCAGCAGCCGGGTCAGTGTGGTGGGTAGCAGCCGGGTCAGTGTGGAGCAGCCGGGTCAGTGTGGTGGGCAGCAGCCGGGTCAGTGTGGTGGGCAGCAGCCGGGTCAGTGTGGTGGGCAGCAGCCGGGTCAGTGTGGTGGGCAGCAGCCGGGTCAGTGTGGTGGGCAGCAGCCGGGTCAGTGTGGTGGGCAGCAGCCGGGCGGTGACAGTGAGAGTTAGTCATATAAAACACTTACGGATCTTATGGCTTATTAGTGGATGAGTGTTGTTATGACGCTGGATTCGTTCATCACAGACTTACATCACTTCCTGGTTGATAGATGATATATCCTGGAGGCCCAGGAGGTCCTGGAGGTCCAGGTGGACCACCTTCTCGCCCTGGTAAACCCTAGAAAACATTCTATTATTTTCTAGATCAATGTGAAAAGACTGACTGTCACTGACCGTTTCCCCTTTGGGTCCTCGGTCTCCTTTAGCACCCTGTCAAAATATTTTACAAACATATGAACAAAGGGCTCCAAATATAAACACACTCAGATGAGCAGGACCTACTTCCTGTCCGGGAAAGCCGTCCATGCCGGGGACCCCAGGGGGGCCCCGAGGGCCTTCTGCACCCTTGTCTCCATGGTTACCAGGCAAACCAGGTTTTCCCTAAAGGGGATTGTTAGTCAATACACAAAAGTCTAGAAAACCAGATCTCAATAAAATGAGAGTCACAGGTACAGTAGTGAGTGATCAGGAGCTTTCAGAGAACCATGTGGCTCATGCTCTGAGGGGACACTTACCGTCAGGCCGGGTGCACCAGGAGGACCCTAACAATCAACACAACATCAGACCAGCAGACTCTGACCGCTGACAATAGGAGCACAAACAAAGGGATAGTACCTGTGGACCTGGGCCTCCGCTCGTTGAAATCGCATTAAGCCCCACACCACCGCCCTGTTAGACATCAGAGGAAAATCAAGGAGTCCTAAAACTGAGAAAGAGAAGCTGTGACTTGTATCTGTGCTCACATAGGCATCATAGGGGGGGCCTGGAGGTCCTGGTGGTCCTGGAGGTCCCACTGGTCCCATTGGTCCTGGGAGACCTGCCAAACCGCTCTGGCCTGGAGTGCCTGGCTGCCCAGGACCTCCTTGTTCTCCCTGTCACAAAATGAGTGAGAGAAACCAGACGCAGAGACAAGGATCATCAGAGCAACAGAGAAGATCAGGAGGAATCCTGAGTTTGAGACTGAGACTAGGACTGCAGGGGTCTAGGACCTGCAGGAGACTAGAGGATACAGTACATGTGTATAAACAGGACTTTATGACATGCAGGAGCTTAGCTGAGGAGTGTGACCACTCACCTTCTGCCGAGCTCCTGAAGAGCTGACATCTCCACAGTCTCCCTGTGAAAGAGCAGCACACACAGCCACATGAGACCAGAGGCCAGACCCTGAAATCTGTGGATATGAACCCAGTACCTTCTCTCCTCTGAGTCCAGGTTGACCTGAAGGTCCAGGAGGGCCAGGGGGTCCCTTGTTCATTGGACAAAAACCTCAGTTTAACAGCTTTGATCATGTATACTCAGTGATGTGGAACAGTTACTTACAGGAATACCAGGCACTCCATCCTGTCCAGGAGGTCCAGGAGGTCCAACAGCCACTGGACCATTGGCTCCAAAAGTGACTGATGTGCCAGGGGGACCAGGGGGGCCTGGAGGCCCTGGTACACCAGGGAGACCCTGTACAAAGTGCAGTTAGCAGAAAACGTTGGAGAAATCTGCACAGGACAAGAAGTATAAAACTGATCTTGACCGTGCTCTGTCGTACCAACTCTGTGGTACCTGTTTTAATATAAAACCTACGTGGGACCTACGTGTTTGTGTGTGCGTATGTCTGTGAGTTTGTGTTGGGTCGACATGGTAATATTACCCGGGTTTTGACCATGTCAGCAAATCCAGAGCCTTCCATATCCAAAAATGTCTGAAACAAAATAAGCCACAGATGCAAAATTGGTCTACTATAGCTTACATATATAATACTTACTGGCCGGTCACTGCTGCCCAGTCCTGGGGGCCCAGGGGGTCCTGGGGGGCCGCGAGGCCCTGGCTGTCCGTCTCCACGCTCTCCCTAAAAACAGCAAGTCAAAACTGTCAGTGAAAAACATGTACAGTAAAAGTAAAAGCAAAGGAAAGGTGCCATACCTTCGATCCTTTGTCTCCGGAGCTTCCTTTGCTCCCGGGGGGCCCTCGAGGGCCCATTGGCCCCTGGCACATTGATACCAAAAGTTAAAATCCTAGAGAGGGATTAGTTTAACATGAGTTTGTAAAGGACTTACAACTTTCCCATCTTCTCCTGGATCTCCCTGTGCACAAATCCCACACAAACAAGTTGATATCATCCGAACAAAATTGTGTAGAACAATCTCTCACTCACTGGTTCCCCGTCTGCTCCTCGAGGTCCCGGAGCCCCATCTAGACCTGGAATTCCTGGTGATCCCTGGGGCCCAGAGACCTGCTGTACTATAGAGCCATCCCCGAGCCGGGCCACCTCTGCTCCAAGTCCTGGGGCTCCAGGAGGCCCTTGAGGTCCTGGGAGCCCACGATCACCTTTGTTACCTTTGTTCCCAATGCCAGGGCTGCCCTGAGACCATTTTAAAAAACGCAGACAATAATGTGAGTGGAACGCATCCTCATGTCTCACACTGTCCACAGGGGACGCTGCCTCAACAACACAATCTTTGTGGACGAGAGGCATCTGATTGAATGGCTCATATCTGGATTTACAAAGACAATATAGAATATACAACACATATAAAAACACCAGGATCACAGAGTGCGCTACACCAAACTGGTGAGGTTGAGACAAACGGTTTCCGAGCTAGAGGAGTTTAGCATACATGTGAGACAATAGGATTCAGAGCAAGTTGGAGTCAAACGGGCACTTCCCTATTGTGTTTGCGCTATCCTAGTAGCATTAGGCTAATGGGTTAGCATTGTCCATCTGTAAATGGTCTATGGACTAAAGCAGCCCTCAACTGTAGGACTTAGCTAGGACGTAACCAGACCGACCAGAGTATGAAAGGAGCACTGACCTTCACCCCCTTTTCTCCCTGAAAGAAAGCAGAGAGCAGAGTGAGTCACATGACGTCGCGGACAGCAGAGGCCAGACTGATTCTCTTTACCTTCTGGCCTGTCTCTGAAGACCCAGACCCAGCAAAGGCGGATCCTGCTTCCCCTTTGGATCCTGCGATACCCCGGTCCCCCTTCGCACCTTTCTCTCCTCTGTCACCCTTCTCTCCTCTGGTCCCGGCTGGACCTGGCGTCACATGACACGGGTCGGATCAGGATCAGATCAGGGTCGGATCAGTTCAGTGGGAATGAAACAGTTTTTTGGGGATGACTCTACGCTTTGAACATCTAGAGATTGACAGTTTGTCTTGACAAAACAACACAATTTTACCAACTTCAACAGCTTTTCTTCCAACATTGTCCTATATCGTTCTACATCCATCTTCCCATCAACCCTGACACTTCTCGGTTGCTGCTGAAGAAAAGCAGCCCCACAGCTGGATGCTTCCACCCCCATATCTGAGACTGAGGTTTGTGCACTGAGGGAAATGAGCAGTGTCAGTTTTGGGTCATACTTAACAGTTATATTCTGGACTCCTCTGACCACAGCTCCTTCTCCCTCAAACTGACGACAGTGTTAATGTTGGTCTCCTCTGTCTTTCTTTCCACTCTTTCTATTGACCTCTCATGAAGGTTGTATCTGTATAGTGTAGACTAATATTTATTTCATGTACAGACTCCCCGTAGTGAACTGTGGATGTCTGCATTTCCTGATTATTGCACTGATGCCTCACAGAACAGCTGTCATTATACTGACAGATAAAACAATGAAACTTGTTTTATGGCCCGCTCCAGGAGTCTCCGGGCCAGGACCAGTAGGCTAAGTTTTTATCACAGAGTAGTCACACTCCTGAACTCTGTCCCATTCCTCCACGGCTGTCTGAGCTGTTCCATTCCTCCACGGCTGTCTGAGCTGTGCCATTCCTCCACGGCTGTCTGAGCTGTCCCATTCCTCCACGGCTGTCTGAGCTGTGCCATTCCTCCACAGGTGTCTGAGCTGTCCCATTCCTCCACAGCTGTATGAGCTGTCCCATTCCTCCACAGATGTATGAGCTGTCCCATTCGGCTGCATAATATTGGTTCAGTTTTATCTGAGTGTGATTTAAGGTAATAATGTACAGTATGTTCAACCACAGAACTGTTGAAGCTGGATCTGGCGTCTGTAAAGTCACTCCATAAGGATTTTTTCCTAAAAAGTAAAAATTTCACATTGGCCATTGTAGGAAAGCCAAGCCGAGAAGTGCGCCCCTAGTGTTAGCTTTTGTTTTTGCATGTTAGTGTCACTTTTGTTTCTGAGCACGTATGCTATTAATAGAGCAACCACGGCAGCTAGATGCGCTGCAGAGACCTTTTTTCAGAGTATTAAGGACTCATTAACGTTGTTCCCTGTGTGTCAGTGTGCGTAAATGATCAAAAAGTAAGTGCAATGTGCAATTTCCGCAGCATAGGCAGATCAAGTAGAGGTCATTTCCCGAACATAGAGTTCAGCTCTTCTGGAGGAAGGGTTGAGTCAAATCGAGCTTGATGACCTTAGACAGGAACTAGCTGAGGACACTCAAGCAGATATGGAGTATCAGCGCTTACAGCTCCAGGCTAAGGAGGCGCAGCGCGCACAGGAAGAAGCACTACTTGCTAAGGAGACTCTTCATAAACAACTGGACAGGAATCGTCGCCTGCAGGAAGCCCAGAGAAGGGTGAGAATGGCTAAACTGGTCTCCTCAGTCCTAAACACAAATGCGCAGGCTGTTTCACCAGAGCCCTCATTAACTCCTGAAGGCTACCTCCAGCTACCAGTATCCACACCGTCTGCTAGTAGCACAAGACCATCAGTTGTTATGGATACTATTTCCACTGCACATGCAGCTCAGCCACCTTCTGTGCCAAGACAACCCACACCTGTGCCAGACAACGCTCCGAGCCTTCTTCAAGCCACGCAGCCAACGCAGTATGTACCTCCTATCCACACACAGAGCACGGATACACTCATGATGCAGTTGCACTCGGACAATCATGCAGCTCAGCTTCCTCCTGCGGTTATGACTACACAATCTAATGTCGCACCCATAATGACCTCCGCCTTGTCTCCACCGATGTATGGCCAGCCTTTACCGCCTGCACTACAGACACTGCCAGTCCAAGGTCAACCAGCAGTCTCCCAGCCATTCTATCCATCATTTCAGCCCCGTGATCTTCCACCATTTGGATCAGATATGCTGATTGCTTCCACTTACGGTATTCCCAGGCCTACTCTGCCTTATTTTGAGAGTGGACGTGAAAGCTACTTTGCCCTGCTGAAGATGACACTCGACAACCTCCTGAGTACCCACACTCACCTCAGTGAACAGTATAAGTATCAGGTACTACTCGGCCAGCTGAAGCACGCTAGCGCACTCCAACTTGCTAAAGCTCACTTGTACCACCCACAGCCCTACACCACGGCCTTGAAAGCTCTTCAAGACAAGTACGGCCAACCACGGCAGCTCGTTCAATCTGAACTGGGTACAATATTGAGCATGCCAGCTTTCAAACCAGGAGACTTTGCTGCATTCGACTCCTTCGCCCTGGCGGTGCAGTCATTGGTTGGAATGCTAAGGTCACTTGAGGGTCATAACAGTTACGAGCTGATGTGTGGCTCTCACATCGATCGCCTGCTGAGCAAGATGCCGCCACACCTCCGTGACAGCTTTGTGGAATACTGCCTGACCCGTGGTATCCTTCAGACAGGTACTAACAGAACATACACTCTTCCTGATCTAGCAGCTTGGTTGCAGGTTAAGTCTCAAGCCAAACAGATCTCAACTCGCGCAGCATCACCGTTCACTGCTGAAATCCACAAGCCGATGAATACTTACAGGAGTACGCATCCAAAGGACAGGGTTACTCCAGTTCTGCTAACACTTGATAGTAAGCCATCTGCCTCAACTCCATCTAAAGCACAACCTAACTCCAAGCCCAAGCCATATTGTCCATGGTGTGATAACACAGAGCATTATCTTAACTTCTGCAATGACTTTAAGAAACTTCACGTAAACGAGATCATAAAGTGGATCCAAGATGGAATAAGATGTTGGAGATGCGGTCGAAATCATAGTGCAGACACCTGTACTCTGAAACGCCCCTGCGAAGTCTGTAAAGAGACACACCTCACCATTCTCCATGAATCAGTTCAAGCCACTTCTGGGGCTTTCCTCATGGTCAATATCCCCTCCACTCAAATCTACTTTGACCGTCCTAACCGATCACAGCACGTCATGCTGAAAGTAGTGAGTGTCCTAGTCCACAATGGAAATCGATCAATGCAAGCGTATGCCATACTGGATGATGGATCAGAAAGAACTGTTATTCTCCCCCCAGTTGTGCAATATCTGAACTTCAAGGGTGATTCCGAGACCCTGGCTCTCCGGACAGTGCATCGAAAAGTTGAACACATTGCTGGCTCATCTATCTCCTTTGAGATTTCTCCCATTGAGAACCCCTCTGAGAGGTACCACATTCGCAATGCCTCGCTGATGTGTCTTACCCCGTACATGCTCTCCAGCAGCGTTATCAGCACCTTAAGGGTCTTCCACTACGCCCGTTGAGTAATGTACAGCCACTCATTCTGATAGGGTCTGACGCACCTCACCTGCTCACCCCTATTCAGCCCATATGCAAAGGACCCCAAGGTGGACCAATCGCCGTTTGCACGCTCCTTGGATGGACACTGCAGGGCCCCATGAGTCCTTTCCAAAGTTCTCGCAAGGAACAACAGTGTCTACATCTTGCCGTAACTGAAGATTGACAGCAGGAGTTAGTCAACAATGAGGAGCGCTTGTTGAAACTAGACGTTCTCCCCCCGAGCGAGAAAGCGCACACCAGGTCCAAACAAGATCAACAAGCATACAATCTTCCACAATGCGCAACCACCAGAGTTGATGTGCAAGGAGTGCAACACAACACCACTCCGTTGCTTCGCTGTGGTCCAGATGTTCAGCTTCAGGAATCTGCATTCATTGAAGCGATTATTACCGACTCTCCAGCCCCCGATGCTTCCCAGTTTCTGTCACGGGATGCCCTCGTCCAAGCCACTATGGGGGTTGTCAACGGGGCGGCTAACCCAAGCAGCGACAAGCCTAATGATGTTTTCCATGCAGAGAAGATAATACTTGCTCAGTCTCAGTTGGACTCGTTTCCTGAAGAGCTACTTCATCCAGGCCCTGAGAGAGTCTTGATTAAGAGGAGACGTCAGTATTTGGTGCTCACAGGCAGGGAAGCTCTCAGAAAGCTCCAGCACTCCTGCCATGAGCGTCAACACTGGTGTGCAAAGCCCACCATCTCGAAGACATCTGACTTTCCACACAACCGTTTACGCCAGCACAAGCATCCATTCTATTCCACTGGAGTGGACTGTTTTGGTCCGTTCTCTGTCAAGATCGGTCGGCGTAAAAGGAGGAGATGGAGACATTGTCAGATCTTGGGGACAGCTTTTGGACAGCTTTTGGACAGCTTTCATCCGGAACTACCTTCCGAGTCTCCAAGTACGTCAGAAGTGGAGAACTGACACAAAAGAACTGGACACAGGCCAAGTTGTCCTCATTGTCGACCCACAGCTGCCGCGGGCTCTCTGGCCAGTGGGCTCCGTGACAGAGACGTTCAGAGGATCCGACGGACGCGTCCGGACTGCATCAGTGAAGATCAACGAAAAGACTTACACTCGACCCGTTGCTCGGCTGATCTCCTTGCCGAAGATTGAAGAAGATGACCAGGACCCCACTGCTTGTCTTTCTAAATAGTTACAAATGTCATTGCTGACATTTGGGGGCGGCTGTGTAGGAAAGCCAAGCCGAGAAGTGCGCCCCTAGTGTTAGCTTTCGTTTTTGCGTGTTAGTGTCACTTTCGTTTCTGAGCACGTATGCTATTAATAGAGCAACCACGGCAGCTAGATGCGCTGCAGAGACCTTTTTTCAGAGTATTAAGGACTCATTAACGTTGTTCCCTGTGTGTCAGTGTGCGTAAATGATCAAAAAGTAAGTGCAATGTGTGATTAGTTGACCAATGTGCCTGTTATAACCATATGTCCGTGTTTAGACTTAACACGTGTTTTCTTCAGTCTCACTTAGCATGAGTGATCTGACGTACATTGGGGAAGTAGAGTTATAATGTTAATTGACCTGCTAATTCATAGTTTAAAGTTAATTCTATTTTTAGTATATTGTTATTTTACGTGAATTGTGTAGTTGACTGCCTGCCGCTGCGTCTCGCACCAAATTAAAGGTCATGTCTGTAACTTTTGGGAGCACTCAAATAAGTGCTGTTAATTTGCTCTTATAGCATTGCAGTGTCAATTTAGAGCTGTTATGTGTATGTTATGTATTATAATATATGTCTTGTAGTTATGTACAGTGTACAGTTTGTACATTTATTCATTATATTTTTTGTCTGTTCTTTGTTGCAGACCACACACACACACACACGTTACATAATTGTAACACACCGTGAATGTGTTAATAAACCAACGACTGAGAAATATCCCCCCTCTGGACCCTGATTCTCTGACCGGAATCTTTCCATACTGTTGCCGCCTCAACCAGTGTATATCCCTTAGTGGGCCAGTTAAAATATTGAGCCTCCACTTCAGCCGTATTAAAAAAAAACATGAAATTCTTCGTTTCAACCAAGGCTACACAGGCTGCAATACAACCTGTATTACAGCAGAGGGCAAGACTCCACCGTCCATGGTCCTCCCACTCTCCCATGAACTCCAAGACCCCAACCGTCTCCTCTCAGCGGCCACAGCAGCTGTGGACCCTCACTCACACCACCCTAACCACCCAGGGACCAGACCCCCGCCTCCAGGACACCGAGTCCTTCCAGCTGTGCTCCACCACTGCTCAAACATGTCCACTGGGGAGCAGCGTCTCTAACACATGCACTGTTTGGGGTGGTCGTTGTGGTTCGCAGACCCTCACTGCATGAGGTCCACACTTTCAGTTAAGTCTGAAACCTTAAACACTAGAAGTCCCAGGGCAATCAATCTGATGGCTTTAGCTCTGGAATTTTCATTTACATTTTGATTAAATTATCTTTTATTTTTGAAAGATGAGAAGTTGTACTCCCAGAACAGTCATTTTTGTCTATGACAATTAAAGCCTCACACACTGGGAGTGTACCTGTGTTCCTGCCGCCTTTGGACGCCACGATGGGAGGCTCCGGAACAGGCCGCAGTGGTGGGAGCAAGGTCTGCAGCGAGACACACACACACACACAGACATCTTAGTAAAGTAAGTAAGTAAGTAAGTAATCTTTATTTATATACCGCCTTTCACAGACCAGAGTCACAAAGCGGTTTACAATTGTTATTATTTTTGGGCACTTGTCCTCTCACTCCACACAGAGATGGGAGCGGGGTCGCCGAACAGGAGGCGCATGCCAGACCTATTGTGCATGTTTTTAGTGGTAGGGGAAACCGGAGTACCCGGAGGAAACCTACGCAGACACGGGGAGAACATGCAAACTCCACTCAGAAAGGCCCTGGTCCGGCCGGGATTCGAACCCAGGACCTTCTTGCTGAGAGGCGAGAGTGCTATCCACTCAGCCATCGTGCCGTAAAGCAAAAGACATAATAAAGATCACATTCCATGACAGTAGCTCAGTTGGTAGAGCATTGGCCCTTGGGCCTGAAGGTCGTGGGTTTGAGCCCACCATAAGACCTACTTCACGACTCCCACTGATGACTGCTGTCGTTGTGTCCTTGGGCAAGACACTTAACCCCAGTTTGCCTGAAGCTCCCACTGAAAGATCTCAGCTCCTGTGGACTCACCACCTGTAGGAGGATCAGTGAGGGGCTGGTGCTCTGTAGACTGGGTGCAGCTCTGACTGCCACCCCCCCGACCCAGAAATGCATTAAGGGGAAGAAAATGGATGGATGGATGGATGGGCATTCCACTGCATTAGTAAAATAGACCTTGTACTTAAAGCTGGGGTACAAACCAGTTCCTCTGAAAACAAACACTGTGTGAAAACCATCAGAGAGGCACACCATCCCTCAGCCAATCAGCTCTCAGCCTAAAAAGTACCCCAGCCTTAACCGCAATGGGCAAAGGCAATAAGAAAAGTAGTTTTAATGACTTGATCACACGAACCTGCACTCTGTTGCCAGTTTGGCTCCGGTCTCCAGCTCCGCTCCCAAAGTCCCCAGACGCCTACAGAATATTTAAAAAAGACTATATTTAACTGCAACTAAAAGGCTGCGGGGCCAAGAGCCATGGGAAACAATAATGGACAGTGAGTTATTAGAAACAGAGGAAGGATATTGTGTGGCTATAACCATGGGAAAATATAGTTTACTGTGTGTTATAAACAGAAGAACGGCTGAGCCTGGACACATGTCCAGGCTCAGCCGTTCTTCTGTTTATGATAATTTACTATCCACTTTACTCATCACTCCTCACTTTACTTGTTATTTTGGTTGCATTATTACATATTCCATTCATTTCTTATGACTATTCACAAGCATATACTCCACAAGTGTATTTATCTTTGGTCCAGTTGCTAATATAGCGCCACAGTCTCTCCATGGCCTCGCACCAAAGTATTTAAGTGACATGTTAGTACCATATGAACCAACTCAGACTCTGAGGAGCACAGGGACTGGCATCTTGCTGGTTCCAGGAGTCAGGACTAAACATGGGGAGGCAGCGTTCCAGATTAATGCAGCTAAAATCTGGAACAATCTTCCTGAAGATGTGAGGCTGGCATCTACTCTCGCAGTTTTTAAATCAAGGTTAAAAACAGTTCTGTTTAGCTGTACATACAACTGAAGGATTTTGTTTTTTATATTTACTCCTTTTAGTGTATTGTGGCTATTTATTATTTTAATCCTGTGTGTGCTTTTAATGTTTTTTATATTTCTTGTGTTTTTTATGTATATGTAGATTTTAATGTTTATGATTTGCTGGATATGATGTGGGTTGTGAGGCGCTTTGTGTTGCCTTGTGTAGGAAAGGCGCTGTACATATAAACTGATTGATTATCTTCATATGATTTTATTATTCTATTATCTAATATCTTAAAGAATAGGTCCTGTTTGGTGTGCGCTTTTATTTCTCTTTCTCAACTATGACATTAAAATTTTGCCACTGAGGGATAAATTATAGGTCATATCTTGAAAATTGTACAGTGTGTGATCATAAACATAAGAAAGATACTGTACAGTGTGTGGTCATAAAAATAAGAAAGATACTGTACAGTGTGTGGTCATAAACATAAGAAAGATACTGTACAGTGTGTGGTCATAAACATAAGAAAGATACTGTACAGTGTGTGGTCATAAACATAAGAAAGATACTGTACAGTGTGTGGTCATAAACATAAGAAAGATACTGTACAGTGTGTGGTCATAAACATAAGAAAGATACTGTACAGTGTGTGGTCATAAACATAAGAAAGATACTGTACAGTGTGTGGTCATAAACATAAGAAAGATACTGTACAGTGTGTGGTCATAAACATAAGAAAGATACTGTACAGTGTGTGGTCATAAACATAAGAAAGATACTGTACAGTGTGTGGTCATAAACATGGGAGACGAGGCCAGCTCTCACCGCATCCGTGTCATCGTCCCCGTCACACAGGTGCTCGGCTTCTTGAGGGTCCCCAACCAGCCTCATCTCCAGGACCTCCCCCTGGAACCACACGCACACGCAGGGCTTTACACGCAGGGTGATACTTTGTGGCCACCATAATCACAGTTTAAGATTCAAGATTTTCCATTTCGAGCTGTAGTGCTTTCTCGACTATACAGTGCACTCGTATATAAGCCTTAACAAGAAAGTGTATGTTGTCCACCTCTAGGCTGCACTTGAATATAAGCTGCAGGTTTTCACGTTATAATGTATCAGATCAACAACTGTTTCAACTGGTCACAACATGATTTAATGATGTTTAATAGCTTAACCGTTAGCTTCCATGACTCATTCACCAGTCTGTTTTGAGAGTACACAAGTGTCCTGTAGCTACTAAAAGTGGGAGTAAAAGTAAGACCCATAAACTCTGCTCTGACAAATAAAATTATTTGGTTTCTCTATAACAGACAACAGTAGGTAGTGATGTAGTTATCTTGACATGTTTCGACAATATGAAGCAGCGAAACAAGTCAAGGTTATAACGTCACTAACTTACTGTAGTCCGGTATAGAAGAATCAAATAGTTTTATTTCTACTAAGTAGACAACATGAACCTTCTAAAAGTGATAGTCTGTAACTCTAAATGAATTAGAAATTTTAAGAATTGTATTAAATTGACCTCCTGGCCTTAAATATTGATATAAAATAAGTCATTTTATTCATTCTAATATAACGGGTAAGTCCCGCTTTCCCTTCTCTTAGCTATAGTTCAGAATCCACGATGCCGTCCACGTTAACCAATCAAGTCATGCCAAGGGCTGTCAATCATTGCGCTGATGCTCGTAGCTGCGCATGCTCAGTTGTTTGTTTTTGCGGAGCCTCAGAATCAAGCCTCATTAGTTTCTGGAACTACATGACCATAATAGCGACTTCCGGGTTTGCCGCATTATTTTTTTCATGAAAACGTTAACAAATAATTCTGAAAACCTCCGTGCACTGTATTAATAATGTATATGTATTATGTGTTCTCTCATTAACATTTAAATGTGTTACGGAAACGTAGGTGTAGACCAATCAGAAAGGAAGGGGGAGGAGCTTGCGTCGTTTTTTTCAAATCAAGTACCTCTCTCTCTCTCTTTCTGACAAACTGCAGGCAATCACTTTAAAGCTGCTCTGACAACTCTACCATAGTTAAAAATACACATATTAGCCGCATTGCTATATAAGCCGCAGGGTTTAAAATAACTAGACAAAGGTAGCGATTTATGTCCGGAAATTACAATACTTTAAAATCTCTTGACCTCAACGTGAGGAAGCTGCTCTTTGGAAATACCTGGCGGGTGAATAAACACATTTAGTCACCCGCGCACTAAAGAAGTACTAAAGAAGCACTAAAGAAGCACTAAAGAAGTCATAAATAAGTACTAAATAACTACTAAAAATGTAGTGGAGAAGAGAGAGTGAGCAGTGGGAGAGGTGTCGGGTCAGAGAGGGTTTGGTCCTGGATGTGTAAATCAGGCAGGTCTGAACTACACAGATACATAGATAAGTCTCACCTGGAACTTGTCAGGGTCCGCCCGCCCGGCCTGTCCCACAAACACCCCCGAGGCCTTGTCCAGGTCCATGGGGTCTGGCGAGCGTTCGAAGCGAAGCACCTGGGGGGCCGAGTCGCAGCCGTGATAGAAGCTGACCTGCTCCTCTTGGGACACAGACAGAGCGAAGCGCGACCACCGGCCCACCATGCTGGGAACGCTGAAGCTGGCGGCCTCGTACGAACGATCCGAGTCGGGTTCTGTGTAGAAGAACTGCACCTTCTGCTTCCCGTCCACCACCGCGCTGAGCTTCACCCCCACGTACATGATGTTCTGAGGGCCGTCGGTCACCGCCAGCAGCACAGAGGCGGTGTCGGACGTGGGTTTGATGTGGAAGAGCAGAGAGAAGTATCTGGGGAGAGAGGAGGCGTGTCTGTGGCTGCAGCAGAGACTGTACATAAACAAGGCTAACCTTCTTGATTAATGCTAACCTGCAAGCTCAATGCTAACATGCAAGCTCAATGCTAACCTGCAAGCTCAATGCTAACCTGCAAGCTCAATGCTAACTTGCAAGCTCAATGCTAAACCTGCTAGCTTAAGTGGTTAACCTTCTAACTCAGGGTGAACTTATTTTGTTGAGCAGGTGCGAATAAAAAATGAAAGGCTGCGTCAGGGGCCGAAAATAAGAAGTGGGTTTCATTGTAATGTCATTAATTTACTGGTTTATAAGATGAAGGGTAGCGAAATTAAATCACGTGGTTCACATGAGTTAGCGGGGCTATTCTTTTCTGATTAGAATTAGTTCAGTTACGGGGACTGAACCAAAAACGGAATCCAAAACTGGACCAAGACATTGAAGGGATATAGGAAGAGTTCTAACTTACCGGTGGATCATCAAGACTATTGTCCCTCACAATGGTTAACTCCCATCTGGTGATTCGTGCTCGGTTAAATAAGACCAGAGATGATTTGTTTCAAAAAGGGGAGAGGTGCGGTTCTTTTCCTAAGAACATGGGCAATTCCTCCTTTATATCTAAATGTAATTGAAGACGTGTAAAAAGCATAACATCATAATGACTAACTTCTTAGTTACAACGGTGGCTTGAACAATACTTATGTAATTAGATTGTAGGGTTGCTTGGTAGTGGGGAAATATGTGAGGGATAAAATCATCTCAGGGCCACCCGGGCCCTGGATCCGACACCGATAGTTTCGAACTCAATGCCGAACATGCTCAATCCGAGCTCAATGCAAACATGCTACTCAACGCTAAACCTTGCTCACTCCAATGCTATCCCCCTAGTAGCCCGATAATGACCATGTAATGCTTGGCCCAATGAACCCAAAATAGGGAATTGCTCAAGGTGGAGTAACACAGAAGCCAACAAGCGGCGGCCAATCGTGCGGTTAGAGGTTAGTTCCCCATCACGCCCCGGGTCTGGGTTCGATTCCAACCGCCAGACCGGTCGGTGGTGCTGCGTAGGTTTCCTCCGGTTACTCTGGGTGTGCCCCGACCTCGAAAACAGGTACAATTATATGAAGGTAATGAGTTGCGAGTGCTCTGGTGGGGCGTCGCTCTCTCTAGCTAGCGGTCTCGCTCTCTCTCTCTCCCTGGCCGCTCGGGTCGCCCCTCATCTCTCATCTCATGCTCTCTCTCTCTATCTCCTCTCTCTCTCAGGTCTCTCTCTCTGTATCTCTCTCTCATTCTCTGGTCTCGCTCTCTCTCTTGTCACTCTCGTTCTCATGGTCTCTCTGTCCTCTCTCGCTCTCTGGTCTCTCTCGTTCTCACCTGTCTCTCTGGTCTCTCTCGCTCACTCTCTCCTCTGGCTCTCTCTCGCCTCTCTCTTGTCTCTCCCTACCCGAGAAGCGCGGAATGCCTGTTACCTGTAGAAGGGGTTGGGGAGCAGGGCCACAGGCAGGCTGTCCCCGACACCCGAGCCCCGCGCTGAAGAATGTAAGACAGAACTCTCTCTGGGCCCGGTTTTTCCCCCGACTGTGCTGTCCACCAGGGCCCAGACCCAGGAGCTTCTGCAGGAAGCTTGAGGCCCTTGTCACCTGCAAAATAGTCAGTGCACACAAACAGAGACTCAGGGGAATGAGGGCCACAACACCTGGGGGCCCGAAAGGTCCAACTCACCTTACTAAAACTTAGTATCAAAACTATACTGCTGACACAACTATAACTAGTGACAAAACTATAACTGCTGACACATCTAAAACTATGACAAAATATACCTGCTTGACACAACTAAAACGAGTGACAAAACTAATCTTCAATACTGATCCAGGTTCAATACTTTTAATCACCTTTAAATACATGTATTTTTGTCCGTTCAAAATCCATAGTGAGACTCGTTCACTTTGTCTTGTTATCGATATAGTG